CGGGACACATGCCCTGAATTCGGGACAGTCCCGTGAGTCGCGGGAGGGGTGGTCACCCTATGCTGCCGTCGAGAGCGAACAGCCTCTGTCGCACGCGCGTTGATAGCATTACTTGTGGGGTTGCTGCAATTTGCTATCATCATCATCAAATTTTCTTTTTCTTGCACTCTTTAGACTAGAGGCGATTTAACCCTAGCCATTTTTCGGCAAATATTACTATTTGTATTTGTTTGTGAATCTACTTTTGCTTTTGTTTGTTTTTATGTGAGTTTGTATTCTTATCCCCCCTCATGTAATGCACTTCGGTAGAAGTGCCTTTGAGGTATAATAAAATGAAATGAAATGAAATGAAAACTCGTCATACACAAAGTTGAGGCCGAAGTTGAGGGAGCGCACCAATCGGACAATCACGACAATGGCTTCGAGTTTGCGTCGCCAACGTCCAATTGGCACGCTCCGCCAACGTTCGGCTCCAACTTTGTCTTTGACGAGATTAGGCCCCAGGGGTGTTGCGAACCGGTCGAGGTTCGAGTTCGATTAGTTTGAACTACACGGCTCTGTAGTGGCAGTTGAAGCTCTAGAGTACATTATAATAATCCTAAGCACCCCCCCCCCCTTTTTTTCTTTTATGCAAATGTAACTGGATACTGCACTTTTCTAAATGTGAGATGGCATCACGTTAGCGGGCAATTTAATAACTCGAAATACCCGTGCATATATTTTGTGCTTTCGAATTTATTGGTCAAATTCCGCAGAGTGTGTCATCATTATTTCAAATATAAAAAAAAAGGCACTGAAGCATAAATGTCCGACTAGATATTCCAGTTCCTCTTCGTCATTTAAAGTCACGAAAACAAATGCAGCAACATAAGACAACCATTTCACAATAGGCCCTTTCCTCCCCTGAATCCTCAAAGTCCAAAGCCAGCCGTGCCAGGCCGATGCTGCAGGTCACCCACCATACACTCCTACGAACGGTAGGGCATCGGGGGCACCAGCCAAAGCTACCCGTTCGTGCATGCAGTCCTCAGTTGGTGCAGTTTGCGCTCAGATTGGGAAAATTGGGGGTACACAACAATCAATCATACCAGTATTACCCTCAAATACAAGAGGGTAAATCATTTGCAATGTTGTCATTAGACTCTGGAGAGTTCTAGAATAGGAGGCCCCAACACTTGTTATAGCATTGTATGCGTAGACATTCTGCACATGTTCTGTGGAATGCCCCAACCTGCTCGTGGGACCCATAGCATAGGGGCCCCTTATCCTAAAACTCCCTTCTATCTCACAAATGTCTGTAGTGCAGACAAGGGCACAAGCACGTAAGCCCAGCTCAGCTGGACGCTTTCGTTTCAAGGGTGACTCACACACAGAAGACGCTTGCCGAAGCCATGCGCATGCGACAGCGACTTTTTCAGCACTGCAGATGTCTGTGAGATGGAGTACAGAACTGGAATGAAGAGGGATGAACACCGAGTCTTGTCCACCAACAAAATCAAATTGGCAGCCTTCGGGTACGACTTGTATACAAGCATGTTCCTTTATGGCCAGCTGGTGATGCCTTGGCTCACGCTCGTTTCTGTACGTAGTGCTTGTTGTCTGTCACCCTGGTGAGACGTTCTTATGGACCCCTAGCACAGTTCTGAAGAACTCGCATTATACAAAGAGTTCCCGAGAAACGAGAACCTTGTTTTTCGGCTCGGGTAAATAAACTAAGCATCGCAGAAAGCTCAAACTTTGTGATAATGTGACGCTAGCAATTGGAAAAAACGCGAAAGTTTGCAAACATGACGTCACCTGGATCAAAAGATAATTGAGAAAAACAAAATTTTTCAATAAGCCTACGTCCAACTAAGCCTAACATTGTAAAAACAAAAAAATGACACTGTGGATGCCCTGCAGTATCTATTTCAGTAAAAAAACTTGTCAGAAAAAAAGAAAACAATATCCTCTTTTCTGATGAGTTTTTTTCACTGAAATATGTAATGCTACAAGCTCCCACAGTGTCAGTTTTTTGTTTTAGCGATATTAGGCTTAGGTGGACGTCTGCTCACAAAGAAATTTTGTTTTTCTCAATTATCTTGAGAAGAATTGGTAACTTCATGTTCTCAAGTTTTCACATTCTATCCCAAACGGCAATGTCACATTCTCACGGAGTTAAGAGCTTTCTGCGATGCATAGTTTATTTACCCGGATTGAAAAACACGGCTCTTGTTTCTTGGAAATTCCCTGTATATTGTAGCACTAGGCCATAAAGCCTGCCAACACCATCGTTTAGTACCGTACATCGTAATAAAAGTTACGGTACAATCATTTTTCCAAACACTGATGAGTGCACTGCTTGCAAACACTGGCGCCACTCACCAATTGGCTGACAAGCATGCGAAAACAAAAATAGGTGGCATCCTGACATTAGTCCCATACATCAGTGTTATGCACAGAGATAGAAATGTATGTAAGGTCGCTGACAAGATGAGAACAGCAGGGCTCTCTTTGGAGCACATTGCCTCCAGCACATGCTCGTTGCCTTCCACCATGCTTTGGCTTGCTTCCTGTACGCTCGAGACCCACGGGAAGCCCAAGCGTTATCCAAGGTGTCCACCTCGCACCGGACGCAGAACAATTAAAGATCTTCCCTGCTGTTTTCAAACCGCCAGTGACCATAGCTAATGTCACTCGATCCTGGGAGAGTAGCTCCAAGCTCCCCGTATGGTCGCCATTTTGGTTAATGGAATGAGCAGTTGCGCTTTGGACCCCTCCATTCTTGGTGAGCTTATCACGGGTACCTTTATGGAGACGTTTCTTGAATACCGATTTGTTATCTACACACTGGCAAAACAAGAGCACACCTTCGCAACGCCACCACGTGCGGCGCTGGTGCTTGGCGGCATTGAAAAATTATTTTTACGCATTTAAACATGAAACAACAACAATACCGTTTTAAGAGATCTGTGGAGATAAGCATGATTGATAAGTGAATTGCACGCACGTCGACAGTCGCTTATATTGACGAGCAACGCTTTCAGTACTATGAAGCTCAACAGCGATCTTGGTGCAACTCGTTCAGGACTACCCATTCGAAGCTTCAAAAATTTAAATGGAACGGCGATTGCCATGCATTAAACACCGATCAGCCAGTCGCCTCACAAGGTTTGGTCGTCTGTATGTATGTATCTGATTGTGTCTGTCTAGCAAGCAAGGAAGTCAATGGTGCCATTTTCACAGGATAAAGTGATTTCAAGGGGACACTGACAGGGTATTTATTTTGTACATGACACATGAGAGCCCAACTACCCAGAACACAATCTGCAGCTCGAAATTCGTTTTCGTTTCATTTCAAACTGGCCAACTGAGAGCTGGCCAGTTTGAATCACGCTCACTCTCTTTTCCCAGGTCAAAGATAATAAAAATCGTGAGCCAATTGAAGGCCCACACTCAATATTAAAAATAGAAAAAAAATATGATAGTACCCATCTTTTGTGGTTTTTAAAAAACTGCAAGTACGTTGATTGGAAAAAAAAAGTTGCACAGCCACGTGACTTTTTGCAACACTCTCCTCCTCTATATTTCTTCTTCCTCTCCACTCCAGTTTCGATTTCGGTTTCGAGCAGTTGCATCTTTTTACTTTATTAAAAATATATGTGACGCTGTAGCAAAATACTTATTGGGTAATCTTCCGACACCATAATAAATCACCCAACAACAAAACAAAACAAAAAATTTGAGGGGTGTTAGTGTTTTTTTTAATTATAGCAGCTTTTACACTAAAGAAGCCAGTTGTCATTTTAAACTGTGCACAAGCGGGACATGAATGTCTTATGCATGCAGGAGGTGCACATCCATTTCCTGGAGGCCTTTTTAGGTCACAAGGAAAAATACCTTAAGTATGAGATTGTTTCTTGTAATAGATAGTTGTCAGCATCCCTGCATGTAATTAGGGGGAATTATGCATTTTATACTTTTACCTTTTAAGAAACTGTTGAAGCTTTCCAAGGCATGAACATTATCACACAAAAACAAAAAAAAAAGTCACACATGGAAGCTTTTACAAGGTCCAAGAATATCAAAATATGTGGCACACAGCAGTGGCGTCACTAGGGTCAGCGGCACCCGGGGCAGTGGCCCGCTGCTACACACCCCTCCCCCCCCTCCACTCGTTGCCCGCCTTCCCCCCCTCCCCCCCCCCCCCCCCACCACGGAGCGCTGCACCCGGGGCGGTCCGCACCCCCCTTGTGACGCCACTGACACACAGATCCCAACACAGTCTGAACACATAATCACGTACCATTCCTTCTCACTTTTCCCAAACGACAGCTTTCAAAACCACTAGCCTAGTGGAATGTATGTATGCATGGTACCATTGTAGGCAGTAAAATATGGTATATGACACTTACTTAAATTAATAAAATCTAAAAAAAGTGACAATGGCTCATGTGCACTAATTGTATTGTGCACTGTATCTTTCTCCAGAAAGAAAACATTTACCAAAATAAAAGCCCAAAGTAAAAAGGTGCCCAGATCTCAAAGCCTAAAGGTTGAGATCATTTCATCTCAACCTAAAGGTTGAGATGAGATGCGAATTATGCGACAAATAACTGATGAACTTCGCCCTACGGCGTGCTTGCTTTGCACACGACGTAGCAGTGACTGTGCTGAGCTGATACCACGTGCAGAGTAAAAGCCACCGGGAAAAATTTGTCGACTTTTCACAGCATATCCGCCCCAAAGAGTCTAGCCTTAACAGTTCATTTTGGTTTCAGCACCTTGACATAAAACAATATTCAATATACAAGTCACCAGTGAAGCCATAACAACTCAACCATAATGACATGCAAAAAAAAGCATAATGGCTAAAAAAAAAACAATAAATGGAGAGGCGGTAATTTGCCTCATAGAAGAGGCCTTTTCCTTCATTCACAATATCTTTCTAAGTGAACCTTCAACCACAGGAAGCTGCTTTCCTGTGGGTGACCGAAATGCCAAAGGGCATTTCTGTCACCCACAGGAAATCAGCTTCCTAGGATGTGCATAACTTGAGGCTTCAAACTACGAACAGAAGGACTAACAACTGAGCCTGCCACGCTAGTTCAACGCCGGCAGCAACTATAATGCCATATTTAGAGCCCCCACGAGGGCTTGCCCCACAACTCCGCTTATGCACCAATCCCCGGAAACCAAACGAAAAATCGCATCATACCCCTGAACGTCCGTCTTCCCGCTTGAGGCCCGAACACGAGAGCTCGCTACAAGGCGACAGACTCGGGCACCGAGTCACCTGGGCTGGCCTCCTTCCGCTCCTCCGCGTCCCACACGACCCTCCAGTCGCTTGTCGCAAACAGGACGTGGTCCGTCCTCCACTCGGAGCACTCCAGTCCCTTCCAGAACACAGGAAAGTACTTCCCCACAAAGGCCCTGGACGCTGTGAAGAGCTGGCTCTCATCTGCCGCCAGGTTCTCGGCGGCGTTCTCAATGGTCCGCACCTCAGCCCGCCAAGGGTGGGCTGTGTCCACCTTCAGAGTCTTGAGCAGCACAAACTCCAGCAGGAACGAGTGGAACATGGCCTCCATCTGGTCCCTGGGGGTGCACTGTTCGTGAAGGACCACATTGATGTCGTAGTGCCTGGAGGAGTCCCGAACGACCTTGAGGAGGTAGCGCGCCTGCTTCTCCTTGGGGGCCCGGGAACACAGGTCGTCGTGCGTAGCCGCAACTGAGGACAGTGGGGAGCCCAGGTTGACGTTGACGAAGTGGCGTCCGCAGCGAAGCCACACTGACTCCTGCTTGTTGACCTTCTCGACCGACGCGATGTCGCCGGCCTCTTCGAGGAAGTGCTTCACCAGGAGGCAGTAGCGGGACCGGTTGAACGTCTCCATCACGACGCAAGACACGGCCCTGAAGTTTGCGAAGATGTGCAGGAGGGTGAAGATGGTGAAGATGCCGTAGACGAGTCTGTCGAACGGAAAAAAATGTGCAACAACGTTGGATGGCCGTTAGCTCAACGAACTGGCAGTCGATAGGCTGGCAGTTAGCTGTGTCACAATCAACGTCTCAAATGCATCTTTCTTTTCTTTTTTGGTGAAGGAGCTTGAGGTATCTGTTTCGTTCCAGAAATGTCATGCAAATACATCCTTCCTTTGGCCACAAGCAAAGGACACGGGGATCTGATTGTGAAACTGTGTGCATGCAACTGCTGATCAGTTTGACTGAATCTCTCTCAACCAATATTTGGAGAAGAATCAGTGACACAAATGCAAAAGGCTTCTCTGCATCTAATTACAGAGGCTCTGAGGGATACTGTCTACAAGAGTGAAGGCATCCTAGGTCATTTGCTTGTGCCGAAGCATGACAGCACTGTTGGCTTGTATTTTGTTCGCCTCTCATATTTTACTAATAGTAATACGTACTAATTGAATGTGATCTACCGTCCTTCAACGGTAGGTCACATTGAAGCAAACACCGTCCTTCGATAATTAGTCGGTAAAGTACTCGACTCAGAATCTCAAAAGTGGTGGGTTCAAGTCCTGCAGGAGATTTTCTTTTTTCAAGTCTTTAGACCCCCCACGGATAACAGTTTGATCATCTGTATCCGATCCGCATCTGCAGACTTCGTATCCGCATCCGAACGGCATCTGCAATGTTCTTAAATAATTGTATCCACATCCGATTTGCATCCGCAGGCTTTCTATTTGCATCCAAACCGTATCCGCAAAATTTGGAACCACATCCGACTCTCAATCCACGCATTCATTTCACATCAAAAACCAAGCATGAATAAAAGTTTAAAAAAGCATCTGAATGGTATCTGCGAGCAGTCTGCTTACCTTTTTACAAAGAACGCTTTGTGTAAGGATACAGTAAAGGTCATTTTATTGTTAGTATGTTTTATCGCATTTATAAAATAAACTATCATCCTTCCAGACACACTTCGCGTCGCTCGAAAAATGATTGCAGTTATGAGATTGTCTTGGGAGTTCGTGACACTGACACTCTGTCCAGTAGATGCGTTTAAAAGAAAGGAAATTTATACTTTAATGCGAAAATATTAACTACTCCACGAAGCGGAGCTGACGGCGTCTGTAACCGCAAAAAATCGCAAAAGAAATGCCCATTCTCCCATTGCAGCTGGCGGCGGAGCGCACCGCCAGCCGCAACCTCAGCCGTAGCAAAACGTGGTTGTCCACGCTAGTACACTGCAGACGAACTAAGGCAGCAGAAGAACGACATTCATGCTTTCGCATTCACAACTCATAAGAAGTGCTTAGGTGTCCTCAGGATTTTCTTTTCCTTTTTTGCTTTGTAAAATACTTCGAGCACACACATTTTATTAACATAAAAACTGACAAAGGGCAGACTAATAACATTGTACCATTTTATTTAGGCCAAACAATATAAATGTGGGAAAGGAAAGGCGCTCACTCTCCGCAGCAAACTACCCGTGTACCAGTAAGGCACGATTACCACTGTGGAAATATCACAATATTTAATAATGGCAACACCTCCTACCAGTCTAAATTTTAAACACGAACCCTTAACTGCATTCTCGGAACCATATACCTGAAAACAACTCAGTGCCAACTGTTCAGAAAAAGAAAACGCACACGGATGCAACATTTCACTTGTAGAGGTTATTGCGTACTGTCGAGACCGGTTATAACGAAGTCGGTTATACGAAATAGCGGCTACAGCGAAGCGATCACGATTTCTTATTCCCTTTTGCACTTCATTAACCGAAGTCAGTTTTAACGAAATAGCAGATATAGCGAAGTGATTTCCGATTCCCGTTGACTTCATTATAACCGGTCTCGACAGTAGAATAAACAGAACATCGCCAACTCGGACGAATTCAGGCTGGTTCGCCTCTCTTAAAATAATACCCGCTACTGAGGAGTCTCTCTCCGTTGGTGCACCTGATGCTGGGATGGCATGAACGACCTGCGCTACAAGAATGAAGTCCGTAAACTCGTCCTACACAAGTTCCACCACTCCAGAGGATCGAATTAGGTCTCCTCAATATATACTCGCAGGCAAAGAAGCCACTTGCACGCTTCTACTTTCTTGTGGCTTGTATGTTTTGGGTTATTTTGCTCAAAGAATGTTTTCCACTCTTTCCCTGCCAAACAAGAACAAGCTTCCCAAGACAACTGATAGTTCAGTGTTCTTTACTTTTTCTGAAGAGGGTATTTTTGGCAAGAAAGAACGTTCTAAAGCGGTCTTGAGTGAGAATCAATCCTTTATTGACGTAAATAACAATTTCTCCCCTATTGTCACCTTTCATTAAACAGGTTAGTTAAGCCCCACAATACATTCAATGGTACACTTCATAGCATCACTCACCTATTCATTCTACACCCTATGGTCACAAACATTTATGGGCCACCTCGTCAAAAATGAAACCGGACCCGCGGATGTCCGCATCTGATCCGCATCCGCGTACCCTGGCATCTGCATCCGATCCGCAGTCCGCCAAGTCTGATTCCTTTTTACCTAAATCCGCCAGTTTACTACGGATATCCGCGAATGATCTGCAGATATGCAGGGCTCTACAAGTCTTTTATTTGGTTCCGTATGGTCCTAACGCTTTTCGGTGTCGGTTTCTCGTTATAGTCAGATGTCCATAAAAGTCGGCAGTAGGGTTGTGCGAATAGTGGATTTTGAGTTTGAATCGAATTCGAAGCGAATAGTGATTTTGGTCGAATATTTTCTAATCGAATATTGAATACTTGCCGTTAAAAATCTTGGCTGTTTTTAGACAGAAGTTTACAGAAATACTTCCAAACTGGACCTCTCACGCTGTCGTTAGTCCATCTTGCCAACCGACTTAGCTGCCGTCATTTTGACACTGTCAATGTCATCCACTCACCTTGTCGCTGTAATAATATAATATTCCTTCGAAATATTATAGTTTAAATGTTTTGAAACCGTGTTTATGAGTTTTATCGGAAATAAAAGTTTCTGAGCAATTATGCATGTTATGAGAAATTTCTAAAGGTATTTATTTTTATCCTTAACTTGTTTTTCTAAATTTATGTCTGGACGTGGTGGTGGTGAGAAAAGAGTGCTGGCAACCAGGGCGCCAAGATTGGCGAAGATGGCACCGGCGTCTCTGGAGTTCGTTGCTCAGTTTCTTTTGCCCGTTATTAAAAAAGTTAATGAAATAATTACAATGAATATATTTCAAAGTTCCCATCATAATATTTATACCATTTTGCTGAACGTGCGAGTATATTCTTGATTTTAGATATTGTTTCTTTCTGGGATTAGACAGTAAACAAACTTGCGACCGTAAGTTTGTGAACACTTCGAAAAGCATGAATATTACAACTGCTCTCGAAGCGAGTATCGAATAGAGTACTATTCGAAAATTCAAATATTCGCACAACACTAGTCGGCAGTAAAACACATTATGCGTTAATAATGCCCAACAGAGAAACAAAAACAGCTTATTGGCAACCCACGCTATCTCTAGCAGCATTGACTGTTCACAAACAACTTCTTACATCACCAGGCAATGAGGCTCAAGGTAGGTCGGTATTCAGCGTAACTACGAGCCCCGTTCGTTGAACATTCGTCCAATGGGGCTGAGTGGCAAGTAGCTTGCTGAAACTGAAGCTGCCTGCATTCAGAGCTATCTTGCCTCCCAGACTCGACCATCGTGCCCCTAGTGGTTAAATTGAGAACTACACCCATGGGGACAACGACAGCACAGATTATTTGTTTCTGCTTTGATGCAACTCTCGGCCCACGTAGCCAAACGTTGCGTTGGTGTTTGGCTGGGGCTCGAGTGCAATCAGTGAGGCCAAACGCAAGCGCAGCACTCATGGATATTTTTGCTTCATCCCTCGACTGAGCGCGGGGAAAAGATTGGGCATGAGTCGTACCCAATCTTTGACCTGTGCTCAATTGAGTAGGGTAAAGAATCCAGAGCACATGGCTGCTGTTGGGTAAACACAGAACTCTGGGAAAACCAAACTAGCCATAGCGCCCTCTATAGTTCAATCTCCTCGCCAATAGCTGTCTCAACTCTACATTTCCCCAACACACAGTTCTACCTGCAGCATGGAACTCTTCCGATTTGTGTAAAACTAGACTGATCGTTTTGCAATATTCCTGAGATCAAATGTATGGATTATCTACGAAAAATGGTCGCTTACAACAATATCCAAATTATTATAAATAAACAGCTTATTATTATTATTATAAACAAACAACAAACAAACAAACAACAAAACAAACAACAACAGACTTTAAGAAGGCATTCGACAAAGTTAATCATAGAAAGCTCTTAATTAAATTGATTTCCATCTTGGGAAATAATAAGATCGTTCGGTGGATTGAGGCCTTTCTAGATAATCGTCAACAGTTTGTAAGTATTGAAGGGGTTAGCTCGGACGAATGTGATGTGAACTCGGGTGTTCCACAGGGTTCTGTTTTGGGTCCCCTGCTGTTTCGGGTTTTTGTGAATGACCTTATCGAAGATTCACCTGTAAAAGCCAGATTATTTGCCGACAATTGTGTTATTTATACTGAAGTAAGGTCCGTTAATGATCAAATCATGCTAAACGATTCTTTGTCCCAGATCAATGAATGGTGTGTTAACTGGCAAATGTCGATAAACTTAAACAAGACAGTATGTATGACGATCACTCATGAACGACAGCCGTTAGAATGTGTATATGCTGCATGGAAAAGCATTAAGCCGAGTGTCAGAGTTTGGGTACCTTGGTCTTACAATAGCTTTAAACCTAAGTTGGACACCACACGTTCGCAATATAATCGGAAAAGCTAATAAAAGATTAGGATACATCAGGCGCTCTCTTAAACTCGCTTTCTCAGAAACAAAACTCACAGCATACAAGATGCTAATAAGGCGTTTATGAGAATATGCATGTGAAGTCTGGGACCCGCACGTTAAATATCTTATATCAAATTTGGAGCATGTTCAACGGCGTGCGTTACGTTTTGTTTTTTCTTGCTATAGACAGCTGGACTCTGTGTCACCTCTTTATAAAAGGGCAAATCTACCCCTCCTTCAAGTGCGGAGGAAGCAGAAGCGGCTTAACCTTTTTTATAACATAATAAATAACTTGGTTCTAGTAAATAAGCAACAGTATATTAATAAGAGCATGTCGCATATAACCCGCAACAAGCATGCTCGGTATGTGGAAGAGCAGAAGTTTTCCAAGGACCGTTGTAGGTATTCGTTCTTGCAAACAGTGCGAGAATGGAACAAGCTACCGGCACATGTCGTGACCGCTGAAACTCGAGAAGAGTTTAGTTCCCTTATTTCAGAGATTTCTGACAGCAGTACCTAGAGTTGTCATTTCATCGTTGTGTTGAATATGTGCTATTAATCTATGCATTTTAAGCGCGTGTATTTGTTTCTGTTGTGCAAAATCCACTCCTATCTTGGTCCTGTGTAGGACCAATAGTATTTCAAATAAATAAATAAATAAACAAAAAAAATAATGCGAAAAAAAAAATTAAATGACACATGGAAAGTGCTCGAAGGCTACCCGACGGAGGGCGCCAGTGTCTAGCCGCAAGCAAAGCCGTCTATTGGGAGAGTTTGGCCAGTTTATGATCTCGCCACCGTAAGGCCCCCTTCCCAAGTGAGGCAATCAGCCCAAGCCGCAGAGTGAGAGGCAGAAGCACATGCGCGTGAACTCCCGGCTTCTCCCAGCCATGCAGAGAGGGCTGCCATTTTCGTTCATTCGCCCGGTGGAATGCAAGGAATCGACATCCAAATTTCACTTCTTTCCTTTTATTTCACCGGCTCTGGCAAAAAAATTATATAGTGTTAATTCTCGGTGGTTTAGAATAAAGTTTTCTCGACGTTTGACCGCAAACTTTTATTCGAACAAACAAAAAATCGGCCTGTAGCAGACGACGCGTAGCTTCAACAGTGCTCTGCGCCGAAAGCGTGTTGCGTCAAAATGGCAGTTGTTTCCTCTTTGCTCTCTCCTTCCTCTCTCGCTCCTTCGGCGCTCTCCTCCCTTTCCCTCACTTTTCTCCTGTCCAGCGCCTTCGTCACCACGTCTACTGGCCAGACTCTCCCAATATACGGCTCCGGTCGTAAGTGGTCACAATAGAGCTTGCAATCACACTCAAATGTAAATACTTCGCTTACACAACCTTAGCAAAGAATTGGTGAAATGGAAAGGTTAGGTTCGTTAGGTTAGGTTAGGATAGGTTAGGTGCGACCCTGACGATGCACAGACGTTCCAAACTTTAGCTGATCCGACCCCAGAGTAAAGGTTTTGTTCCCCAGCAATTCAAAACTTCTTGCGTTTAATCAGACAACGTCAGAACTCGCGTTTTGGAAGCGAGTCATTTACTCCAGAGTAATTTTCTCGCACTACCCCCCTCCAACTGTGGGTTACGTAGCAGAGGAGCGGCCGTGCCCTCACATCTGGCTCCCTGCGAGCAGCCTGAGCAGCAGCAGGCTGCACAGGAAGGCCGCCAGGTTCACCAGGGTCTCCTGGCTGCCGTCCTTGGCGCTCACGTCCGCCATGTTGTTGCTGCGTGCTTGGTGCTGGGTGAGTGCCGCACGCGTCGCCCCGCCGGCGACGCCCACCACCGACTGCGAGAACGTGGTCGCCGGCTTTACGTGCCGCACCAAACCAGACAAAGGTGTTCCATATTTGTACCAAAAATATTGCCAGCTACCTTTATATCCAAAGTTCTATTATGTATGATTAAACAGTCGTTTTGGGGAGTGAAGAAGAACCCACAGTCGGTGAGAGGCTAAGAATTTTGAGCACGTTCCGCCTGCATCTCGAGCTTTTTGCCCTTGGTAACACTTTGTCGCGCGTGCAGCCGAAGCCCGGTGAAAGGCAACAAGCGCATGCTAAAGGTGGAGCTTCGACCGAATTCTTCGGCTGTCATCGACTATATATTTCTATCAAATTCCATGCTATATTTAAGGGGAAAACTGACTCAGTGTGCAGGTTACGTAACGTCAATTTTCTTGCTAAGTTTAGCAAAGAGACTGAATCGGTGTATAGTAGTGGCGTAGCCAGAGGGGAGGTTTATGGGTTTATGGTAGTAATGGAGTAGCCAGAGGGGAGGTCAGTGGCATAGCCAGAGGCGAGGTTTATGGGGCTTCAGCCCCCTCCCCACCAAAACCTAGCCAACCCTATTAATATACACATGCGTTTTGACCCCCTTCTCTGCACCCCATGTTATGGACATTCCAGCCACCTCAGTCCCCCCCCCCCCCCCCTTGAAAAACAATTCCTGGCTATGCCACTGGGTCACATGACATCAATTTCCCTGCTAAATTTAGCAGGAAATGCAAGGACAGGCGGACAGATGCACAAAATTTCGAGATTGGGGGTTTCATTAAAGAGCATTTTATGCTGTAATATATTGTTTACTAATAGTACTATTATTACAAAATCTGCAGCTTTTTGTCAGTCTGGGAAGAAGTGACAGCAAGAGTTTTTACTGCACGTAATATATCCCTTACTTTTATGTACCTCCATTCGTTATTTACCCAATCCTACACAACACAGGCTTGTGGTCACTGAAGTATGTAAGAAAGGGAACACACAGCGCATGAGGGTCAACGTCTATGCCTACGACTAAATCGAGATAGGTGGGTTGCTTTATGTCTGACAGTACACGCGAGCCGAGTTCTACAGTGAGGAATGTGTGCTGGCGTTCCCCACCAACTGTAGAGGCCAAAGCCGCTTGACAAAAGCCAAGTGCACGCACTTTGCCCGGTGTCACAAGGCGGTGCATGCACGAGCGCGCATAAAACAAAGTTCTCTGCCAGGCACAACGCCGACACGCAAACGCGGCTGGGAAGTCTCCATAACGGCTATCGTTATAAAATCCAATTAAGGACACCAAGGGATCAGCAGCGAGCGGGTGCCGCCCATTTCTGCGGTTGGTGCAGAGTGTGAAACTCGGGCAATGTCGTTTCGCTCTGTCCCGGACCGTTCAAACGTTTCTGGAGGACGGCGAAGCGTTTCCCGCAATTTCGGAGGCAGCTTCGGATGACTGGCAACGACGATTTTAAGCGCCAAGAAAGCCGAACTGTCGTTACTTTGAAACGTAGCTTATCCATTAACTCTAGGACACACGCATAACAAAATAAAATCTGCTGAAAAAAAAAAACACATATTGTTGTAGCACGCTATTTACATCACGAGACACTTTTTGAGTTGGGGGCAATTGCGAAACATGCTTCTACATTGGCCCGTCGACCCGAAAAAAAGCGGGTTTCGGAAGAGCTTCTAAGGACGCTTAACTCCAAAATATACTTCGTAATTCAGCGAAAATATATCAACCGAAGAAGATTGGCACTCCTTCTAAACCACGACACGAACGGCGGAGCTTGCGCTCAACGTCCGTAACGGAGAGTCAAGATCCAACTCTAACAAACTCTGCGCTGCGAGCGAAATGTCGAAGACAACACGAAACGTCTCACGTACCTTAGCAACGCTGGAGATGCACAGCACAAGCGTGATGTAGCCCTTGAGATGTTGAGACATCAGCTCGAGGAGTATCGCAGCATCGTTGAGGATGTCGGCAAACAAGCTGCAATAGTTGTCAGCGTGGTTGAGCGTTGTGCTGTCGTTTGAATGGGCACAATGTTTGTTGTGCGTTGCACAGCACATACCCAAGTACTGAACAAGAACTACAGAAATCTTGAAGCTGTCTTGAGTGCTCTTAGAAAGATTCGCAGCTTTTTGCCACAGCGTGTGAAGGTGGGACGCTGGCAGCCATCACTGCTCGTAGTAACACCTATTCTTATGCATATCCACTGTTTATTTACTCAATCACACATAAAACCGTGCCTTGTGGTCACTGAAGTAATTAATAAAGTGAACACAGCACACATAGGTCAACGTCCTTGCCTAAGACTAAATTGAGAAAGGTACCGTTACAAAAGTGGGTCGCTTTACACCTGAGAGTAGACGCGAGCAGTGTTCTACAACAGGTGTAGTGGTGTCCCCGCTAACCGTAGAAGAAGCAGAAAACACTGCTGCCTGGCAAAAGACAAGTGCGCGTGCGAGCACTTGTGAAACGGACTTATCTGCCTGGTGTAATGCTCAAGTGCCACGAATGTAACTGGGAATTCCCTACAGCAGCTATCACTGTAAAATCTGCCGTTGACTGATCAAAATTTCCAACATCATGCAACTGTATATAGGCCTTATCCCAAAATAGTACTGTTGTCATTTCCGTCAATACTGCACAATGCTAACACCAAACTCGCTGCATATGGGCAGCGTATATGAGAACCTCTGTTAGACAAAAATGCAGCTGAGCTCGAACAAAAAGAAGGCAATTTTGCTAGCCTCAAGCTGTCTCTTGTCATGCAAAGCACTTTTGTATATGATTGAATAAGGTCGGTGGGAATGCAACTTACCGCCATTTCTTGGAATCATTGTCCAAATTCGAACTGTAACAAGAACAGACAGGTTATGAACACTGATTGAAGATGATGGCTTTAGTAGTTCTCACCCTTGAAACCAGGCAAAGAGGATTCTGCCAATCATGCCCGTACCATCTGAAAGAATAGAAACCGAGAGTGATCATGAACTTAACTTTTGTCACTTGGAAAGTATTTTAAAAATAAATCCAAATAAAATGTATTCAAGATGCACAGTTCATAGGCATTTTAAAAGTCTTGTGTTCTTAAAATTTAGCCGTGCAGGCACTGAAAATTGGATATTTTTGTATAAAGGTAAGGTTAGATCTCTTAAAACCGCAACCCTCAAAAAACGGGGACAGAGAGAAGTTTTCTCTTTCAGTTCAAATCTAAGCGCAGCAGTTTCGTAATGCAAAATGCAACCAACTTAGGTGGCTTCCACCCTGCAACGTCGTAAGTCGGACGTTTGCAACCTACAACTATCATAGCTTCAGGACTATCTATTGCTCGCTCATTACAGGAAGCAGCACGAGACCAACAGCACATTTTTCAATTTCCACGAGACTTTTGCCGCACCGATCGGACACAGCTCCGTGAAGGCTGTCAGATGTCCGTACTGACGCTCACATAAAACCCTCGAACCCTTCAGACCGACTGGAGGAGTGTAGCCCAAAGACAGGAACTCCCTCGCCCTATGTACGCCCAAGAAAGCGAATAAAGCGTCTTCACACTCAACCCTGACTTTGACACTTTCTTGTCCAGATTCACTAGTGACTCCCTTATACTGCTTATTTTATGGTTAAATTTCTTTTTTTTTTTTCTCAGTCCATCAACACTGCTACGATCACTAACAGGACAAGAACGGCAGAGCGCCTCTTTCTAATGCCTAGCCTCCAGCATGCACAGCCAAGGCCTTCTGTCGGGCCTTGGCTGTGCGCGCACGCTCAAAGCCCCAGAGATGACGTAGTGCTGTCGAAGGTTTGAAGCTTGCACTGGAGGCGGGACAACTCAATGACCTCCCTTCCATTCTCATCCTGCCAGAAAGGTTCCCAGGTGTTATACCTTTCAAGATCCAGGTTGTGGTGGCAGCCAACACGGATGCCGTCTGGTCGCCGACTCCGACGCCCGTCAGCACTGCCTGCGTAGCCAGCGTCCCAGTAATGCTGCTTGCGAAGGCCTAGACGCGCGCAAGCGCGGAAAAAGAGACGCCACGAGACATTCGCCACCGGCCACGTGCAGAGACGCAAGGGGACCGCAGGTACCTGGATGCTGTCCCAGATCTGGTATTCCTTGTAGTCACGGCTGACCGTGTCCGGAAACCCAGCAGGCAAGAATATCTCCTGTCAAAGGAAGAGGTGGAACTTATGTGGTTACTGACGGCACGGCTCTTACACCTTTTAGCAAGTGCTCATTGCCTTTCGTCGTGCTCTGGCTCTGCGTACATGCGCTCATGAGACAACGAAGTGCTATCAAAGGTAGGAAGCTAATACTGGAGGAGGGACAACCCAAGGACGTACCTCCCTGCCATTCTCATTCTGTCAGTGACAAAAACATAATCCTACCATGAAGGGATCGTAGCAAGGAAAGGATGAAAATTAAAAGCGCAGCTGCAACATGTAGGAGGCTGTACAGTGTAGGATGCAGCACAAGGACAACAGAGTGTGGGGTTGAGCTGCACTTGTAATGTGCAAGAGCCATGCTATGTATCAATTTGAAACAAAGCAAATTTTGAGTTAAGAGCTGCGGTTCCTCCAATTGTAATATACACCCAAGCTGTTTCAGAGAATGGCTTGTCTACTAATTCATGCTCGTATTGTTCGCGGGTGCTACTAGACCACTATCCTTGTATGCCTCTTTGATTACAGGCAAGAGAAGTGGTAAAACGCTGTCACGTAATTGAGCATTTTCTTGTTTTATTAATTTTTCTACTTCTAGAGCATATAGATAGCCCCGACTGTTTTTGTCACTTTCTGAGTACCTTGGAGGTCAGTCAGACCAAGTCGACTTCCGCATTGTTCTGCAGTTGAGGAATTATTTTTGGGGTGCATTCCGTCAACAATTTCCAGATTTTCTGTGAGAGGAGCTCTTGTGACCATGAGGCCAGAGTCTTGCTTGCAAGTGCCTTTGCTTTGTTTTTGCTGTTTCTTTTCCTACAACCTTGGTTCACCCAAGAAGTGGCCTTCTCCGTGACCTTGCCCTTACATGAAAGGTAGCTAACTCCAAGATCAGGTCGTCAGATTAAGAAGTGTTACATTAGGTTTTTGGTTCGGAAGGTAGCCCGGAGGCAAAGGCGGACTTAAAGGGGTACAAAAGCTAAATTTTAGCACCTTTTTCTTTCTGTAGACGTGATCTCCTTTATGACAGCAGCTCACAAACACCAGTCTTTCGTTGGTAAAAGCTAGAAAAGCAATCTTAAAACAAATAAAATGATTTCCCAATACCACCTGGTAGTTGGTGGACCGAGCTTCGTTGGAAGGTCTCGTGTCATGGGCCCACCAGGAGCAGTGCCACGGCGCGGCATGTCCGATGCAGGCGGCCAGGAACAAGCAGCGCTTGGCGCACTTCTAGTGCACCATGCCTCGGGCAGTTTTACTTGGCGGGATTGTAACGCGTTGACGATAAAGCTGGCTCCACCTAGTGACGACGATCGTAATTACGGTACCCTTAGCCGTTTATGGGCCTGTGACGTTGAGAGCATGACGTTACAGCCAAATATCCCGTGGCGCATCGCGCTGCCTCGATGGCTGATTTTGAAGCAATGGCCAGAATCCGTCGGTTGGAACGAAAAATATAGCCATCCACTGAAAATACAAGCATGTGGGGTGCCTTCATTTATGGATATCATGTATTATATTTCACCCGTTTTGAAGTGTACCGGGGATATTTCAAGTTCCGATTGTGTACCCCTGTAAGGAAAAAGTGTGCGTGTGTGTGGGGGGGGGGGGGGGGGGGAGGAGGGGGCAATAATCTTTTTTTAAGCTAAGGGCAACTTTTTGTGAAAAATATGATACACCAGCTTTTTTTTTTTTTTTTTAGAACAAAATGTTTAGATTTTTGTGAAATGACGAGCACTAGGTTAACAAAAAAGAACTGGGCAATGTTTCACCCATAACGTCAGATTCCTCTGCAGACACCCCTCCCCCAGCCAAATGCTCCCCCCCTTTCCCCCTTCCCCCCCCAAACTTGACCCATAAATCCGCCCTTGTCCACAAGACTGATGGGTTTACCTGGTTATGCAATGTCATGTTGCCTATTTAGGCGCAGTGTTTTTGCGGGATAAAGACAGCCGGAGTGGACGGTCGGGCCAGCAGTCTGCTTGTCTGCCTGCTGGTCCCTCTCATCAGTATTTGAATCTTATAGGGCAAGTTGCCCGAGTTTTAAGGTTTCAGCGTGTGGCCCATTGTGGTGAGTTTGCCCTTTGCAACATGCAAACCTGCAAGCGTTTTTTTTATTATTTTTTTCTGTTTAAAGTTTGTGTGTGTGTTTATGCCATGTGGTGTTGCGTCGGCTTTTGACAGTGCCACGGCTGTATCGCTCATCTTACCCCCAACTTTGGCGAGCCTCAGACTCTCTGGACTTGTCGTCACATAGTTGAGAGTTTTGTTTCCTCTTGTAGTTTTTGTGCCGGCAAACTTTTGTTTCCGACTGCATTTGTGTTGGATCTGAGCGAGAGGTTTATAGTAGTTTTCTTCTTTAGTTGAGTTTGGCAAATTGATACTAACTGCGTGTTAGTGGGCTTCTCCAAATGCTTCAACCGCAACATACCATAGTTTCGTAACGCCTTCGGCTGCAACAACGATGCAAGCATAATCAGTGGTCTAACTTTTTTAAGAAGACCGCCAAAAATGCTTTCCGATTTTCCAACAGATGGCGCCGACCATTTGTGGAAAAGTCACACTGTGACCCTTGATGGCTGAAATAATTCTGATGTCTTCCAGCAACTCCTTTACCCCCTTACAATTGCATTAGACATATATGTCACAAAGAGGGTACCAAGTTGGTGGCATGATACCAACCATGTTACAACGGGCTTGTGGTTGTGCCCAGTTGAACACTGCACCACGCTGAATTTCACAGTGCAGGCACACTTACACCTGCGACCTCAAAAGATACTCCAACCACACAGGCACTTGCAGTGAATAGGGGTGCAATTCTCATGTAACAGCTGCACAGAAATACAGCTTTCTGTGAAGTCCACAATGTGGTACTGTGCCAGCAAACACGCATGGTGCTGTTGAACACTGCAAACTTCAGCGTAATAATTATTTTTGGTTGCTTTCATTTTCTTCTTTCCTTTTGCTCTTTACGCCAAGAGACGATTTTTGCACAATAAAACACGATTTTTTTTTTTTTTTTTTTTGTCAAGATTGCTTAGAGTTATCTGCGCTGATCTAGCTTTTCAGAACTAGCATCACGGCTTTTCACGGCTAACATTCGCTGAAATCCCATTCGAACTGATATATGTCGCAAAATGGAAAGGAGGGTGGTAGCAGCCACTTACGCTGAAGACCGCTCTGAGAGAAGACCATTTCCGAGCCGATCGCCTCACCACAAACAACTTGTTGCTGTTGTCGAACTTGACGTACGTCTGCTGGATTTCCGAACCGCATGTTTCTCGCGCAACCACTGTTCCCGTCATCGTAGACTCCGACAGCTGACTTGACGAGGCAATCACCGTTGGCAATCACTGATCAAACGTTCGATCTCTCAGGCTCTTCGCGTAACGAGCGTACGACCTAAATAGCACACACGAACTCTACCCACTCTACCTCCAAAGTGGCACACAATTGAGCCAATTGAGCGACCAGCTGCACAGAATACAAAGCATTCCCCGAGTTTCGACACGTATGCTTGGACCGCTCGGCCAGGCTCGGAAACAAATCAACAGCCTCCAAGGCTTCTTTTTCTGTGCGCGACGTGCGCGAGCCGGACGGATGGATGGATGTCGGCTCTGATGGCATAGACGGCTCTGTCTGATGGATGTCAGGGCCGTGGTAACAGGCAGAGGTAACGGGTAGCAGCTTGCGCCACCTGGTCTATATGTAGGCTATCAATAGGATGACTTTTAGGGGTTCGAGCAAAAAAGCTGGTAACATCACGCCCGCCTCTTCCCCCGGCGAGGGTGTCGCCAATTTTCCTCTGGTCATACCTTGTCTGCGTTATTCCTGCACCCGGTGCCTGCACCGGACCGACTGGAGGTGGAGGACAGGGTTGAGACGGTTGAGACCAGTGGTTGAGACTTTGGGCCGGAGCTAGCGGATAAATTGCCCCGCTAAATCTAGCGGAAAATTTTCCCCGTTAAATTTAGCGGCAAAATTCTCCCGTTAAATCTAGCGGAAAAATTTTCTCGCAAAACCTAGCGGAGATATTTTCCCGCTAAATCTAGCGGAAAAATTTCCCCACCCTGCCACCCGAGATGCACCAAGATGCACCGCCTGGATGCGCTGGATGGCAGTGGGGTAAAGGTGGGTGAGGAGGAGGATTTGCCCGCTTGCGCCACCCCCCTGGCTCTCGCTCCTCGCCGGAGCGAGGCATGACGGGATTGCATTTTGGCGCACTCCCGATTTTCTCGCTGCAGCGAGCGCATACACGCGTGGGGTGCCAGCGCTGAAACAAACTCGGAAAGTGCAACCACTAGTGGAGTGCCGGCTGAAACGAACCCGCTCCACTGGCTCCACGCTGTGAGTGGGCACGCGTGGGCACGAGTGCCGTGCTGACCAGAGTTTTTGCTGGCTCACATTATCTTACGCTCTCTTGCTGTCTAAATAAGCTAACCATAAAGGAGTTTGTTCCATCAATGTTATTCTACAGGGTATCACAAAAGAAAATTTACACGGTCTTTTTTACCGCAAAAATAAACTAGGCATCGTCGAACGCTCATTCACCGCCCAAAGATAGAGCTAGAGGTCACAAGCAGATGCCAAAGTTTCAGCCCGATCCGATAACTTAATCAAAAGTTATGTGATTTTCTGCAAATTTCAATAGGAAAATGGAGCCCATTTTTGCTCGATTTCGGTTTCTGGTGCCATAGAGCCCCATGTGTTTGAAAACTCCGTCGGCCGCCATTTTTCCATTGAAATTTACAGAAAATCACTTATAACTTTTGATTAAGTTATCGGATCGGGCTGAAACTTTGGCATCTGGTTGTGACCTGTACCGCTACTTTTGGGCGGAGAATGAGCATTTGGCGATGCCTAGTTTATTTTTGCAGTAAAAAAAAACCGTTTTTTTTTTTTTTTTTTTGTGACAGCCTGTATATATTGTGGTGACGAGTAAGTTACCTTCCAGTCTTCTATTTCTTTGGAATCCGTTTTGAAGCTGAATTTTAGTTATTGGGCAATACGACTTAAAGTTGTCTTTGTTCCCTCTGCCTTTATATATTAGTCTCATTTTACTTAGTTTCCAATAATTAGGTACCTCTCCTCTCATTATTTGTTTAATCATATGCCATAACTTCAGTTTGCTCGTTTTTCCTATTGTCTCAAAGGGGCAATGAAACAATATTTTTACTTTGCGCAAATACTGCTTAAACCGGATCCCCGACGTTAATGACTTGTGAAATACCCATTCATTTTTCACCACACGCTATCAAAGTTGCAGAAAAATTTAGGAGAAAAACGAGCAGCAATTACCCCCTAATCTCGCAGCCAGAACAAGGGGCCATGTGATCTGGAGCCGTTTACATGCCGCCAATGTTGATCACAACCACGCGCTGGGGTTGAAAGGCACAGGACACGTGCCGAGTTCCAGACATTTGTTATGGGTCGGCTATTGTCGTCATTGCAGCGATTGAACACGGGCCACTACCCGAATGCTTGTCGAGCTATCGATTATCACGAGCCCAAATCGAGTGCCCACGCAATGCTCGGGTACAATCTATAAGCCACATTCAAATATCGTAACTGGGCGGTACTGCAACCGCCCAGCTACGTCATCAAGTTTTGCGAAGGAGAGACTAAATGAAAATGCTTGTTTTTGTCCTTGAAATTACCCCGCAACAAAGGAGTTGCTTGGCCAGTGGCGTTGCGTGAGAGTATTTTCGAGTCCGAGTACAGTCAAACCCGTTTATAACGAACAGCCAGGAAATGCTACGATCAGTTCGATATAGCAAAAACCATTTACAACGAACTTCCACGATGCATTCATTGCAAGGCGAGAGCTTCTTTCTTTCTTTCTCATCGCTTCGCTTCCGCCTTGTAACTCCTCGCTGAATTTTTTTTTTTTTTTTTTTTTGCATGCATGCAGAAATTTTTTTTAGCTTATTTCCCCTTTTGAATCGCTTCTCTTCGTAAGCAACCGCATTGCGATGAATTTTTTTTTTTTTTTTTTTCTGTGCACGGGGGTAGGTTTTTCTTTCTCTTTTTTTTTAACTTTCTCCCCTTCTGAATTGCTTCTCTTCGCTCAATTTTGTTCGCGGCTTGAGCTTTTGGAATTTTCTTTCCTACCTTTTTGGGGCGGAAGGGACAGGCTAGAACACGATTGTTTGCACGTTTTTGGATGATACCGATTTTGTTCATAGGTAGGGCTGATGGTGCTTTTCGTTCGTTTTCATCCATGTCAGAAAGAGAATGTGAGGTACGGAACGTGGTTATATACGCATTTGATCACAGCGCCTCCTCGTCTATAACGCTGAGTCAATGCATGCAAAGTTTAACACGATTATATACGGATTTGACCGCAGCGCCCTTTCCTGTATAGACGTTGAGCGGCTACGTGCAACGTTTCATTCATGACAGAAACCCCATCTCTTGAGTTACTGCCACATCTCAGAGCCCCCTACTCCTCCCGCAGTCGTGGCCGAGTGGTTAAGGCGATGGACTAGAAATCCTTTGGGGTCTCCCCGCACAGGTTCGAATCCTGTGGACTGTGCAAACATTTTTTTATTTTTTTAAGAAGACAGATGGGATGGCAATTGATGTGAGCACGGATGCCGGAAAAGGCTAGACCCTAAGGAGCTTTGCCCCTAAAAAGTACTTTTTACATGCATTTTCATTTAAATTTTTTTGGGAGTTCGATATCGACAATTCGCTGTACGTGGGTTCGTTCTAAACGAATTTCACTGTAGTGCCAGTAGGCTTGTGTAAAGTGAAAAACATTCCAACTGAATATCGTTGCACTGCCCCTTTAATGGGTTCCATGGGTACCTGCAGGAACCTTACTTTCTGCCTTATCCCATTCTCTTCTGGCCGTTTCCGTGAATATGTTGATGGTGATGATAATCAACACCCGAGGTGGAACTCGTCTCCGACTGGTGTGTTTAACATCCTATCCTGCCCATACATCAAAAGCAGTCCCCAAGTGGCAACGAATGACGTCACAGAAGCCGGAGTGTCGTGCTGTCAGATGTCGCGATACTGGCAGTTGGCACTAGAAGTACCGGCAAAAAGCACGAGCAAACGCAAGTGTCGCTGTCGTCGCGGCGTTTCAACTCCGGGCTGCCAAACCTTCCACGGACTGTCCAGCTGAAGAGGGACCTGCAGCAGAACAGGTGTCTGCCGCATCCACCACCACTGCTCCAACATTGCTAGGATCGCGACCTGCAAAAGGATGCCACTTCTACGACGTCATCGGGCGGAAATCGAGGAGCCACTTTTTTGGACGTGGTAAACACAACAGTTTGAGACGTATTCTAGGCACCATACTGAAAGTGAAAGGGCCGAAAGTACTGCCGAAAGCAACCGAGACGGAGATAGCAACACAACACTAATGAAAGCTCGAATTGGCTGATGTCTTGTGCCATCTGGTATCAAACTGTAGCAGAGTTCCCCACCTGGATGAACTGGTTCTCTTACTTCAACGAGCTTCACTTCAGTGTAATATCTTCACAAACTAAGCGCGTACGAAAATAGGAAAAAAACTATGAACATTACAAATATTGCAAATAGTAATGATCAGCCTTCTTCCAAAACGTTTTGTCTTCATACGCTCTCAACGCATTGCTTTATTTCTATGTTCTAGAGAACAGTACAATATCCAGTAAAGCACATGTTCCCTACCTCATGCCTCTATATGTGCATTTCAGGAAATAATTACTTCATTACTCTTTGCTACGAGAGTGGAGACCTTGCACAGTACTGCCACCTTCAAAATCTCACCACGTTTTGCGATGATAAAACTTGGAGTGCCATCAGCAGACTGCTGGGACTCTACGAGACACTATATGAAACAAGTATGAAATACAAACAATAATTTATTCTCAGCCAGCTGAAGCAAATGATGAGGGCATGAGAAAGGCATTGCACTCTATTTTCCCCCCTTGGACACGCCAGCAAACATGATTTCATCCACCAGAAGAAGGTTGCTCGCTATCACCGTGCTGAAAGAAAAAAGAATATAATAATATTCATTAGTTAAATTTTTAAAGTCTAGTGCAATGTAATTCTCAGTTCACCTTTGAATATCAAACAAATAAAATAAATACACTTAAAAACCTTGGAAAACACTGAACAACTCACCAGGAATTGAGAAGTTGCCTCTTGACACAATAGTTGTCGAAAATGCCTTCGTTTGCTGGAATAAGAGCTTCGCCTAAGAGAAAGAGAAAAAGAGAAGCTTTTAAAAAACACGGCCCTTTCCTGCATTTTTGCCTTAAGCCTCACGGTAGCTCAACAAAGGCTCCACAAATCTGGGGAGTGATAAAAGTGTTAAATTCAGCTGCAGAAACAGAGGCCTTTTTGTTTTTGCTTGAAAGGTGATATATCAACGATTTTGTTGGTTGATTTGTGGGTACGTCATATTGCATCGTTGTATGTGAACTCCCGAGTACTGCGAAGGCTGTGAAGCATAGTCAAAGCATTGGGAGGTGCAGAGTCTGCACGGTAGCTGCTCAAGAAGCTGTGAGCTCACCAATCCTAGACTTCTCTACATGTACACCTCAACAGGGAGGTTTGGCTGGTCCAGTTGCTATGTAACGAAAAGATGGCAACCCCATGACTCGTAGAAAAGAGTAGACTAGAAAAAAGTTTACAATGTCCACCATGCCATTTCAGGCCAAAAACAACATTGTAATTACCGTATTTACTCAAATCTAACGCACACTTTTTTTCCGGAAAAAAAGGTCCAAAAATTGCATGCGCGCTAGAATCGAGTATGACCCAAAACTGTGCTACCATATCGCCATCGACATTTCAAAATGGCCGTTCCATTACGCACCGACTACAATAGAGATCAGTGGCTGAGAGGCTTAGAGCGTAGCCAGCGTTTAGCGTAGTCGTGCGTTTCTTGCGTTCGTACCAGCATGGAAGTTCCCACTGCAAAGACACGCCGCGTTCACCATGATGCTGGATTAAAAAGAAGTGATATCGTGCGCATATAACGATGGAAACCGGGCTGCATCACGTGCGTTTAGTGTTACAAAAACTTGCGTGCGGGATTGGCGCAAGCAGAAAGAAAAGATTTTGGCCAGCAAGTTTCAAAGATGAAATGCTTTGGGCCATTGACTGCGACAAGGAGTCGTCCGACAGCGATGACAAGTGGTGCATACCACCCCATAGGCGCTGGCCCGGACCGGCGTCGTGATAACGACCTTGCCAGCGAGAGACGGCGCCGTTCATTTCATCGCAAGATTGACGAATTTGGAATAAACCTTCATTGTTCCAAGTGAGAAAAAGTTTAATTTCTGTATCCAACATACAAAATCTGGTGCGCGTGACAACCGAGGTCATCACTTTTTTTTTTTCTTTTTTTTTTTTTTTCGGACCTTGAAAATAGGGTGCACGTTGCAATCGAGAATGTGTTAGATTCAAGTAAATACGGTACAATACCCCAATTTTCTCTGTTTATGCAGAAACTCAGCTCTGGTACGTCACGGCGCGGTGGTGGTGCATCGGGCGTACTTCCTGCCTGGGGCTGTGGGCGGAAGTCACCATGCGGGGCATTCATTCACCGTCCGACCACGATTGCTTGTACAAGAAACACTTCGGGCTAAATTCATGGATATTTGTGGTCGTCAGATTTATTTGTTTTGTTCCAACATGAACACATGAAAACCGCCCAGTTGTACCGACCACCTGCAGACTACGTACAGAGCGTCTTCAAGTTAAAACGTCCGCCTGATCGTTCGAACTGTCGTCTGCTCTTTCAAAGTTTCTGCTTGCTGTCATCTGCTCGCTCAAAGTTCAAACAACAATGGTCCGTAGACAAAATGTTGACTTGGTAATTGCAATAAGAAGTTTTGGTAATCGCAATAAGAATTAAGTGCACGCCTCAACAGACTTTCAATTTTGAGGGTTGGTTGGGGTAAGTAGGCTAGATGTAAACAGTAGATGATACAAGGAGATGTTGATAATTGTTACCAGTGGCCATCACCAACATATGTCCGATTCACTTGCGATTTTCAGTATCGACATCGACCCTGTCAGCTACAATTCACGCTTTTGCAACCCAAGCTACATCACGACTGAAAATAGCGAGCCAAACCTCATCATGCGAACCAGATTTTAGCGTCCATTCCGCAGCGTCCACGCGGAATGAATCGCTGCATGTCACATTATTCACGCTAAGTTTTGCGGTGCAATGAGCCTCATTAATTTTCCTGAGGCCGCTAAAGTGGTCAGACATTGCCAGGAAGACATAGAATCAACAATTCCAACGCAACAGAGAGCATGGGAACTCACACAGACGCCAACAACATTGCATCCCAATGCTTTGTTTATGGGAGACGGCGATCCTCTTGCCCATACTCCATGGCGCATACGCGGTGCCGGTGGAGTCCTCTAGGGGCACTCTGGTTTGTTTGTAAACATGAGTTGGTCTATACTCCATTTCACGCCATGTTCAGGAACAGCCAACATTATGAGCCGATAAGACGAATGAAATGGCGTCAAAAACGCAACATAATGGTGTTTATCGTGTTTTTATGTGTTTAAGGGATCGGTGGCCAAGTGGGCTAGCAGACGTCAGCTCAGAACATGTGGAGAGAAAGTTCACGCAGCAGAACCCAGGGATCCCCCACCCCTACCAGTATCGATCTGGATGAGCATCGAACCGGCGTGCAGTCGTGTATCGCTACTGCGTGGCGAACATCAAAGACCCCAGGCTAAATTTGTAATCCAAGGCGGAGAGACAAGTCGCCCAGTGAGGCAGAATAACTTCCGACTGTTTAAACATAGATACAACAAAATTACTTTGTATATGCTTCATCTTAGTTAAACCAATCCCGTACGGGGAAGGCCCAGTGATTCGCGCATTTAGTATGAATGTTCGTGGTTGTATGTGTTTGTGCCTTCGGGCGCACTTGGACAAACGATCGAAGATGTGTAGGACAGACACTCTCAAACTTGTCGACATTGAGGAACCCCCATCTTTCTCGACTGTTAGGCAAGTAGCCCTTCCTACTCCCAGCCTTAATGCGACGAAGCAGTGCACATAGAGCATGCACCAGGGTGTGTTTAATTTCTAGTTATGCATTTACGGGCAACTCGGATCTTGTGAAACGGTGCTCAAACTAGAAAAGCATCTGAAGTTGAGGGCGGGAATGGCCCAGAACCACCGAGGGCAATCTGGGGAATCCCTGGGTTTCCAGGAACCCAGTTTGGAGACCCCTGGCCTAGAAAATGGGTTCTTAGGCTTGGCTTTTAGGAACACAGGGGTATCCCATCGTACTTTCGGGATACCCCTGTGCCGTCAATCGAGGCAGGTAAGGATTTCTAGGGATTTAAAAATTTGAGGAGTCCCAGTCTAGAACGACGAACGAGCAGGCATCACGCGATGCCCGTCGGTACGGTGCCAGGAACGCACATCCGACCGGTGCGTTTGGCACATCCAAAAAAGTGGTCCCTCGATTTCCACTCTACGAAGCCGAAGTGTCGCGTCATTGCCGACCGCGACCCCAGCAGTGTCGCAGCAGCAGTGGTGGCAGATGCCCGTTCCGCCACAGATCGCTCTCCAGCTCGACGGTCCACGAAAGCTTGGGATGCTGCAACAACGGCCACGCTCACATTCTCTCGCACTTTTTTTTTCTTTTCCGGAACTTCAGCGGCTAATTGCAAGGATCTCGACACTCGAGGGCACGACGCTCCGGCTTTTGCGACGCTGTACGTTGTCACTACGGGACCACTTTCAGCACACATGCGGAACTCCAAACGTGCCGGTCAGGGACGTGTTCCGGGCGCCACACCCTCGGGACTCCTGCCCATCCACGAGTGCAGCAGCCCCACCTACCTGTGGCGAGGTTGAGGCCAATGGGCTGCTTGGCCAGCCGCTGCTCCTGCTGCAGCTTGACCAGCACATCCTGGGGGTCCAGCCCGCTGTTGGTGGCCAGGGTCTTGACGATGACCAGCAGGGCGTCCGCGTACGCCTGCACCCCGAGCTGGGCCTTGCCCTTCACGTTCGGGCGCATGGACACCAGTGCAGCGTGGGCCGCCAGCTCGAAGGCACCCGCCCCGGGGATCACGCAGCCTGCGGGAGTGGGCGCCGCAATTGGGGTCGACACACACTCTGCATCTGCAACTGGCTCGTGCGGTGGTCGTGAACCAAACGTAGCCTCGTAGCGCGCAGCATGCACCGTTAGTGCGAACGAGTGATCACTAATTTTGCTAGTTCTTTCAAAATTAAATCCGCCACCGTAAAAGCTATTAGTGAGGCGGAAAGTGCTCGTGCGGGGCAACGACCTAAGCGGAAAGGTTTGCTGCCCGTGGTAATCTGTCCAAGTAAAATGCGAAAAAGTGCTAACAACTATATTTATTATATTACACTTTTCCTTGGAGTCTCACTTGCGACTGGGTGGTCGTGCCTAGAGCACTATATAGCTCCTAGGAGCGGAATAACGCGATTCTTAGATCCACGTGTATTGCCGACAACATGGCCGACAGAGCAGCTTGGCGCAAGTCACGTAATACTCGCGGTTCCATGAGGCACCCGCCCTATGGAAGAACACATGAACATCGACGCAACACGACTGATAAAAAAATAAATGCCTACCTCACACTTTTCGAAACTAGTTTGTCATGAATTTGGTAAAGCACTAAACACTTGATCAAATATTTCATACTATTGGATTCGTCTGAAAATTTTAAGAAGGCAATTTCCAACGCAATGCCGTTTGAAGCAGACAATTTTTTTATGCAGCAAAGATGGACATTTTGGGTTGGCCAGAGCGAGTCACGTGAGCGGTGCAACGTTTTTTGTTTTTTTTGCGCCAGTTTTCCGAACAGAGTGAGGAACCATCTATAAACATAGCTTTTTTTTTCTTTTTTTTTTTTTTCAGCTGCTTCAGAGCGATTGTCCTCACTGCACTGCAATGTCTGCTGCATGATGCCGCTCAGGCAATTTTTTAAAAATATTTATGTTCTTACGTGGCACACAACTTAGCGCAAATTATTGTAAGATGTTTCTTTATTATGTCAACAACTATTGCCGTTCCCTACATACCCAAAATAAAGAAGAAAACACTGTTTTCTCACGTTCCCCATTTATTTGTGACCGGGCCTTCGCCGCTGGTCGCCGAGAGATGGCGTTCTAGATTGCACTACTTGCTCAAGTGAGAGTTTACTGTATAGTGCTCTGGTCGTGCCTACTTTCCCTCATCATATTGCTGCTACTTGCTGCCATCACTTTTGTTGAGGCTACCAGCATTGTTCTGGATTGTCAGGAGGAAATCCGTTCCTCGTCATTTGCATCTCGGTATATGAGGATTGTAACCGTGGCACTGTTCTCAAACTATTCCCAATTGACCGGTTTCACAGGGACTCATGCATGCATTTTGCATCGTTACTGTCTTTAAAGACTTTGCACTTCCATTTTAGTATGTAAGAAAGGTGCCCTAAGCAAGTAGCCCTTCCTACACCCAGCCTTTCCCATCGAGAACCCACCATCCTCAATGGCATTCTTGACGGCGCGCAGCCCGTCGTGCACGGCGTCGTTGATCTGGGTCAGGGTGTGCTTGTTGGGGGCCTTGATGAGCACCGTCACCGACCGGGGGTCCTTCAGCTCCTCTACAAAGGTGTATTTGTTCTCCCCGAGCACATGCTCGTACACCAGGCCCGCGTGGCCCAGCACCTCGGCGCTCAGATCTTCCAGGGAGTTTGTCGCCGTGCATCCGCAGGCCAGCGACAGCCTGCCAGAGGAAACGAGCACCAAGCCGTCAATTTCCACCCAAATCAAAACGACAAAATGAGGTGGGTCTTTCGAAAGCCCCCCTCTAACACGTGTTCCACGCCTCCCACCGTGCATTGGCTGCACGTGCGAGGTGCTTGGGACGTTGAAGAGTCTTCGAAGGTCGCGCTGTTCAGCTGTCACGCTGGAGGTGGGAAAACTGAGGCTCCCACCTGCTATTCTCACCTTGTCAATGGCTATAGTGCCGATACAATATCTTTCAACTGTCCGCATCCAACCTGGCTCCTTTCTCAATGCACGCACTTAACTTGCAACTCTCCGAGCGTCCGCAAGAGGGGACTGCCTTCGTAACACGCTTTTTTGGGAGGTATCGGCTCGCCCCGAACTCTCAAAGACAGCTAAACAAACCCCGAAAACGCACAGAGAGTAGCCACCCAAAGTGTGGACCAAACTGCAGAGTCGACGCCTACGGGAGTTTGGAGACAAGGACCGATATTCTATGCAAGGTTTTTCGTGCCACTGACAGGGCCAAGTGGAGCCACACAAATCCTTCGGACTCGCATAGCTTCCAGTTACCTCGAAGGGCTGTTGCGAGTTGCTCATCTTCCTTTCACCCGCAATTTCCGAGTTCATTTGCACATAGTGCCAACGTAAACCGACGCCAGAAAAATAACTCCCATCGTCTCCAACCTGGCTGCAGCGGCGCCAAATAGACGTACGCTTCGGTGAGCGTGGCCAAAGTGTTTCCGTTCCACGTACCTCTCCATGTTCCTCCTCTTCGCCCGGCGTAAAGCCACGATGCCTTCCTTGGCCAGAAGGTCCAGCGACTGGGGGTCGATGCCCTAAAAACAAAAGTACCCATTCAATCAGTACCTTCCTTCAGTCGTTTACAGCACAGCATCTCTAAAGTGAAATCAGTCCTTTTTCGGGTGAAGTTTTTGCTAGATCACTATCTTCTTTATGTCGATACCTCAAAAGCATGTGCATACCAGTATTGCGAGTGTACTTCAACTTCGATTCACAACATCCATGTCTTCACTATAGCTATCTTTACTACGGCAGTTCCGCTATATTAAGGAACACAAAATGTTTGCAGTGTTCACCATAGTCACCGACAAAGTGGGAACGGCAGGGAAGAGCTCCGGTCGTCCCGCCTCCAGCACGAGCTTCTTCCCTTCGACGATGTGTCAATGTCTCGTGCACCTAACGCGCGCGCAGCCAAAGCACAATGGAAGGCATGGAGCGCGTGCTGGAGACCGGGTGTTCCAAGGACACGCCCTGCTGTTCCTATTCTATCCGGCGACCATACCCTCCATCAGACGTCCCCACGAGCTAGGAACTACTTACGTTAACACTGATTCAAGTCTCAAGTTGGTTACGTTGACAAAACTGAATGTTTTAAGAACCAAAGTTTTGCTAATGTTAATCTTTTGTTGGTAGGCCGGTACTTTGAGCAGAGTAAAAAGGATGCCAAGGAGGGGCAAGTGCGCCTGCCTACCTGCTGATTGATGACGACAAAGTTCTTGTCGGGCGTGTCGCAGACCTTGCGCTTGAGCTCAATTATCTTCTTCACCCGGTTCTCGATGAACTGGCGCTCCGCCGACACCAGCTTTTCCCGCTCCTCCGCAGACTTGTAGAAAAACCCGGCGTTCACTTCCCTGCGCGGAGGCGAGGCACTAGAGTCAGCAACTACGAGACCTCGGAGCAACCAAGCATGTTAACGGGTATGCCGAATGAACTAAAAGACACGGTATGATAACCGCAACGAGGTTTGCAACCAACTTTCAACGAGTGACAGATGCAAAATATCAAATGCACAAAATTCTCTCTCGCAGACTGCACACAGAAAGAGATTAAACACTTGGCACAAATTCGTGGTCTCCATTTCCACACTCATAGACAGAAAATGAAACCTGAATATGATTTCTAAGGAACTCCATTGTATAAAATAGGGAGCTCCCTATTTTTGTTTTTTCTCCAACTAGCTAGACATAAATTTGTACCTTGTACAGTATGCGCTCATTTGACCTATGCCACTGACTTAACTCACGTTGCAAACTTCGAGCACGGGGAATAGCGGAATGTACATTCTTCGCATTAAAAACCCCAACTCTCCACCAGCACAAAAGAACCCAAAATGAAGACGCTGTCATTGCATCTAAGAGCTAAATGGGCTTTCGTCCAACCTCACTGTCTTGCTAATAACTTTTCATTTTCTTTTTCTATAACATGTTTTTGCATTCGTCACGGGCGATTACAAATTCTGTGCCTGGAAGTTTTCATCCCAGGCTTCAATGCTGCAAAGTGGAGGGTTCTTTTTTTTTTTTTTTTTGTCCTGGACAAAGCATGGTGAAGACGTTTTTAACTTGCTAATATTTTAAATTTCTTATCTTTCTGACAGTTTCAGAAAAATTCCTTGTCCTGCTTCCTCGAATACAAACAAAGGCAACACTGCTGTCCTGGTTTCCTCCCTCGAGATAAACTTCCAAGTCCTCTATCCCGATTGTTGCATCTTTAAAAGTTCAGGGGAAGTCCTGCACCCATTTGGTTTCATACACACCCTGGACTTTACCAAGCTTAATAAAATCATCAGCAGCACCACGTTTATTATTTTTGTAATTACAGGGAAGAAGTAATGCTCCAAGCATATAAAGAGTGGATGACTGAGTCTTTACACTGTTAATGCAAAAAGAAATGTTGCATTCTGAAGGGGCATAATTTAAAAGCCTAACTCTAATAACAAAAATGAAAACAAACCATTATACACCATTAAGATAGAAGAAAAATAAAATAAACATAGGCAAGCCTCTAGTGGAAATCATTCTGTCAAATAGTCTGTCAAAGAGTCATTTTGTTACGATTATTCATTTAAACTAACAAATCATTTGATCGACAGCTAACACTTGAGACACTGCACAGATGTTATGCAGTAACCATAATGAAAATATAATTAAAAAGAGAGGAGGTGTAGGATTTTAGTAATCTGACCTGTGAGTGAAGAAAGTACTTTCGTGTTCCAGTTATAACCGCTGTTTATAAAATTGAACAAACCCTAGGATCACAGCCAGTATTTTGGGACGTTAAGACATTTTGTCTCGCTGGCCATAAGCCATCTAGAATATTGAACACTCGTAGTATTGCGCAAAAACGTTCAACAATGGACCTTTTATTGCACAAGAAAAAAAAAATCCCAATGGCATTTATAAAACTAGGCAAAATAGCAAAACATCCAGCATAGGCCATTTTTTTTCTCTTCTTGATCACAACACTATGTTGCTGCTACTGCACCAATAGAAAGGCAAGACTTGTTCGAGTGTGCAAAACTCTGAACCTGATTTGTTGATCAAACACAGGAACATTCTTTTGTTTCTGACGTCACAAAAAAGACAGTTCATTCTTTTAACTTTGAAGCGCGACAAGCGACACGGACGACACGGAAAAAGAAATTCGGGTGCGGGTTATCAGATCATCGTTAATGGCGAGTCCCGCCTGTGGAATCCGTACGAAGAACGAAACCGACACGCGCAAAGAGAGCAAAACGTAAAACAAAATACGACGGGATTCGTCGTGAAAACATCCGAGAAGTGATTCGGGCACACACTGCTATTGCCCACTCCTTTTTGCCTCGTTTTAATACAATCTATATTTGTTTTTCTCTTAGATATAGAAATGAACTCATACCTTTTTCGGTCGCGCATGTTACGTCACCACCAAAGAATGATAACGAACCACCGCGCCGCGTCCGAAAGCAAGCAAACGGGCCAACCCCTATGACGCGTGCGACGTAAAAAAAAAGGGGACGTCCTCGCATTCCGGGCATCACGTGACATTCCCGCGCCGCTCAGTGACGCCCCCCCAGCGTGGTTCTCACTGCAAATAGTTATTGACAAGATCGGAACAACAGGGAGAAGCGCGTGCTGAAGGCCGGGCGTCGAGAAAGTGTGCAGAAACTCTAGGGTGACCCCTAAGGCCGGCACAGATCCCCGCGGGGGCGGACTCACGTCTTCTCATACTCCAGGGACACGTTGCAGGCGAGCACGAAGGCATTCTTGACCAGCTTCTTCATGTCCGGGTGGCGAGCCCCGTGGTCCAGCACCAGGCCCCTCACCAGCTGGGTGTCCATGTCCGTCTTGTGCTGCATCTCCATTATCTCCACCATGTGCAGGTTCAGCTGCTGCTCCGGGCGACGGATGGCCAGCACCGCGTCCACGCACACCTGCTCGCCCAATTCGCAAGAACAGGCCGGTTCGCCCACAAAAGCAAGTCTCGGAACGGCATGCTATTGTAACTGCGGTCGGGCCCCATTGCACCTGCACCTCGCAAATGTACTGTTCCTTGCGCCCTTCCCGTCGTGCGGTCACATTTCGTTACGACTTGATGCACATTAAAGATCCCAGGATGGCAGTGGTACTGCACTGTCTAAATTTCTTGTCTATGGTGTAGATCGATGTTGCCGTACCTCGAAGGCCGCCCGACTCTACGCTGTCCCCTAAACACAACGTCAAATTCGGTCTTCAAGTTTTTTCTGTCCATTTTAGCACCGCTTTACCTTTTATAAGTATCACAATTGTACTTCAAAACACTGTCAACTGGTCCGGGCCTTTTCCTACCATTTTAGCGACATTTGATGAGAACGGCAGTGGGACGGCAACATCCAAAATTGCCAATAACGAAAGTAATTGTCTGCTCTAATTTGACTGCGGTCATTACATATGAACTAGAGCAGATATATACCGCATCTACTTGCACAATAAACATACCCACCACAAAAGTCGTGAACATTCACATTTTTCTGCCCGCCCGCAACAAAAGCCACCCTCAATTTTGGCTCTGCAAATCTTGAACTGCGTCTGACTCAGTGGCTCTAATATGACCCAGCCAGCCACCAAGTGGCCTGGCGAAAGCAGGACTTCATGGCTACAAGTGGGAAGTTGCAAAAGCGACCAACGGCTTGGCTGCATGCACAATGAGTAACAAAGCCGGGGTTGAGGAATCGTCCAGCCCTCTGGATCTCTGATACAGCACCGTTGCGAAAGTCACTGTGGTCCGTTCTTCACTTTCAGACAGTGGAATAGTGAAAGTGGGCAAAGAGTGGTCAAGTCGCTTTTCATGCCGCCGAGGCGGAAGATGCATCAGGAATCCAAAACACCTTTTCTCCGACAAAAAAAAAAAGTTTTTTTGTTTTATTTTTTTTGTTCCATGGCCCTCACCTCAGTGAGGTGCTGTGCCAGCTCCGGGTTGACTTTGGTGGCCAGGGCCGTGTGGGCCACCCTGACCAGGAGGTCCCGGTCAGGCGTGGAGGGGGCAGCCACCTTGAGGGACTCCAGCACCTCCAGGGCCTTGGCCTGAGCCAGCTCAAAGCCTTCTGCCAGGATGCGCGGGTGCAGGCCCTGCAACACGCCAACCCCACCCGTGCAAGTCAGGGCACGCCACAGTGCAAGTGCAACGAGTCTCAAACCAGTGCGGTTACAACATCCTCAAAACTGGTCTCCCCCCCATTTCTCCCATTCATGACGTGGTACAAGTGTCATGCTGTTTTCTGTCGAGGTACCGGCAGTGGAAGTGGATGTGGCACATGAGTGTTTTGCTGTGGGTCATTTTACAGCCAGAGTCAACAAAAACCGAAGCAGCACCACATGTGGTGCCGCAATAATGTCGACTCTCATCTGCTCGTCATTTTTGCCGGCATTTCTAAGACCAACCGCCAGGATCGCGACATCCCTCGACACGACGTGCCGGCTACTGCGACTTCATTTGTTGACACTTGGGGTCTGCTTTCGACGCATGGAGGGTGTAAGAGACTCGAAATGCTTTTCGTACACCACCAATCACCTCAAAACCTGCCCCGGTCTCACCTCGGAGACGTAGAGGTCGGCCTGCTTGAGGAGCTCGCCGATGATGAGCACGGTTGAGGTGGTGCCGTCTCCCGTGATGTCGTTCTGGGCCGTGGACGCCCGGGCAATCAGGTTGGCCGTCGGCAGCTGGATTTGCTGTCAAGAAAAGACACTGCATTCTTGTTGGACGTCTTGGGGTCATTTTGCGTGCTTCTGAAGCATCTGGGACAATTAAAATATCTAAATCTATGTCGGGGTTGGCAGCGGCCCTTTAAAGGGATACTACTACGAAATTTCAGCGCTTATTTCTTAGTCTGGACATGTTCAAAGGAGCAGCATCACATCGGACACAACAATATCGTTACAAAACACATGAAAAGGATTTTAAAACAAATTAAACAGTTAAACAACAAAAAAAAAGCACATGGTGGATGTCTTAAAGCCTTGTTTGTAATGCCCGTCTAGGAACTTTGACAGGTAGTGATGGTAACTGTCTCGCCAAGAACTAACTATGCATGCTTTGAACCTGACGTCCTCCTGAGAGCTCTACGGCCAGCACAAGAGAAGAGGGGAGGGAGGAACTCGCCACTCAACGAGACTCTCTAATGCCCGTCTATAGAAGATTAAAAAGCCACTCAAAATTCACACAAAAACAGATTTGCAGTTAGTTGGGGTGGCCCGATGTCGGTGGCTGTAACGGCTAAGACCTCGACGACGTCAGCCTCGCCGCAGTTTTGTTCATTCCGAGACAGACGTCACGGTTCCACCGATTGCGGCTTGCTTCCGCTGGCTGCTCTCCGAGCCCCTGCCAGAGTGGGCCGTTTATAACGATAAATACAGCTGTCAGGCTCAAAATACAAACATGCGAATGTCATTTACGGATATTGTGGATCATATTCAGCCTATTTCTGAACACGACGGGCATACCTATTTCATATTTCGTTGAAGTATCCCCTTTAGGTTTTTGGGGTCTCATGTGTAGCTGATGCAAATATGTCACAACAGCTTAGAATGCTATTTTTAGAGAAGCTAGCAATCTTGTGTTGTGGTCTTGGACCTCTAAATCTAGATCATGACCGAAAAGACCTCTTTTTTCAAGCATGCCTTCAACTCTCGTTCGTATAAAAAAATGGGAAAATTTTCACTCCTGCAAAGTAGTTGGCTGGATTCCAATAAAAGAAACCCCACCATTTCATGCAGCAGAACGTTGCCATCCTTGGTGATCTTGATTTCTCCAGCACCCGATACGAGCCTGAAACAATACAGTTCGGTTGGTAAATAGTGTGTGCGACCATTGGCACGAATTCGGTGTCAGCACTCGTTCACATTGCATCCACATGGATTAACACCGAGAGCCAGCCTAGCTTACGGACACTTCACACCAACATTATTGACAGAGGCATCTTCACTGCTTGCAAAAAGAAACTTGGGAAACTGATAATCACTTTAGTTTGAATATACTCAGCTTATCACTAAGGTGACAGTCTGATGGGAGCTACGCACTCGTCGGACCAATCAACCGCCTTTTTGTCATCACAAGTTCATTTGGACGGGAGCGTGATCATGTGGCGAAAAATAGACCAATCTGGCCGGCACGTAGCTTTTACTACACTGTCAGCTTGGGGTGAATGAAGCTGCATTGCACACTGTTCATAATCTGACCTCAGCAAATCAACGAGAGCCTAGAGATCCACGAAAAATCTGCGTGTTAAGTGAACCAGAACTGATGAGCGATTCTTCTTAGATCAGTGCCCGAGAAGCACACCAAAGATATCCAACTGTTTGCATCAACTTGAGCAAACCACATTTTTAATTAATTAGTACTATAAAGACGCGCATTCTCAAACAACTGCTTTCTCTTTTCTTTTTTGACATCTCTTGCCGCTGCTCACAAGTAAGGAATACATTAGTTTGACATGGTGGGTGTAACAGCTTCAAATAACGAGGACGACAAAAGGAATAGACACGACAGGACAACAGTTGTACTCACAACTAAAATGTTTCATTAGAAAAGGAAAAGAGAACATATAAGTCAGTACCAGACAACACAGTGTGTAATCAAACAATATGCCCTCCACGAGGCCCGTGCCATCAAAATAGGTTCACATGCCAGTCATGGTCTGGCTCAAAAAGGACAGCTTCTTATCACATAAGCCCCAACCGACGGCTCACTCACGCATTTTTCTCCGAGGCACGAAATATAATAGGCCTCAATAATTTTGCGAGTGGCCCTCTCTCTATGTCTCCCTTCAACCATCACTTCGTGAAAGGCTGGCTGCCACGTGCAGTCTCTGCAATGCAAAGGAAGGAGTCCCCCCACCATGGCCCTCAGCGAGTAAGCATGCTCCTAGAGCCTATCATTAAGGCACCTCCCTGTCTGGCCCATGTAGAATTTTCCACATGACAGGGGTATCTTATACACCACTCGAGACGTATGACACAAAAGGTTTTGCGTGCCTTTTGGTACATTTCATCTTTACCCGATTATTGGCTCTTGGCCAACACTGGCACAAATCTGGCTCATTTTTTGGGGGGCCGAGAACACTACTGGGACTCCATACCGGCCTCAAACTTGTTTAAGGTAGCAGGAGACACGGTGGATGTAAGCGACCACCACCTTTCGCTTTTTATCTACGTCGGCCCTCACCCTTTCTATCCCATTTGCCTTCTTCAGAAGGGCACTTGCCATCTCTGTTAAACGCCCGGCGGGTACCCCGACGCCCTCAGTCTCTTAACCTGTGCTAAGGTACGTCGTGCCTCAGAGAAAAATGTGCGAGCCGTCGGTTGCCGTATGTGATAAGAAGCTATCCTTTTTGCACCAGACCATGACTGGCATGTGAACCTATTTTGATGACACGGGCCTTGTGGAGGGCATATTGTTTGATTACACACTGTGTTATCTGGTACTGACTTATGTGTTCTCTTTTCCTTTTCTAATGAAAAGTCATGTCTATTCTTTTCATCCTCGTTTTTGGAAGCTGTTACACCCGCCATGTCAAACTTTTACCAACTCGCCCAGTTCAACACCTTAATACATCAGTGTTTTTAGGCTGGACCTACGCAATTCGTAATTCAATAAATAAATAATAGTAAAAAAAAAAATAAAGAGATTGATTTTGTTAGAATACAACAAAAGCGAATGCAACCTTCTGCGTAATCTTTCGAAGTGGAATATTCGAACATTTCACTCGCCATGCTGAATCGGGCAACATATCTCATGGGTGGAGCAGCAGACTTTTCACCGTATATGGAATGGGAAGCGGCCCACGTTTGTCACTGCGTCAAATTCCCTTCTAGTACAGTACGCTTTTCTTTTTTTTTTTTTTTGAAATCGAGTTCTTAAAAGTTTTTTTAACCGCGGTACCCGCGCGTCCGAAATAAGCGTACCGTCAGTTCAGCAACGGTTCGATATTTTCTAGTAGAATCGGTGATGTTCGCGGGCGACGCGCCGGCGAGGGACCCAGCTGACTCGAGTCACGTCGTTTACGGACACCAGCACCATCTCCCTTAATTTTCGTCGGCTGCAATAAAACCTTCTTGCTTAAACAGTCAAGGTGCCGCAACCTAACAGCATCAGAATGTGAACCTTTCTCGCAAGGTTCACCAACGAGTGGGCAAAGCGTGATGAGCTTAGGCTTAGCAGTCTGACAATGCTCACTCACATTTTCATGGTCCCCGTCGGCCCCAGGTTCGTACGCAGGACATTCTGCAGGCCTCGTGCTGCGTTGATGTTGACTGCGAGAGCCTGTGCGTGACGGGCAACCTCAGCCTTTGGGTTTAGTGTGAGCACAGCGGCCATCGCTGTTCAATAATAGCAAGAAATATTACCAGCAGCGACTACAACACACTCTTCCGCGTGCGCGACAGCGGTAATGGCGGAACAAGACCCGTGTTGCTAGATTTTTAGACCAACTCCGTCGACCAACAATACTTTTAACCAACAAAATAAAAAAAAAAAAAAAAAAAAAAAATCTTGGCTAGACGTTAGGGTCTTAAAAAAGACAAATATTACTCAAAGTCATCCAAATTACCTATTAAAAAGGTTAAATATTCGCTCCCCAAAGTGGGCTCACTTTCGTTTTGTGACGTGAGGAGGGCAAATAAAGAAAAAAGTGATAAAAGAGGGGCTTTGAGAGAGCCTAGATTCTAGAGTGGGTCCATCTCTAACCATGGGGTACGCTTTCAAAATAAGACGCCACCGGCGAAGATTAGTCGTAGCAAGGAGGAAAACGGGCAGAAAGTTTGAAACGCTCGCAGACGACGAACGCGTTCGTCACCTTGCAACTCGTATTGCAAACACGGCCCATACACCAAGTGACCCCGATTGAGCAGCTGGAAACTCTGTAATGCAGGATTTCCGACTCGCAACCTCCTTGCCGACTCGCCTGCTGGCCGCAGTGCTCCAGGGAGGTCCCCAAACATTTGCACGACCCATTTAACAAACAACTACTTAAAAAAAAAAATCGTGAGTTTTTTTTTTTTTTTTTTTTCTGTTAGGGTGGATGACCAGCAAAGCTGTTTAGCACAGGACACGTACAGGCCCGCCCCGTGGAGCCGGAGGAAACTAGACACGCGCGACGGGACCACCAACCCGGGAGAGCGGAAGGAAAGGAAACTAGGCAAGCAAGCACTTGGAACGACAAAGGGAGGGCAGTGCAGGGGGGCTATGTTGCGCTTTTTGCACTCCCAGGAGACTAGGGAGAGGGAAGTGACGTCAACGACACAGCAAACGCAGATTGGGTGTTGATTTCGTTTTCTTCTGTCAACATCCAATCTGCGTTTGCTGTGTCGTTGACGTCACTTCCCTCTTCCAAGTCTCCTGGGAGTGCAAAAAGCGCAACATAGCACCCCAGGCGTAGACATGGCCGACGCGGGTCGCACAGCGGCAAGTCTTTGAGAAACCTTTATTATCTACCCGAGTCTACTGATCTTGAAAATGGTGCCTATGCAGAGTGCAATTTCGTCCGCCGCTTCTGCAGGAGTTGTGGTGACGTCAGAACGCTGAGCTCCGATTGAAGGATAGTGGGTAGACCTCAAGGCAGCTTCTTGAGGTCTGCCCACTGTCCGTTAATTAGAACCAGCCGCCTCGGTGGCTCCGAGGCGAGAGCGCCGGCCTATGGATCCCCATGTGGCGGGTTCGAATCCCAACCGAAGTGCCAGCAATCTGACGGAGTCTAATTGCGGAGAAGGCGCCCTGTAATCGAGACTTCGGTTGCACGTCAAAAGATCCCCAGGTGGTCGAAATTAATCCTCAGTCCTCCGCTGGGGCGTGCCAGATGCCCGTCGGTTTGGCACGTAAAACCCCCAAATTTAAATTTGACTTAAATTAAAGCCAATCAGAGCTCGGCGTTCTGACAACACCACAACCCCAGCCAAGGCAGCTGCAGACGAACCTGTGCTCCGCATTGATAACTGTAATCAACTGAACAGACCTATTGCTAAATTACCCAAGCATCAAGGAGAATGCTCGGAATGGTGTTCCACGTGCCGCACGTGCTGGTGTCTGCAGCAGTAACTGTTCGAAAACAAAAGTCTAAAACAAATATCTTGCACACACGTTCGTCAACGCTTTATTTGGGTTATTTACTTTGAATCTTTTATACGGGGAAGGCATGTGCGTGCGAGCGTGTTTTTAGTCACTGCACACGAAAAATCCACGGAACCCTAGCCATAAACAGCTTTGCTGTAATATAAAGAAGCTACATGGCACGGCGGGCAGTGCGAGTGTTGCGATGAAAATCTTTGCCACCGCGAGGGGCGCAGCAGTCTGCAGGCGAGTCGTTTTAATCGGAAACATTGTGATCGCAGCCTGTTGCCTCCCAGCTACCCCCACCCATCAGTCACGTCTCTACCCGGATTGGTCGGGTGTACAAAGCTCGTTCGATTTACTTGCACTTCCCACATTGATGCAGAAAAGTGTACAGCGGTGTACTTCCGGTTGTATCTCAATACACATACCGGAAGTACACTGCCCTACACGTTTCTGCACCGGTGCAGGAGGTGCAAGGAAATCGAACAAGCCTAGTGTGCAGTGGTGGTGTGCAGCAGCAAAAGCTGGCGCATCCTGCCGGCCAAAGTGAGACAGAGGTAGGGAGAAAAAAAGCAGGCGGTTGGAATTGCGAATGAATTGGGCTGCACTAAGACAATATAATTTGTGACTTTCCAGGTGTTTTAATTGCATTTGTTTAAACGGAGCCTTAAGGGTTGCGACGTTTGAGCTCACCTGAATCCAAAGTTTCCCGAATCCTAGCGTGGCCGTCCCTACACTTGCTTTTCAAAGCAACGAAGCTAAACTCTGTTGCAGGATAAAAAGAGCATGTAAGCTCCTCCCGCAAAGCCCTCCTCCCTTTCCACTTTAGCAAGGCGAATGCCGGAGGGCTGGCAAGTCCCTCATCACCCTTTGCCTTCTCTCCAGCGCTTTCCTTGGTAAGGTGTAAAGTGGAGGGTTTCGTAGAAAGAGCTTGTTCTGCTTTTCTTAACCTGCAACAAAGTATGCGAAGAGCAAGTCGTCAGCTTCTTTTGCAGGAGTTGTGTTGATGTCTGAAAGGCGCCGAGCTCCGAATGAAGGATGGTGCGTAGACCTGAAAGTGAGCTGCCTTGAGGTCTACCCACTATCCTTCATTCAGAACCAATCGAAGCTCAGTGTTCCGACGTCACCATAGCCCCTGCAAAAGCAGCAAATAAACTCGCGCTCCGCATAGATCCTGCTGGTTCCATTGAGTTATGGTGAGCTAGACTGAGCACCTGAAACATCACTTTGGCGCCATTGTGGTGACCTTATGTTTCGCCACCAAGTTCAAAAAAAAAAAAGAAAGCGAAAGCTGCTTCTCTCCTTTTCTTAATGACACTTTTATAAGACCCTCAAATTCCTCAAGTTTTCTACCAAGGATTCTCAAATCAAGTCTCGGTCAAGTGGCAGCAGTTTATCATAAAGTGGTACCCTCCTCAATCTAGCTTCCTTGAACTACCCATTCCACAAAAGTGTGTCAAATGGGTTTGTCAGGAGTGAGCATGACGAGTTCAGCATCCCTTTTGTAAGCTTATGGCCCTACTTCATTCACTTAAATGTAACTGCTTAGAACACCCAGTGACACCAACAAGATAAGCCTTTTTGGTTTTAGTGCAATTCCATTCCACTCAACAACTGCCATTATGCAGAAAAAAAAGGTAATTCTGCAAGGATATGCTGGGATGTTATTGCATTCAGTGCCACGAATGGTTATGCAGCCCTCGTAGCTGCGGCAAAACAATGTTAAGCCTTCCGTTCCAGGGATCCCAACTGAAGATAATGCAGTGGAGAAACTATTATCATGAGACATATGGCACACCTCCCACATGGCGCATCAGTACCGACTTGATGGAAGCTGCCATCAAGACTCTATTGCTATGTTTTTCTGTGCTACATACCCAACCACTCTGGGAACAGAGGCAACATGCAAGCCCAGCTAGTTAACTGCGTCGGGCTTTCACGCAGAAAAACAGAAGTCGTGAGGCAGAGTGAACCATGCAGTCTCCATTGTGCTGACATGTGGCAAATGGGTTATGCAGAAGTGTAGTCTCCACGGAGGACGGGCACACTTGAAAAAGTGATCCTAGCCAACATGAACGGTCCTACAAGATATACCTTATTTAAGGCCCGTTCACACTCTTGCGACCTCTTAAACCTGGGTTCCTTAAAACTTCTTAAACCAGAGAACACACTGGCGCCATCTATTGGGAAGCAGTGTAAACTCGACGGTCCGGCATATTTTGTTTTATTTCTCGCGCATTATCCTTTCTTTCTTGGCTCGAAAAACTTTTGTCACTGTTATAAACGAGCCTTTCTATGGATATTACACACATTTTTCCTCGGAAATCCCGCAAAACCTTCGCTCTTGTGAAATGCAGTTCCAGGGTCACCGCATAGATGGCGCCACAATGCCAGTGTGTTCCCTCATTCTAAAAACATTTAAGAAGTTTCAAGAAATCTCGTCTCTCTCAGTCGTACTCGGTCGCAAGAGTGTGAACGGGCCTTTACTCGCATAATGAACGCACCCCCCCCCCCCCCCAACGGGCATCAATATTTGGACTTTTCTTCGTCTCGCGTAATAAACACTATTTCTAATTTTCCGCTCCGCGAGTCTTGAAGGCAATTTTCTTTTGCCGCCTCGTAATGGCTGCAATTGCACGGTTGCGGAAGTGATCAACCGTGAAACCACACAGCGTGCACACCTCGCAAAACTGGGATCGAGGAATTTCCCAGCCCCGGACGTGCTTCATCCATCGGATGCATCGATGTCAACAAACACGCCGTCATTTGTGGTCCACTTTCGGACAGTAATATCGTGAAAGTGGCTAGGCCTAAGAACAGTCGCGTCACTCTCCGTAGGGTGCTTTTTCATTGGCAAAAGGCACACCAAAAGCACCCCAGAAAAGGTTTGCAATTTATAGAGCATGGTTACTGTGCCGCACGAACGACCAGCCAAGGGTGGGAGACGTGCCACAGTACCCTGCCATGTCGTATTGGCACCTAAAATGACATTTGCAGTGCGTAAATGCAAAAATTTTACCCTGCATAATGAATGCACCCCCCCAAATATGTCAATTTTTTGGGGGAAAAAAGTGTCTTCATTATAAAAGTAAATGCAGTATGGGCGACTGTTTATGCCCATACCTCCCAGAAACATACTGGGCAGGATTATCTTCAAATGTTTTAGGTAACAGAAGTATGAATTTTGGAGCTTTGGCAACTTGGTATCTGGTAAAATCGATCGCTCAACATCTGTAACTGATGCACTAAGATGCAGGTTTCTGGCTAAAGTTTGAAAAAAATGTGATAGCATAAAGGGCATACCAAAGGATTTCTGAAAGCACAAGAGACCCCCAAGAAACAATTTTTCAACCTCATTGCACAGCATCCATTTTTGATGAGCAGGAACCGTTTAGCTTGCCAAGAGAATGGCAGCCAGTTTTGTTGCCGTTTAACAATACTCAAGAAATGAGGTGAACATAAAAGCCAAAATGGCTTTTACATTTAATCTTTTCTTTCCTTCCGAGGTGGTAAAAACTGAAGGTGCCATCAAGGCAAGAGGCAAAGAAAGACGAGACTTAGAGGCATTCTTCGCCAGGACATTGACTGCCCTGGTGCTCTGGACGTTACTTAGTGACATATGTTTCTTGCACCTCTCAAATGAAGCATGCAGCTTGTTCCTTTTCGGTTCAGTTATCCTATGACCGCACCTTTTTACTTTCTTGTTTTCAACTCAGTCATTCGGGACAGGTAATTTGCAAGTATGGTGCATGCTGACCGATTGAACTTTTATCAGTGACGAATTCAGAGGGGGGGGGGGGGGGGGGGGGGTCCGGTTGTCCTGACCCCCTTTTGAATTCTGCATATGTAAAAATTTAAGGGGGGGGGGGGAGATAAATGGTGGCGGAATACTTGCATCCACCTCTGCCTTGCACGGAATGTAAGGTAATCTGATAGTTTCCAAGCATCTGTACCCCGTAATTGGCATTCAGTGGCGTTTGCAATAAAAAATCTGGATCACAAAACGAGATTAAGCATGTATTTGCTCTGCTGTCCCAGTCTCCACAGTTCGACTTCTTAGACTTTCTGTTTCACTATTTCCTAACGCAGATGACAGAAATGTAACATACTTCTTAGCGAATGGGCGGCCATGGACTAGGGTAGTTATGAACTGCTTCGTGCTTGGTGGAACCGGTAATCAAACCTATATTTTACATATATGATTAAACTGGAACCAAACCTAAACAATATACAAAGCTACTGAACCCAACCCTAACTGGAATAATGACTGGTTCAATACCTTTGTAGAAATAAGTTTCTGGAAAAGCACAATGTGTGCCCAACATTCAACCTTTTTCCTTTCCAGTTACTTGGCTCTGGCACATCCATATTTGGTAAGAGTAAACAGAAAAAAAAACCCACCAATTCATCGCAGAATTGTAAGGTTGCCATGGCACCCAATGAACACCAGGTCAAGGCCCTGCCCCTTTCATCCCCTCGGTCCCAAATGAATTAACACACACACAGGGCTTCATGTTAAAGGTCCTTTCTTTCTGTCTCAAAAAAAAAAAAAAATTAACAGGAGAATTACAATTGTGCATTCAGCGCTGCAACTGCTCCAGAGAAACAGGGTCCTAAAATATTCACCTCCACGCGCACGAAAGAGAAGGGTGAAAACCTATGTACAGCCAAGACGAAAAAAAAAAAAAAAATATGAATGTACAGCTTTCCTTGATCAACCCCTGCGGTGGCAGCGCCGAGAGTGTCCCCAAAGTATACAAACTCGCCCCTTTGTACAAAGGTCCCCCTCCCCCGGGAGGACAGAGCCACCGTGAAACTTGAGCTGAGAGAAGATGAGGCAGTGAGAGGAGGCACGACACACACACACTTGGTGTCAGTCCTCGTCCGACAAGGGTTCGTACTGCGAAGACATGAGCACAGACGACGGGGGCGGGGCCGCGGGGGTGGGGCCCGCCGGGGCTCCGCCCCCGGCCGCCACGCTCGTGCCCACCGGGTTGCTGGGGGCCACCGCCATGGAGCGCACCGAGAGCGCCGAGAACGGGTAGGCGTACGTCGTGGGGAAGGGCTGGGCGGGGCCCCCCGACGGGTAGAAGCGGGGCCCTGGTTGCTCTCTCGGGGGGGACACGGGCTCGTGCCGGGGGGGACCACAGTCCTCGCGGTGGCTGCCGGCTGGGTGCAGGGGGGACACCGACCGGGGACGGAACTTGCCCCCCCGCCACTCAGTGTGCGGGCCGGACTCAATGGCTGAGGCCGGCCGGGGGGGCGCCACAGGGCTGGGCTGCTGCGGGTGGCCCCCCTCGCTCAGGGGCCGCTCAGGGGGCTCTGAGGGACCCCCCTTGCGCAGGGCGTCGATCCCCTTGTGCGGAGACGGCTCATCCGCCGTGCGCATCACTTCCACTATCCGGTTCTTGACATAGTCCAAGGCTGAGAGTCCCATGTGTTGCTGCTGCTGTTGCTGTTGCTGGTGCTGCTGTTGCTGCTGGTGCTGCTGATGCTGGTGCTGCTGCTGCTGGTGCTGCTGCTGCTGGTGCTGCTGGTGGTGCTGCTGCTGCTGATGCTGCTGTTGTTGTTGTTGATGCTGCTGCTGCTGTTGTTGATGCTGCTGCTGTTGTTGATGCTGCTGCTGCTGCTGCTGTTGTTGTTGCTGTTGTTGCTGCTGCTGCTGCTGCTGGTGGTGGTGGTGTTGTTGCTGCTGCTGGTGCTGCTGGTGTTGCTGCTGTTGCTGTTGTTGCTGCTGCTGATGTTGCTGAGAGGGCCTCATGTAGGCTTCGGGGTTGCCTCCTTGTCGCGGGGGTGGGCCGCCGTGGTGGGGTGACCACTCCATGTGCGGTCCCACCAGCTCGGGTTGTCCTGGCGGGGAGATGGGCTCCACGTAGGGGACCCCCTGGGGACCCCGGATGATGTGGCGCTGCTCTTCCTTGGCCTCCGAGGACTGCAGTGCCTTGCGCAGCTTCCAGCTGTGGTAGCTGTGGGGGGCGTCCGGCTCGGCAGCCGGCGCCGTGGGCACCATGCCGGGCTCCGGCGCGTAGCAGGTCCTCATGGCCGCCTCCACCCGGCTGTGGCTGTAGAGGGGTGCCGTGCCGTCACTCGGGTTGCAGATGTTCTTGGAAATGATGGCTGCAATATGCTGGTTCAAGGTGATGACCTTCTCCCCGGATGCCTCCATGCGGGGCAGCCGCTGCTCGGCCGAGGGGCCATCCTCGATGGTCACCACCTCCTCCCGGGGCTTGAGGCGGGGAGGGAGGCTCTGCGGCTGGGGGCTCGACTGGGGCCCGCCCTGCGCCCCCTTGGGCTCCCCCGCTGGGCCGTAGCGCGACAGGATGGTGTCCATGGCCCCCGGGTTCTGCTTTGGCTCCGTGCTCTGGTTGATCTGGTGTGTGATGATGGCGTCGATGAGGTTGGCTGCTGTGATGCCCTGCGGGGATGGGGACGGCTTGGGGCTGTCCTTCTGGAAGGACTGCGAGAAGATGCGCGAGGCCTCGTTGTCCAGCTCCGCCTGCTGGGTGCGGCTGAGGAAGGCCGGGGGGGGCCCCTTGGGGGACTGTTCGTCTCGCTTGTCCCGGGACACCTGCTGCCTCATCTCCCGCTCAAACTGCTCTCGGCTGAAGGGCTCCCTGGCCAAGCGAACTTGCTGCTGCTGCTGTTGCAGTTGCTGCTGCTGCAGTTGCTGCTGCTGGTGCTGGAGTTGCTGCTGGTGTTGCTGATGTTGTTGCTGCTGCTGCTGCTGGTGATGTTGATGCTGCTGCTGCTGCTGCTGCTGCTGCTGCAACTGCTGCTGCCGGGCCACCTCAACCTCCCTGCTGCGCACCTCCATGAAGCGCTCTTCGGCCCTCAGACGCTCGGCCTCCCTGTAGTCCTGGGGCGGCGGCGGCATGTCCCCAAACTGCCGGGGCCGCTGGTGCATCTCGAGCAGGGACTTCTCGAGCCCCTCCACGGCGGGGCGCTCCCGGGGAGAGGGCTTCTTCTCCTCCTTGGGCACCACCAGGCTGGGCTGTGCGGCCGCCGTGTTCACCAGGGTTGTGAAGGGGTCCAGGCTGGAGGGGGACACCACCGGGTAGGGCTGGCTCATGCGCGGGGACTGAACCCGGCGCCCGGGGCTGGCCACCTCCATGGGGGGCTCGCCCCGGGGGGAACCAGCCTTGGGGGCCTGGATGACGCTCTTGGCCCCGCCCCAGGGCACGCTGCGGATCACGTTCTGCCGGGCCGCCGCAGGGTGCATGCCCTTGCCGGCCCAGACTGGGTCTCCGGGGCCCCGGTCCATGGGTGGGGGGCCCCCGTGCTGCAGGAACACGGGCGGAGGAGGCGCCCCCTGTGGCCCGAAGTAGGGCACCTGGTAGACTGGGTGGAGCCCCGCAGGGGCCGGGCTGGGGCCCCGCCCCTGGGGCGAGGCCCTGGCGTCGGCACCCGAGGAGCCCCTCCGCATCTGCTTGGAGGTGTGGAAGTCGATCATGATCTGGTTGGTGCTGAGCTGAGATTCGCTCGAATACTTGGGCCGGAAGGCCGGCGAGTAGCCTGGCACGGGACCCTGGAAGCCCGCCGTCCGGTAGTACTGTTCCGAGGGGTCGTAGGGGCGGGGGTCCTCGTGCCGCTTCTTGGCGGGGCCCTCGTGGGGCACAGGTGTGCCCAGGGTGATGGAGCCCGCAGCCTCCTTGGCCCCCTGGGGTGGGGTCAGCTGGCGCAGCAGGCCCTCGTAGCGGGGCAGAAAGCCCCCGGCCGGCTGGTTCAGGGGGGTGCCCTGGGTGATGGAGCCCCCCGGCGCCTTCTCCTTGAACAGCAGCTTGGGCGACAGCGGGGGCTTGCTGGCCGCCACCAGTGGGGGGGGGCGGCGGCACGGCCCCCTTGCCCCCTGTTTTGGCCAGGCTGCGGGGGGCCAGGGACTGGGCCACCAGGTGTGGGGGTGCCCCCCGGTCTGGGGGGCCTCCGTAGCCGACCCCCCGGGGGGGCCCCGGGGCAAACATCCCCTGGGGCGGGGGTGGGGGCTCCGGGGTCCTCCGGAAGTGGTTGGAATGTGCAGGGGGCGGCTGGGAGGCATACTGCTGCGGCTGCTGCTGCTGGGGGTAGCCGCCCGGGTACGAGACTACCTGCGGCTTCTCCCGGCGGACGGGGGGGCTGGGCTCCCGGGAGGACTTCTTGCTCAGGTCCTGCACCTCGTAGTCCTCCTGGGGTGCCACGTGGCCAGGGAACTGGGCCACCAGGCCCTCCGGCCGAGCCAGACTGTTCTGCACCAGGTAGGGGGACCGGGCGGGCTCCGGCACTTGGGGCCCCTCGCCTCGCTCGTCCTTCTGGCCGGGGGGCCCGTTGCGACCAGGCTTCATAGAGTACTGCAGAGTCATTTCGATGGCCTGGAAGATCAGGTCCCGCATGCAGGTGGGGCCCTCCCGGCCTGCCTGCTCCTTGGGCTCCGGGGGCGGCCGCTGGGGCCGCTCTTGGTCCGCCGCCTGGCCCTCGTCCGCGCTCACGGTGGCGCTGCTGTCGTAGTCAGCCGACGCCTCGAAGCCATTGTTGCCGTCCGTGCCGGGGGCCTTGGCCAGGGCCTCGGGGGGAGGGGCCAGCGCGGGCATGGCCGGGGCCAGCATGGGCTTCTCGCACTCCCACACGGACACTGCAAGCGGGGAACCGTTGATGCAGCGGCCTACCTCTCGTCGTGATTGAGGGACAGCGTGGGCTAAGGTGGGGACAGTGTGACTTTCTGCATCCTACAATAGAGGAGCACCGCTGTGCAGCCTTTGTCAGTTCTAAAAAAAATGCCCGTTTGGAGCCGAAGTCGTGCAGCGAAACCCCCATAACAAAGACGAGCTAGCTCAATTTGAGTAAAGGTTTGACGTCTTTTTCTCTTTAGGAGATCACATGTTTTACCATCACAAGTTAGTTGAAGATGCTGCAGACAATTAGTGAGTTTAAGAATAAATAATTAAAATTGTTTAAATATTGACATTCAATTTTGCGTCTTAGATAAATCGGCCGAGTTTCTGAATTAGTAACAACTACAATAATGGCTAAGCATATCTTTTCTACATTCTTGAAAAGCACTTAAAGATGATAATTTCTATACATTTTACACTATTTTATATGAAGTAGTTTGTTGGTAAATAGTTTGCAAATGTGCCTCTTAAACATGTTTACTTGTGTTTCAAAGCTTTTTTGTGCATAGAAATCTTTTACTGTAATTTTTCACAGTCCATAAGATTCCTTCAAAAAAATATGCAGGAAAAATTATTACTATGTGCATGCTTCGGTGAGAAATTGACGGCTGTGCAAAGTCCCATAGTAAAACATTGGCAATCTCCAAGCCTCGAGCTTTGACATTTTATGTCTCCGGGATAAAATTTGCTACAGCGTTCATATATAGCTGCATGCTGCTGCCAAGAACATGGCTTTTACATACATTTTTTACATTAATACAAAAAATGCGACCCAGACCATCATTGCACGATCAAAGGTGGAAACACCTACAGCAAGTTTTCATGCACTTCGTAGCTTTACCACCAATGCTAACAGCCATGACTTCTCTTTTCAAGAAGCATAGCCCGTTCCATACTTTCTATGTTTTACTCTCTATGCCATAGCTTTACCTACACTCATGTACAGCTAAAGCATGGGAGCATGACACAGCACGGACAAAAGATTGTCTATATTTCTCAATTTTCTTGCAGAACGAGAGTTAATAGTGCAATGAAATGTAATTATATGGGGCACCCACTCGGATGGTTAACTTTTCTAATCAATGCCTGCACTTCACATCAATATAACGTGCAAAGACGCCAATGTCACGGTATCACCGTGTGGCACAGTGCAGAGAGCCGTCGCACCGATGGTCACGACGACGACCTTGCGGCGACACGCTCAGAAACCGGGATTTGGCAATTTCAACGTACGGGCAGAAGGGGGCGAACCCTGATATCGGAAACCCGTTTATGCCTCGATCGCAATGTACCAAAACTTTTGGACCCTATGCCAGTTTCGATACTGTGTCAGTGGACTGGATACCCCCCAGCTTGTGGGATCCCAGACTGGGTTCCTCAAACCCCGGTGCTCCCCAAGTTCCTAAATCTCTTTGACTGTCTCCATCCCCACGTAAGGCTTTTTCTTTGTTCTTTGTTCAACACTATTGTAGAAGATCTGAGCCACCCACCAACACACAACCACGAGCCAATCGCTCCCTAGTACATCAATTATTGTTTAGAGGAGCTACAGGCTTCTCAACTTCTCTACTGCACCAACGCCGAGACCGGAGAGGGTTTCTTGGCCGTCGATCGAGAGACTTCTCCGGGATCGGAAAAGTTGTAGTAGTAGCCAAGAGGTGGACAAGCTGGAAGCGGGGGAAGAAAGGGAACAAACCTTCGTCCATCTGCTTGGCCGAAGGACTGCAGGCGCTGGCAGTGTCGCTGCTGCAGCGGTCTGCACAGTTGTCCTCCTCGCAGCTTGTTGTCGTCTCCCCGCTGTCTTCGTCGTCCGTCACCTGCCGCTTGCCGTCGTCCTTGCTGGCCTGCACCTGCACCAGTGGACCAACGTCGGACATCGAGAGACCGCTCCGTACTCCGTCTCAATGGGGCATGGCAAAGGCTACGGCCCCGGCGAGCCAATCGGCACGTCGGAGGGAGACGCGCGAGTGTATTTCATCTTGCCAGTTGCACACACTGCCGTCAAAGCCACTAACAAGAGAGAAGAAGGCCGCTTTAAAAAAAATCGCGAGCGACGGACTAGTTGTCTAGGCGAAGAAAAGCGACGTCCGAGTTGCGGAGGAGAGTGGAGTTCCTCCCTCCCCTCTTCTCCAACCGCTTGGGTTACGCCCTCGACCCCTTAACCTTTGGTAAGGTCCGTCACGCGCTTCGCCTCCGTCGTTTCGATTGGCTCGAAAGGGCCATGGTTCGCTCTTTGTCGAGTTACGGTGAAACAAAGTATGGCAAGCTACACACCTGTCGCTTTGGTTTCGATGCAGCCAAGTAGTTCATTGCACAATTTTGACAGAGTCGTCAAAATTCTCGACAAGAACATAGAAAATATTTTTTCTTAGAATGAGAAAATTCTTCTAAACCCAACTTCGTTTGACTGCTGGGAAGATGCAGCAATGTATATTGTTTTCAACTCTGCCATATTTGTTGTGCTTTTTTCTTTCTGCCACTTTGGGGAGAAGAGCTTATTTCGAGCCTACAGACGAGGAAAAAAGTGTGTGCAAAGGCCTATGAAGGGCGTAATGTCACCGAGCATTTCTAAAGAATGCCAACAAAGATTAACTTCTATACAGGGCATGCGCGTCATTTTTGGCCACCATAAAAGACAAAAACTTCCGGGTTCTTCCAAATTTACCTTGCGTTTGGCCAGCACGACTCTTGGTTCACTAGCGAGCAATTCCGTGAGAGCTATGCTCTAGAAATGCCTCAGCGCCGTGCTTTTAAGAGGAGATGCGGGTCGAAAAATCAGCATTTTTTCGAATATTTCTGATTTTTTGTTTGTGCTTGTTTTATTGTCCTTATCCTTCTACTTTCACAGATAAAAAAAATCAAAACAATATCTTAACGAGAAGTTAGTAAAAAGTGTGTCTAACTGCCTCGGCGTGGCTCGAGAAATCGCAAATTTACGCGAATGTTCGCTTTTTTTGAGTACCTATCTCTTGGGACGGCGGCGCCGCCCACCATTGCGATCGCTTGTGGCGGTACTCAAGGCCTCATTCTTCCCAGCTGAACTCCACCGGTTTCGCGCTTTCCCAGCCAATAATAGTAAACGGTGCGTTTTACCGCGTCTTTCGAGCGTCCTTACTGGAGTTTTAAATCACGTGACGGTATCGCAAGACCGCCATTGGCTAACGCAGCTTTGAGTGTAAGTTGAAGTGTACATACTGCTCTGTCCGGCGTCGTTGCGCCTCGAACCAGAACTACAGCTATTTCTTCGTTTATCCGAACATTTTTGCCATGGACAATCCGAAGAAGCGTGACTTCCGTGCTTGGAAACACTGGACGAAGAATAAGTTCAAGGGAAGTCGACGCAAAGTCAAGCAGAGAACGACAGCGGAAGATTGTGTTCCGCAGCCGACGGGGCCAGCTAGGCCTAACGACGGCATCGGCGACTTGGAGGAGATTGATGCTGCGTTGACGTTTGTGAGCGCTTCCAGAAAGAAGCTTGGATTCTTCGAGAACGAACAGAGGATGTGCGGCGACGCGTCTGCGAGTGCAGTGATTATGCGACATCGGCACGCTGACGATGCTCAGTTGCGTAGCGACGTGCCCGATGTGTCAGCAGGGCAAGCTCTCAGTCCGGAAGTCCGCTGAAAAACTGAAGGGACTTGCAACGTTCCTCAAACTGCTGTGCAAGAATAGCGATTGTCCTGCGTCGATTTTGTCTTCAACGTATACGTCAAGGCGTGCTGCATCAGGTGGAGATACCAGCGCAAGCCAAGCCTACGACAGCGGAAGCTCACGCGACAGTTTTGCCAGCAAAGTGAAGGCAGTGGTGGCTGCGTGCGCTGTTGATGCGGGACACAAACTTTCGCGTTTCTCCGTGATTCTCGGCTTGCCGACACCAATGCACCACAAGACCTTCAACGCAATTGGCAAGAAGGTCCATGCTGCCGCCACTGCAGCAGCCAGCCAAAATCTGGAGAAGGCACGAAGCTGACTCGGGAGGAGGTGGGTGCAGCTGATGTAGCGTGGTGAAGGAAGCTCACCTCAAGGACTCCAGCCGCAAAAACCGCGAGGGAACAACTTACAGTGCTGGAGAGTTCTAGTGACTTTGGATACTTCCTGGACAGCCTGCCTGTGTTCTGGCGAAGTTTCATGCGACTACAGCTCCTTTTTGATGAGAATATAACTTTTGAACTTTCAGATGCATTTTTCTCTTATTGTGATTTTCAGCAGTCTTCACAGTTTGTGCAGTCCTTTTCTGATACTTACAATTATCGCATCAGAATGAAATTTTGCACACATATTCTTGAAGGTGTATAGATTGCTGATATCTATTTAAACCTGTAATTTTCTGATATATGTTTATGCAAATTGCAATAAACTTCTAGATGGCTTCTAAAGTTACAACATTACAGCATCTTATTGTTTTTCTTTAGATAGGAAAATTATGCTGAACTTGTGAATAGTTAGCAGCATCCTACACCTCATAACGAACAAAATAAGCTGTTGCAATACATTTCTGGTGAAAAGTTAGTATGACAAAAGTTGTGCATAAAAACACCTATTTTTTTGTAATTGTATGGTGTGCTGAACATTAAGTATAGGAGCTATGTCAGAACTAATGACTGTTCTGAAAAGAGGTAAAAAAAACCCACAGGCATGTAAAATTTAATTATCCTGGGGTTTATATTAAATTTAAAAAAAAGAGGCCGCATCTCCACGTGGTGAATGATGTTGATTGGGGCGAAGCTCTGGTCGTGTTGATAATACTGATTTTATTCTTCATAAATAGTGCTGATGGTGCTGATTTTTTTTTTTTTTATTTCTTATAGGTAGTGCTGAGTTCCGGGTTGCGTTTCGACTTCATTATTACTGCTTTATGGTCGGTGAAATGCAGAGCCAGTGGTTCCTCTAGCAGATCAGCTTGGATCCGCTAGAAGCCGTAGCAACGCATCCCCACCGCTTAAGAGGACATAAACCGAAGTTTCAAAATTTTTTTAAAAAATTAATTTTTTTATTTTTGAGGTTTTCAGTTTTAGAAATTAATTATACACCTTGACACTAAATTTCATAACCATGCGCCAAATAGTTAGGTTGAAATAAAATATTTTCAACACACTGTGAGGCAGTAACGAAGAAAAGGAGTGCAATGTTTGAATGCAATGTTCTCAGTTACGCTTTTTGCTGCAAATTTCATACGAAGGAATCTTGTTCGTAGAAAAAATTATTCTGATACCACAATCAAGATGTTTCTAAACTGAAATTTACTGGAGAATTGGGCTATCTACTTTATTTTGTTTTAAGTTAAAGTGCTCATTAAGAAACTATGTTTTCAGAAACTGACATAGGACAGATATGCATCTCATGTTTTGAGGTAATCACTCTTCCTGAAATATTTACATTTGAGTTATAGAAACTAGATAGCCTGAAGTCCCACATCTTCCACTTTATATCTAAGCAGTTAAAATGACGTTTAAGAGCTTCATTTGAATATTGTAGATTTCTTAACGAAGAGTGACACATCTTCTTACGCAGGTATGTAAAAATGTCCTAGAGAGCTGAAAGCTTGCACAGTACACCTACATCTAAAGTTAAATCTCCCCTGCAAATTTCATTCCAATCACTTGAGTAGTTCAGAAGTTCAACCTCTAGCCAGTGTCCCCGCTTAAGTCAACGGTCCATGTCAGAAAGAGAATGTGTGGTATGGATCGTGGTTATATACGCAGGTGAGCATTTGATCGCAGCGCCCTCTCGCCTATAAACATTGAGCCAATGCATGCAAAGTTTAACGCAATTATATATGCATTTGACCGCAGCGCCCTTTCCTGTATAGACGTTGAGCGGCTACATGCAACGTTGGAGTGTAGCGTGGTGGTTAAGACGTCTGCCTCGTAAGCAAGCAGTCCTGAGTTCGAACCCCCGTGCGGGCGTACGTTTTTTTTTTTTTTTTTTAGAAGCGGGCCGATTTCGGAGGCAGTGCAATCGATATGAGCACGGACGCCGGACAAGGCTAGACCCTAAGGAGCTTCGCCCCTAAAAGGGTCTTCGGGTAGCATCTTCCCTTAACTGGCCAATGCATACAGGCACAAACTAAAATGTCTCGAGCGAAGTTATTTCAATTATCACGAGCCAAGGGACGCCATGGACGCTGCCGAGCCTGGGTGATAGCAGGACGACGGCATTGGCAGACTGCACTAGCCCGCTTCGATGTGCTTCCGACAGATGGCGCAACACAATAAACGCGAGAATGTGGCACCTCGACCGACCATCTCCATACAACAACGGGCTATTACAGCACGTATAAGGGCAATGTGCACGGTGATCTGGGAAAGAAACCTCCAATATCAAAGCAAGTGAGTCAAAACAGTAGAAAATTTTGCATTGCAGAGACTCGTTGCATTAAAGGGATACTGAAGCGAAACTTGAAATACACCTATTATGGTCACAAATAGGTTCAATATGATCAATGATATTCATAAATCATAATCGCGCGTTTGTATTTTGAACGGATGGCTATATTTTTCACCCTAATGGGCCCGATTGGGTGCGCGCTCAAAAATCGGCCATCGGAGAGCGCGATGCGTCTTGGGATATTGGGCGCATTCGTGACGTCACTTGTGTCAGACGGGAAAGGCTACGTCGTGAATGTTGTGGTTACGAGCGTTGCCACTTGGTGGCGCGTCGACGATTTACGACCTGTGACAACGTGGCCGTTTGAGATGTGCAAGGGCTGCACGCACGCTGCACCACAGCAAGTCGGCAACCACGGCAGCACTGACAAAACCAGCTCTGAGGCCGGATTCTCAAAGCGAACTTATGACAAAAAAAGTGCGTACGACAAAACTGAGAGAAAACCCGTATTCTCGAAATGAAATTGTCGTAACGTTTGTGCAGGATACGAGAGAATCCTACGACAGCTCCGAAGCTGTCTTGCGCACTTTTTACGATCAAATCAACAAGGCCGACAGCGTCGCTCAGTTACTTGGTAGCGATGACCAACGGTCATTTATTTTTCTACGTGCTCTTCTCGTGCGTCCCGACTTCAACCAGCAAGAAAAAAGGAAGGAGTACTTAAAACAGACCACGACGATCAAGAACGCAGGATCCACAAACACACGAGAAGAGCTACAACGGCCACGATTCTGCCGACCGAGCGAGCTCGACAGAATATAGTAGGCCTAGCAGCAACATCGACTCGGCGCACCGTTGCTCCGGCGGTCCTTGGCCAAGACCGTCTGTCCATGACCGGCTGGCCTGCTGAATGGAATATGCCCGCGCGACCCTTGTGGACCCTTACCGGATGAGTAGTTTGATCCCTGAACTAAATTTCAGAGGTCAATATTTTCCCCTTGTCATCTCGATCTCCTTGTTTTCGGAGACAGCGGTGACGAACGCTGTCGTCGAAAAGGGACTCTCATTGATTCTATCTCCCTGTTTTGTGTGATATAGAGCTCAAATAAACGCCATACGGATTACCTTCGCAACTCGGTATGTACACTCTGTTATTAGTATGCCATTTTTATTCTGACTCGACGCTACGTCACTGTCGAGCTATAGCAGTTCGTGGGAGCTACGCGATGTCGGTCTAACCTTTCTTTGCCGAGTGTCATGTCAGTATCGAGTTGCAATCGTAAAAGATCGGTCCAGAAGCGCTTACCGAAACGCGGTCTAACAGAGCGAATCCAGCACTTCGATCAAACGCGCGTGTCCGCTCTGAGTGTGAACAGGTATTTGCGTGGCTCTTGCTGACACCCTCGTAGTTCAAACATATCCTTTTTAATGTCGGCTCGCGACTCGCAGCAACTAATACCCTAATACCGGCCGTGCCAGAAGCATGCTCGGGTTGTGTCGTGCAAAGAGCCGTAACGAGAACGAGCTCACTGTGGCCAACTACGCTTTGGCTTTCTCCGCCAAGGCTTTGCAAACGCGTTCAGGCCTAGGCGAATTCTGCCAGCACGCCGTATTGTCGCAGAACGGCGCTGCTATTATGCCACAAGTGATGTCACGAGAACTTCCCCCCATCCACCAGATGAGAATTTGAAATTGTTTAATTATGTTTAAAATTAGTTCTCCTGTGTTTTACAGCGCAATATTTATATTTCCGAGGTGGTGCCTGTCCCTAGCCCATATTTATGCAACAAGATTGGCGCTAAAATTTCGTTTCACTACCCTTTAAGGAAGCATAAAAAAAACTTTCGGAAGATTGTCTGCTAAAACCAAGACCCGGGTCGGCACGTACCTTCGGCACCCGGGGAAGAGATAGGTGCCCACCGGTGATGCCTTGCCATTCACAAAGTAGTTAAATGCGTCTATGGATTTGTAGGTTTTAAGTCATTCTCAGGTATATGGACCAGGCTAGTCGAGTAGGTAGTCCTGAAGGTGCGCCCACAACACGTTTGGCAAACTGGTAATTTTCTTTGAGGAACAAGCACTCTTTCTTTTCACCCAAGGGATCAGGAAGGCATGTTGATCCTGTACAAGTAAATTTCGTGAGGTACTGCAGTTAGTCCTGGGCGGCGAGACTTTTAAAGTATGCGCTACTCACCGAGGGCCCTCAAAAACAAGCAAAGACAATAGCCAATTGGAAGTAACATACTCCCCCCACCCTCAAGCTTGGCCTTTATTTGTCTATGTCTACCTCCGCACACCCTGTATAGGCAATTTATGCATATTATTTGCAAGTCATTACGGTGATGATGCACACAGCTTTACTGCATGACCGATATAATTTTATGCACTTACGAGAAATGCCTCTCGATATGTATTGAAAATGCGTTGTTGACCCACTTTTAGGCAGCACTACGAAGAAGCTGCCGCCTTGGGCCAGCAAGAACATTCTAAGCACCCATTGTCCTTACAGGAGAAGGGTTAGGGAAAACAGGTCTGAAACCATATAAAAACAGACATCAAATGCAGGCACTTCCCACATCCCTCTTGAAACAATAGGGCCCCTAGAACCGCACAAATATTGTAGCCATGGAAATACTTATCAATGGCACTTTGAATTAGTCTTTCTAACGAGAGTTGCAGAACATTAAGGGAAAATATTTATTAATGGCAGTTTTGACCATCTCTCTGCCAAGAATTGCCGGATCATAAACAGCAACTAAATATTTATATGTGCATCCACCTATAACAATGTACTGCTTATAACTATCCGTTTCCAGAGTTTCTAGGCTAGAAACAACCAGTCTCTAGTCCACTTTCAACGATAATAACAATTTAATTTTTGGGTTTTCTCATTATCGTTATAAGTGGACTTCACTGTATACGGTAGTCTCGACTACTTGCTCTGCAGAGTTGTGGGCACTACATAGGGATTATCCCCGTTACGAGACCCGAAGCTCTTCACTGCACCCAATGTGTCCAAACGAACAACACAGGGTGTTTCACTCGAATATAACTTTTAAAAATGGGTGCGATGGATAGACAAGCTGTCTTCACCCTGTGCTTATCAGACTTGGCAGATATTATTAGATGAGGGGATAATCGTCACGCTACTTTGACTAACTAACTAAAATCTGTTCATTACCTTAGTAATTATTGGTTTTAGAGGTGACATTGGTATTGCAGCATTGACACCAATTACTATTTAGAGGCCAGCGTAATTTAAAAAATATGCGAAAAGCTAAAGTGTCAAAGCAATTAATCGATCAATTTTCGCGTTTTTCTCGCCAGGTTTATAATGTGGCGATGCAGGCGAGTTGGTTATGCATGTTGAAAGTAGTGAAAGCGCACAATAAAGACGAATACGAAGACGGAGAGGCAAACAGGACGAGCGCTGACTATCAACTGAATTTTTTATTGGAAAAAATCGAAACAGCAAAATAAAACCAGGAAAAGCCACAAATACTACAAATGTGACTAGTCATCAATGACTCGGCCACCACACGTGTCAATAAAGTGCACTTCCTTTTTGTGAAGGAAAAGTGAGGGTTGACTGATACACTTATCAGGACATTCCTTCTTTATCATATAAGCCTCCAGTACCTCCCTCGCCACCTTTTCTTTACCTCTCCCAACGATTGTAGTGCCTTGGAAGTTGGGAATGCAGCGGCAATCTCTGCAATGTATGTGTAAATGGGCTCCTGTTGTTGAACGCAGTGATAAAGCATGTTCGCGCAACCGTTCATTCAAGCACCTTCCGGTCTGGCCTATACTTTGCCGCAGCACCTTCTGGGCTGCGGCAAAGTTTATATAGGCCAGACCGGAAGGTGCTTGAATGAACGGTTGCGCGAACATGCTTTATCACTGCGTTCAACAACAGGAGCCCATTTACACATACATTGCAGAGATTGCCGCTGCATTCCCAACTTCCAAGGCACTACAATCGTTGGGAGAGGTAAAGTAAAGGTGGCGAGGGAGGTACTGGAGGCTTATATGATAAAGAAGGAATGTCCTGATAAGTGTATCAGTCAACCCTCACTTTTCCTTCACAAAAAGGAAGTGCACTTTATTGACACGTGTGGTGGCCGAGTCATTGATGACTAGTCGCATTTGTAGTATTTGTGGCTTTTCCTGGTTTTATTTTGCTGTTTCGATTTTTTCCAATAAAAAATTCAGTTGATAGTCAGCGCTCGTCCTGTTTGCCTCTCCGTCTTCGTATTCGTCTTTATTGTGCGCTTTCACTACTTTCAACAGGTTTATAAAATGGACCGATCTCACCGGCCAGTTCGACTACGCCACCGCAGCCGCAATGCATCGAGGGAACTTTAGTCTTTCTGCACGTGCACGAGTGAGGAGCACGAGGTGGCCACAAGCCTTCGCATGCACAGCTGACTGCCTCTTGCGAACTAAAGTTATGGCGGCGTCACGCATGTGCCAAACGCTTAGTGCGATCGGTTTATTGTGCCCAAAATGAGTGTAGCAAGCCTTGCCCTACATTATGCTTCCAAGAGTGTCATAGTCATTTCAGCCACTTCATCTTTGTGTCGACAGCGCTCCCACCAAGGACGTGCTGCCGAGATTGTGACGACACGATTGAAACGATGTCACTCTTCCGAACGTCATTGTGGGCAGGGCAGGGCGTATGATGCTCTTTTAGAACCACACCGAGCAAAAAAATTAGAAAATTGATATATTAATATTTAAAATCCATTATTTTTTTGCAAATTATTTTAATTAGTCTGGCCTCTAATAGTAATCGCAGACAAGGCTGCAATTGCAACATGACCCTTTAAAACGAGCTAATTTTAGTTAATTATTCAACTTGCCGCGACGACTATCCCCTTATCAGTGTCCGCCGAGCCCGATAAATATGCGGTGAAGAAAACAACTCATCAGGTAAACAATCAAATTTATAAAAAATAAAGTTACTGCAAATTTGGGGGTTTTACGTGCCAAACCAACAAAGGGCATCTGGCACATCCTGGCGGAGGACCGAAGATTAATGTGAATCACCCAGGCATCTTTTAAAGTGCAACTTAAATTTCTACTGCGCGACACCTTTTTCACAATAAGCCTCTGTCGGAACGCAGGCACCTTGTCCAGGATTTGAGCCGGCCACCCGTAGCGTGGCCACTTTGCCTTCGAGCTAGAGGCGGCTAGGATCAAGTTGCTCATCCAACCGAAACGAAAGACCGGCTCCTCGAAACCCCACACCCCGAAGCGCAAAACGCCGGGCTCCCTTGGCCATAAAAATAGACTGGCGGGTGGGCGACAACACGAAGAAGAAGGGAGAGGGAGTGAGGCGGGGTTCACCTCTCTGAAAGTGCGCACAATCTCGTCGAGGCTGAGCTTGCGCTTGTAGTTGAAGTAGAAGTTCTTGCACTGCTCCTTGGTCTTGCTCTGGACGAGGGAGGCCAGGGCAGGCCAGTCCGTGCCGTACTCCCGCAGCCCCTTCTTGGCCTGCTCCATCTCCTCCTCCGTCCACCGCGAGCTGTCCCCACAGTCTGCGCGAGGGAAGGGGGGGGGGGGGGGGGGGGGACGTCGAGTCTAGTATAAAGCATCGCTCTTTAAAGGCAACTCCAGTGATTCATTTATCGTCGGTGATTTGCCTCAAAATTGGCTCAACATACTTATAGACACAGCTTTACCAGACCCCCAAGTATTGTGTGAAAATATTTTTGCAAAGTTATTGAATTTTCCATTTCGTTCTTGTCGTGTTTCTTAAACCGAGAGCCCGTGCTGACAAGACTGAACTGTGAAGACAGAAATGGTACAAAGTGGGCGGTAACCCAAGCTCCCAACTGATCACGAGACGTTCGATGACGGGAGAAGAATGCTTGGAAGCTCAATCACCAAGAAGCACAAAAAACATGCTCAACATTCTCTATTTAAAGCTACTTGCGCGACGCGAAAGTCTATTTGTGACGCCACACCACTGGAAGCCACGCGGAACGCGACATCATCACGGCTACATTCAGGACGCGCTCAGCTCAATCTTTCTTTCGATTGCACTCGCGGCAGCGACCGCTATTGCAGCCACGACAGAGAGGACGATAAAAGATTAGGATTCGGCTCTGTGGAAATTTAGACCCAAACCCCGAATGCAGGGCCGGCCTTACACCATCAAGTGCTTTGGGCAAACTCCGGCCGTGGCGCCCAAGCAGGTTTCCCTAGTCCTTCAAAAAAAAAAAAAAATTATCTACACATTTATTTATTTAGTAATAGAACCAGTTTCACTTGGAACTTTACTAGGGTGGTTATAAAGTTTTGAAACTTGCACATTAGTTGGCGGTGCAGCGTAAGCACAATCAATAAGGTGAAGCGGGTTCGGTAGCTTTTTCACAATGCTACGAAGATCCATCAATGCCGAAAGCTGGTGCAGAAAACCTTCCCAGGATGACAGCCAATCTCTAAAGAACAACATTACAGCTATGATAGGCTTAGATAAGGGGCCTCTCTCCCTGCTTGCCCAACCCCACATAGACCTTCAGCACCTCCGATAGTGCTTCTACCACACTCTCGTGACCGAACAAAGATTGTGCGCAGCTAAAGAACTGCCAATAGGAGTGCACACTTACTGAAGATAGACAAAAATAGATGCTGCATTATACGTCTATCTCACATTGCATGGAAACACTCAAAGCAAAGACGCATAAAAAGAAACTGCCCATATGTTAAGCTGCAAAGTGTTAAGCACCTTTTTGATGTCTACCAGAAACGCAATAATGAAAGAAAAAGCCTCGTGCAACTTGCAGACTATGAGTCTTGATAATAAGGTTTGAATGTTGGTTCTGCAATAGAAACATTGAAAAATGGCTAAGTGAAACTAGACCGTGCCTTCGGGAGATCGTCTGCTTCGCAGCCAAATGGCACAAAAAAGGGGGAGACCCCTAGTGCGGCGAACGAGGGCAGTGTTAGAGCCTCACCTTCCGAAGGGGGATGTGGCTCCAGCTTTCGAGCTATGCGGTTGAAGCATGCCGAGCAGCACTTCTGTATCCCGGCAGGTATCTCTGCAACAACAGCCAGTACGCAGCCATCAGCACGGATGTCACGGGGTGTACCCCTAGTATTTTTTCCTCTTAAGCTTACCCACAAGCAAGGCTGAAACCAAGCATGACAACGTTGAAAAAGAAAAGGGAAAGCAACCTTTCTGAGAACCAAACCGAAAGGCACTTAAATATTTCACCGAAAGGCACGCAGTCACAGTTGTCTCTACAACTGTATTTCGAGCTTACAGTGTTACCAGTATTTGAGGGGCAGATTTAGAAAATTGCCAGAATAGTATATTTATATTACAAAAGCAAACAAACAAAAAGGACTATCTAAGAAACAAATTGTGAGTGTCTCTGGCATTTTCCAAAGGCATTTTAGGTACGCAGCATTTAGAATGCCCTTGCTCACGTCTGCACTAGACCAGTCTGTTACTCAAATTACACGCAGCACCTAATAGACTGTCCGTAAACTGGCACTTGAACTGCCAATCGGCCACCGCGTTATGGCAGCTAGCTTCCAGTCGCTGCTGGACCCAACATTCTAAGCGTCCCTCGCACTTCCCTCTTTACCTGCTGCGCCAGCCGTTTGGCGTAGAACTTGGCCCTTGCACTATGCGTGTTGCTTAGGCACTGCTTCATCACCGACCCTAGTTTCGTGCCTCAACGACGGCAATAACAGTTCTCTGAATGCGTTTTGAGGCGGAGATCTCTCTGGCGCGGCACCGGAGCCAGCGTCCGTCAAGGTCGGAGCGGCCGCTCCGAGCGGAAAGAGCGCGCAGCCGGGTGCTGTGGGAACGAGACGCTTTTTGAAAGTGGAAAGCTCAAGCTTTCCACCTTCGACAACGCTTGGGCGTCTGGTGAACCTCCCGCGTGCGCATGCTACCAAAACGCAGCGGAAGGCACGAAGCGCTTGCCGGAGGCCGGGCGTTCCGAACGTGCCCCGCCGTTCTCGTTCCGTCGGCGAATACGGCAAGGCGGGGGTGGCACTTACGCAGCTCCTGTACGATGGTCTCCTTGACGTCCTTGTCCAGCTCCGCCCACTTGCTGGGGAGCGGCCGTAGCCTCTTCAGCTTGCGCTTGGGGGTCTTGCAGGTCGGTATGGGGCACCTGCAAAACCCGGCGGTCACCTCAGCATCCCCCCTTGGAAGAAAGGAGCCGATTGACACACCCGAAGGCACAGAAAGTACAACTACGGAAGCCACTTCCCCAGTTGCGCCGCTGGAAGTCGTCATTAGGAAGAAATTTGCAGCAACCTCCCAGACGGGCGAAAAAATTTCTAGCAGTGAAGACTTCCCCCCGAGGCATACCGTGCTTCGAAAAGTCGCCCGAATATTCCGTCAAACGTGACAAACATTCGACGGCACTCGATGGGGCTTTCAATGGAATGATATGCAATGTGAAACACGACGAAGGAATTGTGAATGTATACACGTTTGCAAGTTCGGCTTCAGGGCGCTGCCATCTTGCTTGGCTGGGGTGCGCTCGGACGAGTCATAATCCGATTACGAAGCCTCGCTAAGGCGTCGTAATCGGATTATGGCCGCGCCAAGAGCACACCCCACTGAGGAAGATGGCGGTGCCCTGAGACCGGACTTGCAAACGTGTATAGAGGACTTCTTTTTGACATCGATGCACTTCTTCTCCGGAAGCACTGCATCATTTTCTCTGAGATGCATGCCCTCTAATTGTGAAATGCCTCCGTGCCTACTAGAGTATATTCTATCAATAGGGCAGTTCTTCTCATACTATGCAGACCCCGTTTTATGTACCAAGGGGCGTGTAAGGAGGGGGAGTGTTAGCCCACCGCTCACCCCCCTTCGCATGCAACGCTGTGTCACTGGTTGCGCACAATGAGATGCTAAAGCTACAGCTGCGCTCCATTGCTGACAAATTCTCATATGGCCTTGCTACTGTACAACCGACACTACCGTGAGCAAGCTGAGCGCCTTCATGTGCACTTTGCTTAGGGTGATCACCTCCGACCATTTTAGCTGTGGTTTAGTAGAGCGGTGGGTGGCAAAGCCACTGCCGCCCACCGTGGGGAGAACCCTGTGCTACGCGTAACATTGGATGGTTTTAGAAACTTCCACCGCGCTTATCCAATTTCTTCACGAATCACGGAGCACTGGTGACGGTCGTCAGTGACACCCACGATGCCAAACACGATAGCTATGAGAATTAACCACGTCGCACCATTCCACCCGCACTGCGCGACTGTGCTACAGCTATTGCTTTCGTTTCCTTGCACATTGTGGCTGAAAAATACAACTCCTTGTTCCGAAGCGTGCGAAAAAACATGTCCCGACACGAGCTCTCGGCACCGACTGCACTCCAACAGCATCTTTGTTACCGGCCATTTCTTCGCATTTTCCTCGCAGGCGCACGCTGTTGCCGTCGGCTACTACAAAGAATGCCATCACCCTAAACAGAAGGATATTGAGGCACCCTAGAGCAAACTTCTATATCCACAGGAAACGTCACTCGAAGCAGCTTCAAATGACCTCGAGTAAAAGCTTTCTCAAGTAGAAGTTTGCTCGAGTGAATCCACTGGACACTGTGGGGATTTGCCCGGATATTTCGCCAAAGTTTGATCGCTCGATTAGTTTGTTCAAATAGCTTTCTCGGGCAGTGTCTCGTAAAGCTGTCGCCCTAAAAAGCAAGGCCAGCAACAGTATCTCTCTTTCGCTATAATTCCTGGCAAGGTGGAAACAGCAGGGAGGAGCTTCAGTTGTCCCGTTTCCAGTGCAAACTTCGGTGTCTCGTGCATCTCGGGTGCGTGTGCACGGCCAAAGCACAATGGAAGGTATGGATGGAGTGCACGCTCGAGGCCAGACGTTCGAAAAACACGCCCTGCCGTTCTCACTACACTGGTGGGTATAGGAAGCGAGGGAAAGGAGCTCACTGGACGAAGCGCTGCCGGACGGTCTTGAAGCGGCAGGAGGCGCACACCCGGGCCTCGGGGGTGAGGTCGCTCTCCTTGAGGGCGTACACGTGGCAGTTGGCCTTGGTCAGGGGTCGCCACCGACTGCCCTGGTCCAGGCGGCACCGACACACAGCACACGGAGGGCCGCCATCCCCTGCGGGCGAGCGAGAAGAGTATGCTCAGACTGGCTGCCCGTCACCCACTCTTCGCCGCGCGGCGAGGGCGCTCCGTCTCTGGTAACTCGCTTCTAAAGTTAACTTGAGGTTGGGAACACGACTTTATCCGTAAAGAGACGTGCCCCACCAGTTGGAATGAAAGAGTACTGTGAATGTGGGAATGATGGGTTGTAACGCAGAAACCTAGAGAGATCCGGTGGTGGGCGAATGGAAACAATAAGAAGTTACCTCGTGATTAAAGGCGAATACTACACATTATAAGTACGCTCCCCTTTCCTCTCCACAAAAAACTGGAAACTACAATTGCTCGATAAGGGAAAGATTCAACTCTGGCCCTCTTTAGTACTCACAGTTTGCAATCTAACAGAATCAACAGCACCAGGTACTCACTCCGCAGAACGCTCCCATGTATGTCACAGCATTCGAGTAGTACGAGAGAAAAAAAAAAGGTCAAAACCCCTTCACTGGCGACTCTAGAAAAATTGACAGCATGAAGTAGACGAAGTCTATAAGTCTACTCAGACCACGGAGGAATTTTATGTAAGCATGAAGTCAAAAAGCTGCAGAGGAGGCAGCAAAACCCAAAGTTAAATTTGTCAATAGTGCACTTTACATTTATTTGCATCAGTTACATTAGTAAGGCCGCAGAAAACTGCCATGACAAGAGCTAGCGGACAAGAAGTGTCAAGTACGGGAGAAAGCTTACCTCCAGTATTGTTAATCGCAGTTGAAGCATCTTCTGCATCTTTGTCATGACCTGGCGTCTTCAAGCTGCAGTTAAAAAAATAAAAAATTAGAAGGAAATACATGAGCAGCAAGACACAAATAATGTTGTCCTCTATATTCACAACTGATAACTGATTGAATGGTTCCCACAAGTAACAAATGCAAGCAAGTATGAGGTAAACAATGTAGTTAAAAATGAACCACAACTGTCGGAAGCTCAGTCATGGGCGACTCCCATGAGCAACTCCAGCAAACAGCCCCCAGATAACTACAGCAATAATTAATCCTCATGAGTAACTAACTCCCGTTTGTAACTATTAACTTGAACCAGTAATTCCCGCAAGTAATACCCAGCCCCACAAGCCCCACGAATAATTGACTCCTTGAGCAACAATCTCGCCCAACCACCAACTTCACCCTGAGCAACAATCTTCCCAAACCACCAACTCACTGAGCAACAAGCTCCCCCAAAAAATTACCAGGTTAAGGGGAGATGCTCTTCGGGACAATTTTTTTTATGATATTGAAGTTAGAAGGTTGCAATTTGCACAGTTAGTGCATGTTCAGGTCCTCTTGCCATATATGCAATCAGTTTTCTGATAATTACCTTGGTGAAATGGCTATGCTTTTATCATCCACATAAAATGTCTTTTTTGTGCACACAATTTTTTCTATACCTTATATAAGACCTTATCTCGAAATAGCCTGCTTGGTTCCTTGTGAACTGTAGAATGTGCAAATCTAGATAAAAGAAAGAAAAAGCTTGTGCCTCGAGAAAAAAAAATTATAAAATTTTGAGTCATTGCGTTTCACGTTTCACTTTTCGTTTTATATTTTTTATAAAAATTCTAAGATACCAATCGGACAACTAGAAAGATTTGCCCACTCTATGACCCATCAGGAGCATCTTTGCAAAATTTCGTTGTAATACAGTAACTGCAAGTGGCAAAAATTGTGTGCACAAACTATGAAAACAGACAAAAATACCAATTAGAGAAAAACTGATTTGAAAGTTTAGTTTTATGTGATATACCTAAATTCTCACTCAAATATCACAAAACTTGGTGGCAATGTAGTTCGAAATGTCATTGTCTGGACCTCCAAACTAGAACTCCCCAGCTGTGTAGGTAGCACCCTCGCGTCCCTTGCGGCTGGAGTCCTCACCACGGGCACGCTTCGCCTGGCTGCGTCGGTGTGACCTAGCCTCAGCTGTTAGCTTGCTGGTCATCTTTCTGACCCTCCTCTGGTCGCACGTGTCACTCAGCCCGACTAGCTGCTTTGAAGGGAGAACTCCCAACTCCTCCAGCACTTGCTCAAAGCTGGAGTGGCCCCGGTTGTACCACAACACTGCGATGGCGGTGGCTGTCTCCACTGCAGTCCGGGACGCAAACCGAGTCTTTGGGCACAGCATCCATATCTTACTGTTTAATGACTCTGCAGCATTCTGGGTCTTTCCCCGCAGGCAGCGAGCGAGGAGCTTGGCGTCTGTAAGGCGTTTGTAAATAGCCAGCACTGCTTTTCCTTGAGCCTTAGTCATGAGTGGGGTGTGGTTTGGTGCTGGCTCTTGCGAAGCCTGCGCTCTCTTGTGTTTACACCACGACTCTTCCCCGTTGGGGCAGAACTTGTGACTGCTAGCATCATTGGTTGAGCATGAATGCAGGAGGAAGCCCATATTGCGCAGTACATTCCACGGATGCTCCCTCTGTTGTTGGTTATTGCCACCTGATAATAGGTCTGCAGCTTCTGAATGATCTTGTCACCCAGCTTTTCCCCACGTGGTACTAGTGGCACCTTGAGCTTCCTCAGCGCAGTACCAAGTCGTTTTGCGACATGATTGGTGCAGTCCTCCTTCGTCACCATTGTGGAGCCATACACCTCTGCTTTAGACACTGCAGTGTACGCTTTACTGTCGCCGTCACTAAGGAAGGTGGTGTAGTGCAGCTGCCTGTCACACGATTGCGTCCTTTTCCAGATCCGGAGTGCTGCCTCAATTTCCATTGCATGAGACGAGCAGTTCACATTCTTTTCACACACTGGACCATGGAATGCTTGCCACACTTCCTCATCTTGTTCATCCAGAATCTGATGTCTGCTACAGCCGTGACAGTAGTTGGACAGCACCTCAAAGGCCAGACAGAGGCCTGTGTCGATAGAAATGGCAGTGCCCACTCCGTTGTGGCTCTTGTGTCCACGCTTTTGCCAAGTGCCGTCGAACATCACAGCGACGTCGGTCTGACCCGCCTCAAGCGCAGTTACCCGCCTTGCTTCTACGAGGTTGTCTGGTTGCTTTAGTGGCCGCGATATGCACTTTCTTTGATATGCCGTGGAAGGTCTTGTGATGAAGTGCTTTGGGCAATCCAAGAATGGCACAAAACCTTGAGAGTTGGTCATGTCCGACGCCAATCGTGCGCGCAGCAAGCACAGCTTTGATGTTGATAGCGAAACTGTCGCGGGCACTTCCCTTGTGTTGATCCGGGCCACGATCTTCGCGGCTGGCGGCGGAGGCGGCGGCGGCACGATGTGACGAGTATGCAGCAGAAACAACGTCCGCAGGGCATCCATCGTTCATGCACTTCAGCTCAAGAAGGGAAGCGAGACCCTTGCGCTTGTCCACGGCCTCCACAACAGCGAGTTCCGAAGTCCCACACGCCCCGCACACCGCGCCGCTTACGAGTTGCGTAAGAATTCCAACTTCGCAGATTACAGCGCTTGCGCCGCGTCCAATCCTCGCTGTATCATCTTGAAACGTTGGCAGCTTCTTTTCCGACGCACTAACAAAGTTAGAAGCGTCAGTGACGAAATCAGACGAGCTTGACTGGCCGGTGCTTGCGATGCTCGAAAGCGCGTCGCCATTCTGCTGACGCAAAGGGGCGGCCGTGCTTTTTGCGTTCTTTCACTTCTGTTTGCATTTCCCCTTGAATGCACGCATAGTCTACTCTTGCGGCGACGAAAGTCGCGCTTTGCAACACCACTCATAATGGGAATCCGGGAACCCTCAAAGAGCGAACAGAAGAGATGGTTCTTGTTTGAGAAGATGGCGACGCGGCGACGCGGTGCGGCACCAAACGATGCGCGGGCTTCACTGCACGACAGGTCCGGGCGGCGGCGAATGGCGGCTCCGCATTCGCATCACGTGGCTTTTTAAAAGTCAACTGGAAGCGTCATAAGCAGGTGGAAATTGCTTTTTTTTATTATTTCTAGCTTGATTACGAAACTAAGGGAGGAGTCACCAGAAAGAAGAAGACTCGATTATTTTTATCGAAGCAACTGCAAAGGCGGCCGTTGCCGATGTTCGAAGGGGCGCGGGTTTGAAAACGGCTAGCATGCGCCAACATGTGCAATTTGTTTTGACGCGGTAGAGCGTTCAAATACATTTTTTTATAACTTCTAGACCGAATTTCTGAATAATTTTTTTTGTTTATGAAACTAGAAGATACGCGGATTTATAAAACTAAAAAAATCGAAAAATGAAAATTTCGGCAGAAACAACATTTTTTCGACCCGCATCTCCCCTTAAGTACACCAATTCCTGAAAGTAACCAACCCCCCTGAGCAATGAACCCCAGCGAGTAGCTAGCTCCTGCAAATAAGACACTAGTGTGGGTAACCCTCCTGTAAATAACCAATTTCCTTGAGTAACTAACTCCCGTGCGTAACCAACTCTAAGTAATCAACCCCTGCAAGCAGCTCAAACGCACGAGCAGCTACGACAACCGACCCCCGTAAACGCGCCCCCCGAGCAGGCGGGAGGCATTAGACCCCCACGCACCCATTGAGCGTGTCCACGAGGCAGCTCTTGTCCTCCGAGGAAGGCCCGTTGGCCTGGGGCTGGGGCCCCTGCTGCTGCTCCAGAGAGCCCAGCTCCGGGGGCGGAGGACCGCCGGGGGGAGGCGTGCCCGTCCGCGACGGAGACCCGTCCCCTCCCGCCACAGGCACCGCCCCCGGGGGGGCCGCGGAGGCCGCGGCAGCCCCCGCCCCAGATGGGGCGGACGGCCCCTTCTCCTCTACGCCGCTGCCGGGTCCGCCGCTTGTGGGCACCGGGTTGCGGATGGGCAGCGAGCTTGCCACCTGTAGATGGAAGGCAGGCGTCGCTCGGCAAAACGTTCGCACGCCAACGAAGGATGCCTGGCACCGCCCAGCGTGGAGCTTAGCAATGACTTCGACTATAGTTACCAGCAGAATGAGAACAACAGGGTTGTGCTTTGGCCGCGCATGCGAGCTTGAAGTGCACAGAACGTTGAAGCGTTTCTGAGGGCAAGAAGCTCGTGCTGGAGCTACTGAAGCTCCTACCCGTCGTTCTCGCCTCGCTGTTGACTATGGGGCGACTAAATAAAATGGGAATCAAAGTAATGAACTTCGGCCATCGTGGTGCCGAAAACCATCGTTGCCAGTTATTCCAAGCTTCGTCTGAAATCTCAAAAAACGGATTTTCGTCCTTTAGGAACGTTAAAACAGTTTGTGACGGGGCAAAACTATATAGCCCGAGCTTCCTGGCACGGGCAGCAAGCTGAGAAAAGTCAACTTCAAAGTGTGCTAAAAAAACTAAGCAATTGTACCACTGAGCATTTTTATTCTTTAAAAAACATATGCAAACAAAAATATATATATTTTTTTTTAATTTCCCTTAGTACGGTTATATAGTATGGCTCTTGCGACGACGAAAGTTGCGCTTCTTCTCGCCATCCATCGTGGGAACTCTCAAAAGCAGGACAGCAAACCTGGTTTTCGTTTGAGAAGATAGTGATGGGGTGCAATATGAAACGATGCGCGAGCTTTGCAGCACGTCACATCCGTCCTGGTGGCGGCCAATGGTGGTCGCGCATTTTCGCGTCACGCGCCACTTGGAACAACAGCAATATGCGAGAAAACATTTTTTTTTTCCTTTGCGAGTACGAAATTATGGAGGGAGTCGGCGGAAAGATGGAGACTCGTCTTTCTTGAAAAGCAACGAAAATGGCGGGCGACACCCAACTGCCGCAAGATCCAAGCTCAAAAACGGCTAAAACGTGCAATTTTCTGAGCCGCGGAACGGCGTTCAAATACATATTCTAATTACTTCTAGGGCAACTTTTTGGACAATTCGTTTTGTATGTGAAACTAGAAGGTACAGGGATTTATGAAACATATAAAGAAAATCAAAATTTTCGGAAAAAATGTTTTCTTCTTGATTTGCATTTCCCCTTAAAACTTTTTTTTCCTTTGCATATGTCCTTTAAAAAAGATACAGACACTGATAAAATTAGAGTAACAAAACTAAACAAACTTTTCATTTCTAAAAGCGGTTTCACCAAATAAACGAAAACTTTGAAAAAGCTCTCGCCCACTTCTTTATTATAATACGAGTATGCGGCGTAAAGTTATCCTCTTAACATTCATATTAAAGAAAAACAAGAAGCATGTGGCAATATCCATTCGTTCACTATTTAATGAACTAATTAATGTACGCCTGTATTAGCTTGCCCTAGAACCTCCAAGAACACGGGGAATACGTTAGCAAAGCTTTGAGTACATATTTTTATATAAATTTCAATAAATTAAAACTTGTTTCGCAGCCATTAAGATGACGGCAGTGGGACTAGTCGTGAGGTACCAGCAGGGAAGAAAGGACCCACCTGCTGTGGCTGGGGCAGGGGGGCCTTCACCATAGCCCTGGTCCTCTTCTTCACATTGTGCTTGCGCAGCAGCTGCTTGTAGTTTTCACTCTTCTTTGTCAGGTAGTAGTATTGCACACAGTCGGCAACGCTCTGCGAGAGAACAGTGGGCACAGGGCAGGCTCAGCACCCGCTCCAAAGCGCAACGAGCCTCCTTGCAAAGCATGTAGAAATCTACCAGACAACATCAAATTTAAAAAAAAAAAAAAATGCATACGCTGCTTGCAAATTTTAGAAGGACCACTCTGCACTAATGCATTTGCTTAGCAATAAAAAAGTAGTTTTCTTGGGAACTACACCACGAGTGAACATGGTGTATTCAAATGTACCTTGCAACAGATATTCACCCCATAAGCTACCTTGCAAGGGCAGAGATATTAATCATTTTCTGTAGCGCATTTACGCAACTTTTTGTTTAAACATTCCATTAAGTCTTCGTCAGCATGCCAGATTAGGTGTCTAAAACATTTTTCGTGTCTGCACAGGTTCCAACCATTCGATTTGTGCCCTTGTCAATCTGGCAACACAAACTTGCAGTGGGCATTTCCGTTGCACAATGCATACTTGCTTCAGGCACGTCCCTCGAATACAGCCTGTTTCCCGAGCTAAAATTAGAATTTAAATTAAAATTTTTAATATGACATTGTGGAGGTAAGAGTTTGAAGCGATTACAGGACTGCATGTTCAACCCAGATTATTTTGAGTTTAAAGTCATTGTAAATAGCACTCAAGTGTACATTGATGACCTAACCATTGCATGACCTGCTTATGACGTAACCATTTTACAACCTGTCTACGACGTAACCATCAGATAACTGTTTATATATAAAATGTAACTATTTCATACAATTCTTTTTTTTTCAACTCCACACTAATCTTCATTTACCAGGAGGTCCCATAACTACAGTTGAACCTCGATTTAACAAAGTCACCGGGACCCACTAATTCAAAGGGGGGACATGGGTCTTTGGAGCCAAAAACTTCCTAAAACTGCATTCTTTTGAAAATGGCGATGGCTGTCATTCTTCTGAATCTACCAGGCTTATAATTTCATGGATGAATATTTGAGCTCTAAATTACTTTATAATGTCTATGCGAGCTGAATGTGCGTTGAAGTTGACTCTAAAACATTGTTTTCACAAAACACAAATTTCGGACTCGTTGAGAATTTGCAGGAGGGATATCTCAGCATCTAGAGCAGATAGAAATATAACCGTTCCTGAAATGTGCAGCTGAATGTGTGAAGCATACAATGTTGAGAGCAGAATTTTTGATATAAGTCTAGAAAAATTTATATTTGATCTTTTGCTTTATTTCTTGTTAGCCATGCATTGAGCAGTGAACTTCAATGTGTGGTAAAATCACTAATAATTAGTTTATCTTAAAAGTGCTTCCAACATTGTATTCTCTACACTTCGTAGTATCTAGCCATGTGTTAAAAAGAATATTTTGTTGAGCAGTTTTCTTTTCTATCGTTTTTCCAAACAAAGGCAGGCAAGTTTTAATTATTTTGAGGACAATTCTACTGACTGAGAAAATGACCAGATATATGAAATCAGCACAAAAAGCTGAACAAGATTGTGCAGTTTCATTGGGTTTGGTCATAAAATAAGAAAAAAAGCTCCAAGACCAGTGTTCCCCCTTAAATCGGAAACTTTGTAAAATCAGGGAAGGGAGACCTCGCGCATAGGCTGCGCGGGGAATCCGAATTTGTTCGTTAAATTGGGAAATTTATAAAATCGGGTTTCGTTAAATTGGGAAATTTATAAAATCGGGTTTCGTTAAATCGAGGTTCAACTGTAGTTCTTGAAACTATGGGACCTTCTCCCATTCTTAATAGATGCAGCCCCTACTTTCTGAAACATCCTCCTCCTTCCCTTTCACTAAGCCACAGGTTCTTCAACTGGGTTCCCAGAAACTCGGGGGGTTCCCCAGAGTACCCTCAGGATTTTCTTGAGCTAAATCTCGGCCGTCTCGCCACTATGCAAGGCATTTTTCCTCACCCCATCCTAGAAGAATTGACCCCGTGCACTTCAGTGCACGGGCCAGAGCTTCTATGGATCTGATCAGATCTATGTGACAGATCTTTTTGTGGAAAAGATCAGGTCTGATCACATAACTTTGAGCCAGTCACTCCCTAGTATGTTGAGTATTGTTCTGAGGGCACGTAGGCTCTTGCACTGCATTACTGTATCAATACCGGGAAGGGTTCCTCGGCAATCAATAAAGAAAGATGCGGGGGGGGGGGGGGGGTTCCTCGGGATCAACATCTGAGAACCCATACACTAGACCGGTGATTCTAAAATGGGGGTCTTGCAGACCCTTTGAGGTCCCTGAAGACCTTCTTAAGGCCCCCAAAACCCTCAACTGTTAATCAAACCAAATGTTCAACCTTCTTTTTTCTTTTTGCTTGTTGTGCTAACGTGCTAAGCGAGTGGTTGAGTATTCTTTGTTTCAGAGCTTCAAGGTTGGTTTGCACACACTTAGTTTTCTTCATTTACCCTTTCGTCGGAGTAATTGTCCAATTACAATCACGGATGGGGTCCCCATCACTTCTGCCGATGCGGACGGGGTCTCCGAAACATCTGCAGTTGAGAACACTCGTACTAGACCGTGCCACACAGACAGATAACCAAGAAGCACGGGCAGACGAAGGTGCTACTAGACAAAAAGACCACCTGCAAGCATACGGCAAGTTCCATAGAAGAGTCGAGAGAGAGAACCCTCTCCCTCACCTTGCGTTCCAGGTAGGAGGCGATGATGCTGAAGTTCTTGGCGTGCTGAAGGTACTTCTCGCGGAAGAGCTCCTTCTCCTGGTCCGTCCAGAGGTTGTGCATCTGGCGCTCCTTGTAATCCGACGAGAGGTCCTCCACCAGACTGTTACGGTTGAGGTAGCGCACTCGCCGCTGCCGCACGTCCAGCAGGATCGGGGGCACCACCGCATAGCTGCGCATCTTGCGGTCCTCATTCTGCACAGGGCAGAGGCCGCGTCTCTCAGCCGAGCATTGCAAAGCGTTCGACAGACTTTGGGCGGTCGTCGAAGCGCAGAGCGTCCCTCGATCCGGTGGATTCGAAAACAAAGCTCATTAGGCGGCAGCATGCAGCCGTTACTGCAGTAAGGCAGTAGGCTGGTGATTGTTGAACGTAATGAAAAAACGGCATACAAAGGAACTGGACAGAGAGGAAAACAGAACAAACAGGCCAAGACTCGCAACTCACTCATATTAATGAAAGGGACAATAATACGTGCCGGTTGCAAGTCGGTGCTGGTTTGTCCGGTGTTCTTTCGCTTTGTACGGTCCTCAGTTTGATCAACGATGGAGCATGCTGCGAGTAAAGGTCAGTTCGCACATACGGCGCAGCACAGAGTTAACGCCAGTTGGTACAGACTCAGCACTACATTAGCTCCTCGCCGTGCGTGTGTAAGCCGGAAAGGCTGGGTCAAATGGTGCAAGGTCGGTGCTACGTCTGCATCGCCGCATTAACACTGTGGTGCGTGTGTGAACAGGCCTGAACCTATCAATTTTCCCGACGTACTCTTAAAGAATGAATTACTGCCAAGATACAAAGATGCGCACACGAAAGTGCATTTTAATTGAGAAGCTACAGTGGTTTCATTCTCAGAAAGCTCCACGGCACCAGGGTGCGGCACTTTTCGTGCTCTTCAAATGACAAAAGTTGCTCGTTTTTGGCATGCGACAGCAAGCAGCACAGTTGGAATGCACAACCCAACCGAGAGGGAGGCCTGCCTTGGAGGACATTGGAGCAGCACCGTGCAACCAATTGTCCCCAGAGAAGGTTGCAGCATTTTCTTCGTGCCTCAAGTCCACTATGAAGGCAAGCAGAACCAACCGGCCAAGCTCAAGAACATGCGCACAAAGGTACCTTTGGCAGGCTTGCATGTTCCATTTCACCTTACGATAGACCCCAGCGGACGCTACAAGCCAATGAAGCCCATCCAATGTCGTATGAATATCACGCGACCTTTAGTTAGGGTGCAGTGACATGTGCGATGCATAGTCACGCGACACGTTTACGGCGCTCGATGACTCGTCGCGACCCATTGTAAAGTGAAACATTGGAATCTCGCGGTGCTCGTGAAGCCCCCGAGAAATACTTTTGCACGTGCTCGAGGCTTGTCGGTGGGTTCCGTTTGTCGCTCTGGAGACTCCGGCAATAGCCATCCATCGTTTGCAACAATATCCAAATCAAACGAGAGGAAGACGGCGTGACGAGAGAGGAGGCACCTCCTTCCCGAGACAGGTTGTGGCAGGCAGAGAGGCAATGTCATGCATGGGGAGGGTTTGGCCAGAAGGCGTGGCACCGCTTCAAAGAGGAAGGGGGTGACATCCTGCACATTCGTTCAGATCCCACGCGAGTTGCAGCCCAGGCCGAACGAAGCGTCCCCGCACATTTCGTCCCCCGGCAATAAACGACAGTGGCGCAATTTCGAGTCTCCTCGTCTATGACAGCACCGGCCCATCTAGCAATTACCCGTTCTGCATCAAGTGCCTACAGATACCCGAATGCAAATGCCCACACTGACATACCATCTGGAAACGAGACGGAATCCGAAAGGCAACTACCACAAGCTGGTAGCCGTTACCATCTTATTTATAATCCATATATATAATGGTCAAGAGGAAGGTTAACATTTTTATAATGGTGAAGGGCACGGGACAAGCACCTCCCACAATGTTCTCTGCTCGCCATGCTTGGAGGTTTTCTCTTCGCTCGCCTGCTCTCAGGCGCCTGCTCTGCCGAAGTGAAAGGAGTGGAGTGCTTCGTGAAAAGAGTCGTCCCGCTTTTCTTAATCTGCAACGAACTACAGCCTCGGAATCTCCGGACTTTGCGAAAGCAAAGGGCGGGTACACAACCGAAGGCAGATGTAGATTTAAGGTTTCGAGGTACTGCCGGTGGTAAAGCCAAAATCTTGGTGCCGGTGCCCGTTTACGCCTGGGGACGGTGCGGGTACACTGCCAGGAAAGTGTCTCCGACCAGCGCGTTTACCACGTCCTAAAAAACAGTCCCCTGATTGCCGCCCAGCGACGTCCCAGAAACGTCACGTCAAGCGTCACACAGTGGCAGGATATCTGGCACGACGGTTCACGAAAGTTTCGACGGCATGGAGATTCGACGCCCCGACGACAGGTACGCTCGCATTCCCTCGCGCATTTTAACGCAGAACGCGCCTGCGCGGCACACTCATTTGCTCAGTTTCACCGTGGCCAACGTCTGCGGTGCACGACGAAAAAAGTACCACAAACCCCGCAACAAACGTGGCCCGCGCTAGTGCCCCGCGCACCTGTGCGGGACCACGTTCTGCGCTTCCCGTTCTTTGTTAGCATGATCGAGCGAACGAGAATCTGAGAACTTCTACACCCGACCACTGGAATTGCGACGCTTACACGGTAGGACGCTCCGACTTTTGTGACGTCAATTTTGCGATGCAAGGGTGGAACGGGATGCTAAACGCACCGGTCGAAGACGCATTCCACGCACCGCTCGCTGTGCGAGTGCAACGAGGGAACCGGCCAACACCTCCTAGAAATGGGGCTGTAGCGCTCCGAGTGGTTACGTCACAATGGCGGGGAAAAAAAGGCCATGGTGCAACTATGTGAAAAAATTTTCTGCTAGCGACGTGAAAAAAATTTTTCTTTTTGAGCGGCACGGTGGTGTTCGTGCAAGTTTATCCGACATTAATATATGTTTTAAAAGCGCAGTCTTGTAAAATTGATTATATACATAATATAAACATAATATACAGCGCGTTAAGAAGGTTGAAAGTATTAAATTTATATTTATGATTATCCCCATAACCACGGGACTATGCGCAGTCCCACAGCTCCCCACTTTTTGAATGAACCGGCTCCCAATTTCCGATGCGACATCTTCCCTCCTACGGGCTCCGATTCTGGTAAATTTAAGTTGTCTGTTAGCTGCTGACTGTCTGCAAAGGTACGCGAGACATTTCAGAAGGGAAAGGAACCGAAAAAAAAAATCCAGTCATCGCTGCAGGGAGGGAGCGCACACGAGCGAGAGATGGGTCGACAATGTTGAGCCTCTCGTCCCACACTGCTGGTGCTGCTCTCGCGCGTATGTCTGTGGTTCTTTTGATCCTCCTACCCGTAATTTTTTTTGTCATCACCGCAGTCTCGGATAGATTTTTTTTTCTGTTTGTTTGATACTACGGCATTTAGGTGGATTCGCGAAACAAGTCCTGCTACGGTTTGACTGACGTGTGTGGCAACTAGTCAACGATGACACGGGTCAATGACCTCTTTCTCTCTCTCTCTCTCTCTCTCGAGACTTTGATGTTTGTGTTCAAATGTTTTCGTGATGGATCATGTGGGACGTATGGATAAAATCGACAGGTGAAAAACAACTTATTTACAGGCTTTCTTGGTCATGTAAAACGCAAGTAAAGTGCTGCAGTAGATTTTTTCTTTCTTATCTTATGATAGAATAGAATTTTGTTTAAAAATTACAGAGAAGATACAAGCGAGCTGGTGAACTTTCAACATCGTAAAACCCGAGACGTAGGACAAAAGGAGAAGAAAAAAGGGGACAACACAGACCTGTGTCTCTGTTGTCCCCTTTTTCTTCTCCTTTTGTCCTACGTCTCGGGTTTTACGATGTTGAGAATTTTGTTCTTTGTCGTTATCCGTTTGCTATTGCGCCGACATTTGTAAATATGCGTGGTAATATTCTAGTTTTTACTGGAAGGTAAATAACAAGTCTGTGTGATTACTGAAAATGCATTGTTTGTGCTTATGTGTTTAATTATACTAATGTTATTTTATTGCCTTTACCGTGTTTATACTAGAATCTTAACTGACTTAAGGTAATAGTATTATTGTATACAAAATAGGTTATATTTTGTTCTTAAGCAGCTCGAGCCCATAGGGAGAAGTAAATTAGTTGACTGTAAATAGTAAACTTAGTACCCCTGCCACACACAAAAGTTAAAATATTTTGATTAAATGATACGGGATTTAATCAGCTTGCTGTTTTGAGTGATTATACGAGCGTCGCAAGCTGATTTGTCGACCCCATATTGTCATTCGATCGAAATTACATTAATTTTAATTCAGTGACTGCACGCGATAACATTGCTTACATGATCGTGACACTTGCTGAGCCGTGTCCGCGTTGGCTACGTCTACCTGATTTTAACTGATCTGTATTGCTGTGTCCAATCACTGCGTGTCTCGCCATTTTGTCGAAGTATTGTTTTATAAAATATGCGTTCCTAGAGCAATAATTGCAACACCCAATGTTTTCAACTTAAAACAATCACATTTTTCTATTGACTTATATGCATACCTCGTGCCATTTTGTACCGATTATTTAGCGGTGCAATGTTTTGCCTGTGTAATAAAGTGTTTCTTAGACCCATTGTTATGACAAGCTCTCATTTTAGCTAATAAGACACACGTATGCGACTAAAAGCGCGTTACGATGGTCGATCCACGCGCGTTGCCTTCACTTCGATGCGCGCCCCCGATGGCCTTCCCTTGCGACGTCACGAGAAGAGCGCTACGGCCTTATTTCTAGGAGGTGTTGAGCCGGCCCGCAAAGGAACTGTCCGTCTCGCTCCCTCGTGGCTCGTGCGAGAGCGCGCCGTGCAGGAGCGGACCCAGGCGTGGCCAAACCCTCTCCCCCGAGGGAGCCCGAAAACGACGGAGGGAGTGGGGTCAGAGCGAGAGGCAAGGCGGGGCTCACTTGTGGACCCACCTCCTGCTCCTGCAGGCCGTCCATGATCTCCTCCAGCTCCGCCTCGCTGCGCACCCCGCTGGCCCGCCCGGGAGAACCGCTCCCGATCCTCCCGCTGCTTTTTCAGCTCTGGAAACTGCTTCTCGAAGAACTCCCGCTGCTTCTGGTCCTTGGCCCTGCGAGGCACGGCAGCCGCGCGGCATCGAGTTGCTGCCATGACACTTTTGGTGTGGGGAGACGAGGGACGACTACGATCACCGACGGCACGAGAGCGGCACGGAGGTACCTTATTGTCCGGCCTCCAGCTTTAAACCTTCAACGAAGCTTCGAAATACGCCTTTTGAGCTTCGGAGTGCACACGCAGCCAAGGCATGGTGAAAGGCAGCGAGTGCCTGCTTGAGTCCGGGCACTAAAGAAGAGGCCCTGCCACTTTCGTCCTGTCGACGACTACAATCCATCCTGAGGGCGCCAAGCAAGGTTTCTCGTGCAGCAACTGCTTACAAACCCCCGAAAGGTAGTATCTTCGAAATACGGTCGAGAAGTTGTTCGGAACACAAACTTGCACGGTGCTCCCTCGTAAAACATGTAAATTTGACAATTAAAAAAAAAAAAAAAAATGCATTCTTTGTTAGCCATAGAATAATAATAATAAAGAAGTAACTTTCTCGGCTCCATCATAAGAACACTGCCCTCAAATGTTTCAACTACATAAATACGCTGAAAGATCCCCCCCCTTTCCCTCTCCTCTATCATTCTAAACATGTGAATGACCATTGTAGAATACCGTGCATCCGCCCATTCCACACAAAGCGCCCATTCCCAAATTTGTAAGATCTGAGAAAATATGCACAGTACATTTATAGACCTTTTCATTTCAATAGTTGCCTGACCGGCGGGTAGAGGGCGCTGGCGCACTCGCCGCCATTAGGTTGCTTCAATTTGGTCGGTTTCGGTTTCAACGTGCACGCGATTGTAATGCTGTTTCATGCCACTTTCGATTAATTTTGCGATATAAATTTCTTTCCTGTAGCACACAGCGAATGAAACAATAGTATTGAGCCATTTGGCAAACCACAAAATGGTTTCGAGCCTAAATTGCGATATTTTTTTTACGAACACGATGTGCGTCTGATTCCGCCCATTGTTAATTTCAGCCAGGTTCGGCGGTGAAACAACTGCGCTGATGCACAGGGAGGGTTTCTATTGTCCACGGCCGTACCCGCGGACACTAATTTCCAGAAAAAAAAAGAAAAAAAAGAGCAGGACAAGCACCGCCTGCAGCGTGCGTTCGTTGCCTGCCGCCGTGCTTTGGCTGTGCGAGCACCGAGCGGTACAAAAGGTAGATAGCTCGCGCTCAAGTCAGATATTGAACTGATCATCTTATATCAACAGACTATATTGCATGAGTGCTTAGTGAAAAATCAGGTCGACAACATCATTAACAATCTGCTGTGTCACCAAGAACAGATGAACTGATAAGTTTACTGTTCGATGTTTGGTATTCGTACACCAACTTTTTCTAACTTCGAGACTGGAAACGTCTTTTATAATGAATAGACAACTTTCATATAATCACGCAGATCATATAAAAAAAGTGATATTGTCTCGGCCTGTTTTATTTAAAAAAATTAAGCGCTTGAGAAATATTTTGATAGACCAGCCTAGGGTGACTAGAAAATTTCTTTAACTAATAAGTACTCATTAACAGAATTTCAAAATATTGGCCTTATGAAATAAACTTTTTGTTATATGGACATTTTCTGACGACGTTCTCAAGGCATGAGAATGGTGAGATAAGTGAATGCCAGACTTCAAATACAGTCCGATATTCATCTTCCGTAAAATTTGGCGAATGAAATTGAAGAGCGCAAAGGAAATGATCTTCGATAAGTTTGGCTGAAGTCGAACGCCAGGCGCCACCAAATGGACCTGTGTAGAAAGCTGTTCACTGATTTGAAACGATACGCTTTGCACATTTCGACGTCGCCAGCTACTGAAAGTAACTCCCTATTTGCTGTCAACAACCGGCTGCACTCGGGGGATTTTCATGCAGAAGGATTCTTTTCGGCGTCACTATTTGTGAATCATAGGCACTATCAAGCTGTCTGTGACAGTTTCTTACGCGGGGAGTCAAAATATTTGTGTTGAAATAAATTAATTGAAACTGCAGGATTATATTAAAAAATGACTTAAGCAACTGAAAGACTATATAAACATGGGACCAAGCACGATATACAATTCCGTGGAATTCATAAATAAACCGATAAAGCGAATGCTTATATCACACACGCGATTAAGAACGTAAAACAGATATAGGTGTGATATTGCGAACAAACAAGTTGCCTAATGTTAAGGTACTATTATTTCTAGCATAAAAAATAATTCAAAATAAACGTTTTTTCCCGCGTCTTGTCCATAAGTTCCCTAGTGTAATCAAAAGAAGCTGTTTTCGATCTGTTGTAACTACAAAACACCATGCTTTCTAGAAAAACATGTGGCTAATTACGTTGAGTGTTTTTGTGTCCTTCCTTGCCACCAATGCGCACTCATATCTATAATTGCATTGGGCCTCCTATTCCAAATGTTCCGCCCTTATTAGTAACCAAACCTCAGTTCTCATAAGTTAATGGTATTTGAACCCTCGAGGCTTTCTTCAAGTCATATATGTATTCAATGTGCGCAAGTGCTAACGCTGATTCCGGTTCCTATAAAGCCTCTTCACACGTATCCCGCACGCCGACGGTAAAAAAATATTCAAAACGTACGTGTTACAAAATTAACTACAGAATTTGGCCGCATAATGATGTAATGCAATTGCATGGTAGGTATAAGTATCGGGTGACACTTTACGGAGTAAGGCAAGAGACGGGGTGAAACGCGACGAAAAGCACGAATTCAACGCATCCGCCAATGCGCGGACGGGAGAGCGGAGCATCAAGTTGAAGCAACCTAATGGCGGCCGCATCACGTGATTCCAAGATGGCAGCGCCCATGCGGCGGAGGGTGAAAAGGTCTATATGTAAAATTCATGGCTGGACAAGCGCCCTTCCCCCAATTTTTGTGATTACCTCCAATTTTTGAGTGGGCACTTACCGGTATTTTACGGTACAGTGGAAACACTACAGTTTAAACAGACAGGCAGTTTCTAGTGTGCCTAGACTTGAGACTTTTTAACTACTTGATCAATGTCACATGGTTTATGGGCGGCATTTGCAATACAAGTTGCAAGCAGGAGGCGAAAGACTCAATCATCTCAATGTGTCTCCGCCTCTCCAACCGCTTTCCCCATCACCACACGGCAACGCAACACATGCAGATTTGCAACCAATGTGCCCAGGAGCTGTCCGTCATGCAAATGCTCTCCATGGTTTGAGGTGCACCCTCTCTTAAGTCGAGACTCTCTGGCACTGACTGGCATGTGGCAATTCTTATCGACATGCTGATCACATCGGAACCTACTCACAAAGAGCAAGAAAAATGAAGTCTCCCACGGACTCACTTTCGAGCGGCGTTGTTTTCTCGCTTATCCATTTTTTTCAGCCATGCCTGCATGAGCTGGTTGTAAGTATCTGTTAAGTATTTTTCCTGAAAACAAAAAACAAAAAAAAAAAAAAGAAAGAAGCAAAGACGAGCCAACGTTAAGTTTGAGGCCACAAACACTCAGGAGCACTTGGGGAAATAAAAAAAAAAATTCTCACCCTGCTTTCCCTTTCTTGAGCCCTCTTTTTAAAATATAATGTCAAATTTTTCCTAAATTCTTGAAATCTGGAACGAGTAGAGAAACAGGCAATCAGCAAACCACCTCATGGAATAGAAGCAATCAGAAGAGAGAGCACACTCACTTTTTTTTGTTTTCATGATAAATGGCAGTGTCTGAAGGTTGATTGTACATTGGCTGTGGGAGAGAACACAAAACAAACGGTTACTTTGCCGTCATCGAGACACTCTGAAGCGGAGGGAACCCCCCCTCCCTCCACCCAGCGTTGCCCCACCCGCGCCACTCACCAATTCCACTTTCGGGCCTAGGCTGTCCATTGTTGCGTGGGCGTGGTGCGCTTTCCTCTGCAAGAGAGAGAGATGCTGTTTTGAGAAAAGAAAGAAGCGGGACACCCAATTTACCACTCGCTCACTCTCTCGGAGGCGGGCGTCACAAACCCTCCCCAAAAACCAAGGAAAACCTCCCTTAGATCAGTATGTCAAAGACTGTCTTGGTCTTCAGCTCCAACTAGTGCGCATGAAAAAAAGAAAGGCTACCCCCCCCCCCCCCCTTTTTTTTTTGAGCAGCTAAAATTTCCATTTAGACGGAAGGAGCTGCTACCGTTGCTACTATGCCAGATCTTTTACGGAAAAAGCTCTAATTTCTGAGTAAAGTTACCAAGAACAACACGCATTATTCACATTTGCTTCCAAGCATCAAGTTTAGCAAATTGAACAAAAAAGAAAACGGGAAATCGCTCGTACACAGTCAACTATTAGCAAGAATTTATGGATGTCCGCAATAATGACCCGTTTATGGCTGAAACCCGGGAGAATGAGTATGCCTCCAAACCCTGAGCTCTATTCAAATCCCCACTCGAAAATCCCCCCCCCCCCCCCCCTCCAAAAGAAAAGGAAAAAGGAGGAGTGTCGGTGCTAGAGACGTTTTCAGCTGCACACAGAAGCTGCCATTGTTGACCTTCACTTCTAGTGTCTTGTATACCATTCCCTTCGCCTCACCACTACAATAAAAGGACAGGCGCCTTCCTAGACGCCGCGTCTCCAACATCCGCTTCGGAGGCTCAACGTCTCGGGAAGACGAGAGAATGTCTGCAATGGCAATTTGAATCGCGCGTGCGGTGAACGGGTCTGTGGTCAAAACAGCGTCGCAAAGACCAGTGAAAACTGTTATTTGGGCGGCGTTCAAGAGTAGAGGCCTACCATACTAATCAGAATCAAAACCTCTATGTTCCAGTGGCCGGGGAAACCTTAAGGAGGTACACTGAGGTTTAAAGAAAGCCAGAAAAAGCTTAAGGTGGCCCACAATTGCAGACATCTCCTTGGCTGGTTAACGAGCTCGCGAGAATAGTCGGATACTTTACGCCGCAGAAAAAGTCCTTCGAAAAAAAGGCAACGTACTTTCTTGCCAGAGAAAAGGGACGGGGGTACAGAACACTGACAGGAGGGTACAAAAGGAGCCACTAACCCTATTTTCGGAGTAGATAATCTGAGCAATACTCAGTTGTTTGGGTTCGGAAGGCGCTGTGTCCTGAGAGTCCTTCTTGCTGTCGGCCGGACTGCTCGCCTCTAGCTCATGCTGCAGAAGGCAGGTAGGAAGAGAAACAGTCAGCACACAGGGGCCCGCACTTCCCCACCAATCACGCAGAGAAACGTGCCGAGCATTCGCGCCAGAAATCCCCCGCCGGATGGTTCGTTGAAACCGTAAACCTCTCCCCAGTACAGAAAAATTTCTGCACAAACAAAAACTACAGTGCACTATTCTTTTCTAAGGCACAACTCTCTAGAAGAAGGGCATGTTCAATTGCGGCTGTGGTTTCTGGTATAGTATTAGCATGCCTCTCCATACAGCACACTTGACCCGAAAGTTGAAAATGGCAATACTTCGTCGCACATGCCCAAGGCGACGAAACAGTTTTTTCAAAAATCAGAAAATGTGATTGATTAAAATCTTTTCATGGGGACAAAACTTTACCAGGTTATTGTGCACATCCACAAAGAGAACAAGCCGACCCTCACCGAATATTTTCGGCAAATATGTCGCACTGTTACGGGAGGTTAGACGCAAAAAAAATATTTTCGTCTCAAATTCACTCTCCTCAAGACATGCTCCCATTTTACGCAGGGCTGTACCCTTCGACTAATGGCCGACAAGTTCTCCTCATCACAGCTCAAATTCACTCCCCTCAAGACATGCTCTCATTTCACACAGGGCTGTACCCTTCGACTAAAAGCCGACAAGTTCTTTTCATCACAGCTCGCGACTAATATTTTAGTCTCAAATTCACTCCCCTCAAGACATGCTCCCATTTTACGCAGGGCTGTACCCTTCGACTAATAGCCGACAAATTCTCCTCATCACAGCTCGCAACTCATTTTTATTCCCCGACGATGCCCTATAAACCTAGCACTGCTCGCTTTCAACACACGAGTTATGTACATAAAAGAAGGTCAATTCGCTCGCTTTCTTTGCGATGAGAATAATAACGAAGGAAGAAAGCTACAAGAATCCGAAACCCAAGCTCGTGCAAAGCTGTCGGAGCCACGCCCTTCCCCGACAGGAAGGCACCCAAGCAGAGCTAAAAGCGGACGGCAAAGCAAGGTTTAAAAGCTGTCTTAGTCATTCCGTCACAGACTGGCTTAGCGGTTCGGACACCACTAATGCACACTTCCTGCACCTCCCCCCACCACACGACTCGTTGATGTTAAGCCAACAGCCGCACTCCGTTACTGACACACTTTACCACAGTCTTGCTACGGAGCAATCGACACTAACACGAGCAAGCAAGGTCCGTGCAAGGTTCCGGTGTTGGGCCACTTCCACAAAAAGAAGAGGAATGAGAGAACCTCCCCGCACCTGCTTCTTCTTGAGCTTGGTAGTCTGGGACTCGACCTGGGCAATCTCCCGATCCAGCTTGTTGATGGCGTTGAGCAGCTCGTCCTTGGAGGTCCGCTGCGGGGACAGGTCGGGCCGGCCGTCCTCACTCGGCAGTGTCGGGGAGATGGCCTCCACCTGGGGCACGTACGCCGGCTCCTGGGGGACGAGCAGAGACGCATTGGGCACGGCCCTTCTTCCACGTCGCGTTGGTGCACAAAAGGTACTCGATACGCACTCTATCAGAAAAAAGCCCACCACCCCTACAAGCAACGAAGTCGAAGGATATCTTTCCCAGCTCTCATTAACCAGAACGGTACACCGAACATTAATGAAAAGGCACACAAAAACACAAAGACGGCGAAAGGAGTTCACGGGACAAGCGCTCGACTCTGTGCAAAAGGAATGCGCGGGACAATGGCCGTGCACTTCTTTCGTTTCTTCCGCGTTCTTAAGCGCCGTTTCCTTGGCGTTAGTCACAGACCGACTCGCCCACCTTGCCGCCTTAATGAGGTACGACTTCCGACCCAAACGCAATGCCTCGACTCCGAGGACCGCGGCGGCGCCCTCGACGTCAAAATGTCTCGCGAGAAAATATGCTAGGTCTTGCCGCAGGCTGCGTGGCGGAACGCAACTTTAGATGTAATGCTGCCGCTATGTCGCACCTCTCACCAGCAGTCTGTCCCTTTGATGACGCCCCCCTTGTTGCTGGTGCTTGGTTGCAACCACGTGAAACAGGCAGTCTCGCATCGTTCTTTTACCGTGGGCTTGAAAAACTTTTGACAATGTCATGAACGACCACCTCCCATAGATAGCATCAGTCTTGGGTAGTAACGCGTTACTAGTAACGCGTTACTGTAACTTCGTTACTTTTTCGGTAACTTGTAACTGTAACGAGTTACTTTTTAAAGATGTAACTTGTAACGGTAGTTCTATTACTTTTTTCTGAAGTAACGATGAAAGTAACGACGTTACTTTTGTCGTTACTTTCCAGTGTTTTACGAATAATATATCACTGCATGAGTGCAATTTAGCCATTCCTTGCACTTTCCAAATCGTCCATTCCGACATTTCGAGTATCAAGTCGGCCTTGCACGAAGTTGTGAATACGTTCTTTCTCGCGAGTCACGACCCGAATATTTATGAAAAAAATATCTAGTTATCTTTAAGCACGCGCTTGTACTTTGTGACTGAACACTCACATCTTAGTGTCTTGAAGCACTATCTATGTTGTGTTTTTTCTTTTTTCTGTGCAAACGCTTTTTAAGGCGAGACACTGGTTCTAAAATGGACTATTTTATTTTTGCAGCTATACTAGTGAAAATCACTGTGCATATGTGTTCCTTCTTCCTCACTTCAAATATGAAATCAGTTTCAAAATATCTCAATTAGTTTTCAAGTTATAAAAAATAGTGTTGCCTAATTTGGTTAATTTCTTACAAGTCGTTAAGGCCATTTCGAACAAAAATATTTTTTTTTATTGATGTAGATGCATAGCTAAAGGTCTGCCATGCATTATAAAGCTATTTATATTTTCACAAAATTACATTATAATACAAAAATGTACTAATTATGCTAATTATGACACTAATGAGGTCGCATTATTTATCATAAAATTTTCGTTGTCATTATAAACTGCAAAAAAATAGCTTTACTCCATAGTCCAGTCCTTTCTGAATAAAACGGTATAAAAAGTTTCAAAATGCTACGATAAAAACCTCATGAAAACCCCCGTAAGGCTAAGCACGTTGACAAAAAACATGAAGATGAGAAAATCAAAGTTAAAGTTTTGACATTGAACATAGAAAATTGTGTGAACAATGATAAATAATAATTGCCACCAAGGTGTAGTGTAAGTCTTCATGAACAACTTGACATAAAAGATGATGTAATCCATTTATGGGAACATTAGGAAAAAAATATGAAAGAAGTAAAGAACGAGTGAAATGTTGATAAAAATCACATTTTCCTGTTTCGACGCTGACTACAATAAATTATGTGAAAACCCTTATGCAATAATAGTTATCAAGATGTAATGTAGTGCATTCTGCGCATGTTTCGTATTTTGATTTGCGCCACTTCTCTGGCGTGGAAACTTTCAAACACTAACCTCGAGAAGCAACTGCTGCTAAGTTACAATATGAAGCAAAAAGCATACTTTTTAATATTATGCAATAAAATGTTGTGAGAGGCGTTTTTTAGTTTTTTCTAATATTTTTTTTTTTGTGTTATAGAAAAGTAACTGAAAAGTAACGTCGTTACTTTTTAAAAGCAACTGTAACTGTAACGAGTTACTCTTTTGTTGCAGTAACTGTAACAGTAACTTCGCTACTTTTTCTGAAAGTAACTGTAACTGTAACGAATCACTTTTTAAAAGTAACTTACCCAAGACTGGATAGCATGCACATCTCCAAATAACTGCAAAACTTTCACTTGAGCAAAATATGATTCCAGGGCCACCTCATTGATGGTGCCCCGTGTGTTCTCTAGAGAGCCTATAATACAGAGTTGCCAACTGCTTGATCGGGGTCGCGTGGCTTGTGGGGCCACATTTACGATACGAGCGACGAACGTGTTGTTCGTTTGCGAGCTTCTCCACCCGCTTTCCTCTCCGCCACGCAACGACTTGGAGCGTGCGCACTCGTGACTAATCTAGGCGGGAGGCGTTTGTCATCAAATTATGAACGCTTCCCACTGTTTGAGATGGACCGTCTCTTCAATCTAGGCTCTCTGGTGTTCTCTCGTAAGAGCACACAAGGCACCATAGCACGCTACGTTAAAACCAATAGACCCTCTCCCGAATCGAAGCGCCCCTGGTGACACGAAAAGAATTCTGGGTACCACTTGGCCACTTAGTTTTGGTTTTAGCCTCAGATTTTATCAAGACCATTGTGTCGTGACGGAACACGCTGCTGCGACTAGTGTGCAATACTGTAGGCGTTGCCGAGAGGTACCGAAAAAAACACTTGACAATATTTTCGTGGTTCCTGACGTGCCAGATTTTGGGCAAAGGTAGGCATATGTAGAACAATGGATTGCAACGTCCCTGTCGGAGCCCCTCTCGTGCAAGCCTGCTTGCATGCACATGAAGACAAGTTATGAAGGCTTGGAAGTTTACGTGCTTGACTGCAGGAGTACAGAGAGCGGCTGTCTGATCAAAACCATGCCACTCTGCTTTGTGGACAACTAGTTCCCAGCGTTCAACACGCTAAGTGTTACATGGAGGAATTTTCAAAAGTGGCCTGTTGCAAGTGCGTGATCCAGCCTAAGAGAAGAGCTCTGGCAACATTTTGGCAGTAGCTGATTTGCCTCAAAATTGGTTCCACACATTAATAGACACATCTGAACTATACATGTCACCTTGAGGAAAACGCAAGTTTTGCGCATTGTTCATACACCCCGCGAAGTAGTTCTTACCAGATTCGGTTGTCAGACAAAGAAGCGATGCCTTTGGTGTTTGAAACGTCCAAGTCTTGGTAAGATAACATATATGTAAATCTAAAACACACCTACACATGTCTTAATTCTCCACACAAAGGGGGCAGTCAGTAAGGCTCTGCGAGGAGCCAGACTTTTTTTTTTACTACGGTTCACGAGGCTAAAGCGAGTTTAATAACCAGACTTGTAAATCACCAACAAAAGTTTTTAGAAAGTTAATGAAGCTTTAAATATGGCCAGAGAGGCTCTACTGGCCATAACAAAAATGTGACGTCAGATGTTGCAATAGGGGGGCAGTGTGCTGATTGTTACCAAGAGGTTACATAACGTTTGATGGTGAGAAATGGATCCCGGAAGAGCTCACGTCAACAAAACGAAAATAAAGTGTGCTTTGCCTTGCTTTGAAACGCATTTATTTAACGACCAATGAAATGGGCACCACATGCGCCCTGCTGAATACCGTTTTCTAGACTGGCCAATCGACTCACAAGTTATGCAATGCGTGGCGTCACTCCACTGGAAACCGGGAAAAAGTTTGAATATTGGTTTTGAATAATCACTGCCATCTTCTCAGTAGCTATTTCGAATTTAGAGATGACAAATAGCGTGCCGGGAAGAGTAGAGCTTCCACATTCCGAAAATAAGCTCGGGCAGCTCGAAAAACTACCGGATCTCCCCTTTAATACAAAGAGAGAGAGAAATGTGAGAGTGGTCACCTTTTTGACCTCGACCATGCCGCCGTCGTGGGTGTCAATGAGAAGGGGCGCCTTGGGGTCCATGCCCAGCCGGGGCCGCTTGTTCATGTGCACTTCCATGGGCTCCAGGGAGGCCCCCTGCCCCTGCAGCCCAACCAGCCCCATCTCCCGCTCGTACGGGAACCGGTACGCCTCCAGGTACCTGGGGGAGGGAGGGAGGCGTCACCCCAAGCCTTGCCGCAGCACAACAATCATTGGACGCACACTAACGCGGAATATTCTATTTTCCGGCGTACGAGTCGCAGTTATTTGACGCGGAAGGCGTTCGAAGCCTGGGGTCCTCGAGGAAAGTGTGACGAAACATTATGGGCGTCGTTACAATATGCCCAAGACATACTTCAGAAGACAATCTGTACAAAAAAAACCCATGCGGTCGAAATTGGTTATAGCAGACCTTGATAGTGACCAAGATTTCAGTCTGTTGTAAAAGGTGTATGCTGTATGCAGAAACAAAGTTGAGCCAAAGGTAGAAAAACTAACCATACTTCAGAAAGCAGCATGTAATATCCAAGTATCTGTTAAAACCAGGTTTGTTGTAACGAGCTCATGCTGTACGGCGTGCAAGTGTTCTAAAATGCGCCTTTTGCGCATTGGAGTGCAAAGGGCATGCCAATAAAAGGGTAACGTGAAGGACACAGAGAATGTGCAATGACGAGGAAGGCAAGCTTGCACTGTCATTGGTTGAGCTCAAGAAAAAACAAACGCACCTGGGCGCATTTGGGGAGTACTCAAACGCACGAGGTGCCCCAGAAGCAGACGAGCTCGCACTCAAAATAATTTTTAAAAAATAGTCACTAATAGAGAAGGAAACAAATTACAAATGCGATGGGACAGGAAGTGAAACCACGGCTGCACAATTATGAGTCCGACGCTCTACCACTGCACCAAACAGAAGATTTGCAAAGAGGAAGAACTCGTCCGCTTACCGTTCGTGTTTGCCACGAACCCCAAAGAATGCCAACAAAATACATGCTAGGAAATAGGTACAAAATATAAAAGTTACGTTGGCGCATGTTATACAACGACGCGACTTATACACCAACTTCTCTGCGAAAATGGCTGTCTATAAGGGGAGGCAACTTATAAAATGGTGCGACTTATAGGCTGGAAAATATGATACGCCCCCGGTGGATTTGGAGCGATCCAAAAGTGCTTGTGCTCATGCCTTTGGCACGGTAGATGCGAGAGCGCAATTGCATGCCCAAGAGGGCACCAACAAAAAACTGCTCCAAATCCACCAACAAAGAAAGGCAGCCCAGTCACTTAGGTGGCAGACTCTCAACTTTACCCTCGCAATACAGGGGCACACGCACAAATATCACTTGGCTAAAAGAGAGAGGGGGGGGGGTCGAGTTAACGAGCTCGAGGATTCGAAAAAGTACAGAGGAAGCCCTCGTATTTACGAACTAAAAATACCAAACAATGCACAGACAAAAGACAGAGTAAAATCTGGCAGTGCAAGCACGAGGCCGTGGAAAAGTGCAAACAACGTGCTGCACTCTAAAGTCTTGAACACCAAAAAAAGGTTGTGGCACACAAAGAAGAAAGGGCACAAATTTTAAAGGGTCGGTACACAAACGAAGGTAACCGGAGCCACGATTTTATAAAGAAATGCACATATACAAAGGGAACACCAAAGCCTAACAATAAACCTGCAGATAGTCAAGTGCTAAATCCAGATGCATATTTCAACACCCATCCCACAAGTACGAGCAAGCAGCGAGTCCGGCAGACAACCCTTGACGTACCAACAAGATGGGGAATTCCACAGTATGGTGCCTGGAATTTGTCCTTGAGACCAGTGGGTTTAGTGATACCCGAAGTGGTAACAAATGACGTCGCGATAGTGGCAGTTGGTGTAGTCCCGGCAAAAAAGCACGAGCAAACGCATGTGTCGCTGTCGTCACGAAGTCCCAACTTGTGGGGTGCTCACCGTTCCCTCTCGGCCCTCTCGGCGCTCGCGGCGGCATATTCCGAGGGTGTGGGCAGCAGGGAGGGTCTCCGCCGCACGTGCTGGGGCTCAGGTTCACGGTAGCGCTCCAGCAGGAACTCCTGTTGCTGCTGGTGCTGGTGCTGTTGTTGCTGCTGTTGTTGCTGCTGCTGCTGTTGGTGCTGCTGGTGATGTCGCTCGGCCTGCAACTGTGCACGCCGAGACGAGAAAGTAATGGTAAGGAGTGGGAAAAGACGGCACAGCCGCAAGCGATGTAATCCCGCGTCAGGTTTGTGAGAACAAAACGAGACGTGTCTAACTGCAGGCGTCCCTTCCGTGTGAGAGTGTGAATGTGCAGCTTTCTAAGCAGCTTTTTAAAACTGTTCACTAACTGTTTGCAACAAAAGGACCAATCTGCTTCGAGAGGGGGAAAACAATGAGTTGAAGTAAAAGACAAAACACAGATGAAACCTGCTGCGTTATTTCTCTCACAAGTACTGTTCTCAGGAATGAGCTCTTTCCAAGAACGGTAAGGATACCCAGGTGAAAACAACAGTTTGCATTACTTTGTTGTTCTGCAATTTCCATGGCTTGTACCACATCTTTCCTAAACAAATGCACTGCTTTCCGTCGCAATGGGTGAAAACAACCTTTGTGATTACAAGTTATTCACTTAGCATGTACAGTACTTCAATGTGCACTGATAGTTTCTATTTCTAGAGAAGCTAAACAGTAAAGAGTGCAACTCAGTACTGCCAATAGACCCTTTTCAAAAACCCACGCATGCTAAACGAATGCTATGCTATGGTGCATGTTTTAGGCTTAAAGGCCGACGACCCCATGCGAGATTCTGCAAGGCAAAAGATCCTCCTCACCCTGGGGGAGGAGGAAACAGGCAGCGATGGACAGGGTAGAAGGGGGGAGAGGAGGAAGCGGGGGAAAAGTGGAAAGCGCAAACTGGTCGTCGGTCTTTAAGAGAATGCCAACTATGCTTCAGCAGTCCTCCTGAACATTTTCAACATAACTATAGACCATTTCACTTCAAGTGGGAGTATGTAGCAGAAGCTACAAGAGCGATCTCCGGGCATTCAGCATCCATGCTGGAAACAGGTGCTCTAGCAAGCATCACTCGGGGCAACATGCTCAGGCTTGTAGCTTTGGCTCCACTTGCCCATAAGGTGAAACATACTATAGTAGTTTGAATTAAGTTTCCACAAACATTGGTAGCTCAGCTAAACTCCCTCAAAAGCAGTCAGTGCACACCATCTGGCTCTGTACCCTAATTATTATTTTTTTTTCTCTCATCCCATGAATTAAGATGGAACAGGCCAATTCCATGCTTCTGCTTCTTGACACATTTACGATTATGTCTAGCACTTGCTCAGCCCACATTACGGCACTGGCACAGCACAACATATCAGGTCTTGCATCTCTCGTCATTCTGATTGTACAACGAAATTAAAACGAGGCACATTTTTCTGAAAACTTATATTTAGCTATGCAATAATTGCGAATCAGAAAGCATGCAGCTATTCCCCCTTCCCCCCCCAAAAAACATACAAAACGTGGCGCCTCCGGACAGCAACAAAGAAACGGTAATCAAGCGCCAAACGGAGAAAGCAAAACAAAAAACAGAAAACTCTGCAAACTTCCCAGCAGGAGAGGAGATAACCATTTACAAGGCGGTGGAAAAGCCACAAGCACTCTGCAGGAAAACAAGTCTGCCCGGTCCAAGGAAACCCAGCAAAAAAGCTGGGCGAGCAATTCGCCCAACGAAGAAACAGAAGATGGCAAACAAACAATTTGGCCGGTTTAGAGGCCCCACAGGGACATACACCCCCAGTCACCCAAGATAAAAGTGTGCATGCAACCCTTCCGGGAGTCAGCACCATCAGCAAGGCAGCCCCTCAAATAAGGGCACCTCTCTCTTCCCCGCTTATCTCTGGGCAAGACCAGATTACAAAAATAACACGAAATAGGAGCATGAGGAAAAGGTCACGCAGACAAACATCTCCCTCCAGCAGGGCCGTTATCAATGCCCCTTTCTTTATGCGTATATCTCTACTGCTCCCAAGATAAGACTGAACTTGTTTACTCTGCTCTCATCACCTCACAGACCCTTCGGTCAAATCCTCGCCCACGCCTCAAAAAAGGTAGTGGAAGCCCCTGCATGAAGGTGGCGAGGAGGTCAGCCTATCGAATGCCGGCAACACAATCCCAATCTGGTGGAGCCATCCAAGAGAAGGGGTTGCACTTTCTCTTTGTAGCAGTTGCCCCTCTCGACTGTCTCTGCCTCCTCATGGAGGACCCACTCGATAATGCCCTAGGCACAGGACTAGGCGCATAAACTAGCGCATCCTCATGCAAGCGCTCTTGCAGCCTGGAAGTAGAATTCCTTGAATGTAGCAGTTCTACATCAAGATCATCTGGTGGGCTAGTTGGTAGAACATATTGTGAATTACACAATGCAACACGACAAGAAAAAGTAGAAGAGGGAGACGGGACAGAACGCTATGTCCCATCACCCTTTTTTACTTTTCGTTGTTGCATTGCGCTATTTAATTTGCAGTAGCAGTTCTGCTTGAGGAAACTAACCCGTGCCCGTCAATGTGTGTCCCAGTTTTCCTGCTCTCGCTTTCGCCAACTCGACATGCCCGGCTATCAAACTTTCCTGCCCTTCGCTTCTAATGCATTAGGCATTAATGCATAATGCAGGCAATATTATGCCAGCTTTTTGTCCCCGCTTCTATCTGGACGAGCACCGTACCGGCATGCAGTCGTGCATCCCTACTGCGTGTCGCATGACAAAGGCTTCAGGCTAGTCCTGGCATTACACTAGCCAAATTTCTTGCCCACAGCGAAGGAACCAGATGCTCATTAGGGCTAACTTTCCGCTGTCTAAACATGCACACGGCACAATTTAAATGTATTTAATACAACTTCCTGCGCAGAAATTTGCCAATATTTTGCCACAATGCCCTCTCCTGCATAAATCCACTGTCACAAGTCATGTAGCGCAGATGCCGAAGTACCCCACATTACTGTAAAAAAAAAAAAAAAGAAGAAAATAAGGATTTTTTATAACATTACATTTATTTGCTCAAACGAATTAAATATAAGGAGGGTGCCCTCAATCGCTGTGAAATTCGGCAGGCAAGCGAAGAGACTCCGCATTCTGTCGTGCGGCGAACTAAACACCTACACTAACCATATGTGCGAAACATTACCCAGCTATAGATCACGCCAGCTGTTGAGCAGCACCGAATGACGCACATGCACTCGCGCTCTACAACAGAACATGCTTTTCTGCGAATTTGGAGAAACCCTTATCTGCCCGCATGTGCCACGCACGTCGAAGTACCTAAAAAAAAAAATGTCTCGCAAAAGAATGCCGCCACTATAATACCAGATGATAACCTCTCCTTTTCACCGTATCCAACGGCATTACGAGTCGCTTTTTCACCCCGTCACAAGCACGAGAACGAAGGAGCAGGTGTGCATTGTGCCCAGGTCCATGTCACGCAGCTGAAAGCTGCTGACACAATAGCAACCAGAGATTGCATGCAAGCATCAAAAAACCAAAAAACTTCAAAACAAAAAAGAAGCGATGTGCACACGAGTTCCTTAGACATAGTATCAAAGGGCCATCAACCGCGGTTGTTTGGAAACATGAGAAAAGTGGAAAGGCATCCACTGAGGCTTTGAGTTGTTTAAAGGAAAATGTGGGTTGAAAACGGCAATATTTTACAAAAAAATGTGGTTTTAGGTTTTATTGCGATTTATTTGTTTATCTTTATGTTTGATGTATAAAAATAATTACTGCCGGTTATGATCACAATGTTAGTCGCAATCCGTGTTTGAAGACCTCCAGGCAACCCGGAACGGCATGAATTTGAGCCATTGTTCTGTGCATGGTTCTGAACATTGTGACGTCGCCCGCCATCAGATTTACGTCAACAAGTAGGCTCAGCCGTCTCCTCTCTATTGCAGTTTTCTGTAGCTTCAATTTCTCATGGAAATTTATTAAGAAAACATTATTTTCTGCACCGCAAAAAGAGTATTAGCTACATATGTACGGAAACATTCAAACACATTTTTCTTCTTATGTCATTTTGGGCAATCTTCACAGTTTGAGCGCAAGAATCTATGTTCTTCATATTGTCCTATCACAACCGAATTTAGTTTTGTCAGAATGTATGCTTTTTTTTTTTTTTTTCATATTTATAAAGAATTGAAGAAACATTTGTTAACGCTTGGAAATGGCATTTTTGCTATTTTTAATCATTTTAAAATGAAAGATGTGTCACACACATCATCTTTTTAGCTCATTGCACTCTGTGGTTTCAAAGTAGTGAATTGGTTTATTGTATTAGGCTTTTTCAAGTATGTTGCCATGCCTCATGTGCACACAAGAACATGTTTTTTTCTGTATGCACACTGCATCGAGAACCTAAAAAGCAAGCTCTATTAAGTCTAACACCAAATTTATAAAGAGACGATTAAGCACCATCAATCGTAAAAATTTTATTTCAATATCATAAATAATATTAGAAAATCTTTTCCCCTGGTGCATGTCCCCTTAACTGACGGTTGCATGAAAAAATGAGAACGGCGGAAGAGCATCCAGTGAAGCTTTGAATTGTTTAACTGACATTCTTGGACAGCACTAGAAGCCTAATTGGCAAGCAAGCTGGCAGAATTCCCAGCACAGTAAGCAGCAGAGTAACAAAACCTCCCTGGAGTCAGGGTACACATTTCGCGAAACGAAAGATGGCTACTACAGCTTCCCAATTTATAATGTAGGAACTCCTTTCCTGGCTTTAGCTTGACTCAATTTCGACAGAGTGTGAAGTTCTAAGGCAACAAAAACAACAGCTTCAGTGTCAAACTGGTGATGGATTCATTCAAACAAAGCTCAGAGAAAGTAAAGCTGTTAGGAAGCACTTGAAAGGAGCCTCCTGGAAGCCTCAGGTTAACAAGACATGTTTCACCAAGAGCTGCAGAAGCCAAGTCTCTTAGTGAAATGTGGGCTGCCACCCTGGGAGTTCTGGGAGGTTTCTTCCGAGCATGAGGTGGACTATAGTCTGGATGGTTAAGCAACTTGGTGTCTAAAGTATGGTGACAAAAGACAGGCGTAAAAGACAACACACAACATAGCCTGCATTGTCTTCTATGCCCCTCTTTAGTTATTGCGATTTAAATTGCAGTCACTGACAGCACCTCAAGAGCTTCCCCGGCCCAGCTTCCCAGCCGGCTTCCCCAGTCCAGCTTCCCCAGCCCAGAGACAGTTGCCTCCCCAGGAAAGTATGCAACACCGGGGGGGGGGCACCAACCTGGAAGGCATCGCGGTAGCTCTGCTGGGTGGAGTTCAGCAGGGGAGAGAAGTGCGTCCGCGTGGGATCTTGCGGGTACGGGTAGCCTCGTGTTCCCGCCAGTGGCGGGCTCAGGGGCCCCGCCCGCTTGTACCCTGCCTCATGGCCCCTGCACATACACAAACGAGTGCCAGGTCACACACACGTGCACGCACAAGCACCGCAACAGCAGCGCCAATCCTGTGCAACAAGGATCAGCTAGACCACACATTCTTCAAAACACTTTTGCTTCCTTGACCGCACCACCAAAATGAAAAATTTTATTTAATAGACCAATTTCACTAACCAGTGTCATCACGCTTGCCGCGATGCATTCGGGGAATTTTAGTTTTCCTGCACGCGCAACAACCCTGCTGCGGATTTGCGCAAGCAGGGCTCGAGACAGTGCGAGCAGTCTTGTGCGCTGCTGCCTGCCTCTAGTACCAAAGTGATGGCACTGTCATGCATGCCAAGTGAGATTAGTCTATTGACACAGGCAGAACAGGATGCTCTGCATGACCTGTTGAAACCATTCTGCTTGCCAGAAATAGTTTATCCATAGTCACCGGCAGGATGAGAACGGTAGGCTGTCTCCCACCAACGCCCAAACTCCAGCACAAGCTCGTTTGCCTCCCGTCATACTTTGGCTACAAGTACACAGTCGAGGCTCACGGGATGCCCAAGCATCGTCAAAGGTAGAAAGCTTTGTGCTGGGGGGCAGGAAAACTGAACGACCTCCCTACTGTTCTTATTATGTCAACAGCTATAACATTTGTCCAGCATTTCTCTTTCCCTGGATCGATGAGAATGCCCAAAGAACATACACAACAGAAGCCAAGCTTGCAGTTTTTGTCAAGGATGACAAATGTGAGGCCCAGAAAACATCTTTGCAAGAAAATTTTACACCTCCAGCCACTACACTAGGATGACAGAGGCACGAATGCAATTATGAGATTGCTTGCTGACCTGGTGGCCTAAAATTTAAAATGTCAACAAAGCCAGAGCTGAGAAAAGTGACTTGACATGGAATGGCAAGCACCAATGCACACTACGAGCACCAAAGCACACTACTGCTCGGCCAGGCCTATCATTCATTTCACGGCAAGTCATGGTGCAGTCAATGCTATACGTCAGGGGTCTCAAACACGCAGACCGTGGGCTGCACGCCACCTGCGACTCGCTGGGATGTGACCCACAGGCAACCGGTTACAAGTCCCAGTTCCCATGTCTCAAGCGCTAGAAATGATATGCGCCATAGATCTCATCTCGCCAATTCACTTTTGCTAGCAAAAGTAGCTCTGCTCTAACATATTCACACAGTTTTTACAAATCTGTGTTCATTTGCCCTTTGTTTCACTTTATTTTTCGCTTCCCAGCTTTTTGTAATGTACAGGCTGCAAGCGCAAGCTATTCATTGAAGGATGCATCTCGGCTGCGCCAACTCTTGATCAGCAGGAGCAACTGCCAAACATAAAGAGACAAGCTTGGAATTGCCTTAAAAAATCCACCATTAAAAAAACTATTTGTTCAGGGTGTTGGAATAAAAATCGCCAGGAGAACAAGAACTGTCGAATGAACTGACTGTTTGTTTTTAGAGACATATTGAGCTTGGGTGATTCCCGAGTAAATTGAGAAACAGGGAACTACAGTGTACCTGCTCTCTTGTTCTATTACAAATGTCACCATGTTGGCGGGGTGGTGTCATCTTAATTCTTGTTATCACATCAGGTCAGGGCTCAAAGTAGTCGTAAAACAAATCAAATCTAAAGGTGTCACGAGCAAAACCGATTTACAAAAAGTATAGAGCACGAGGGCTCTTCTCTTTTAAATATTTGAACCCCCCCTAACGTTGGCCCTCGGCCTTTCCAGTGTGGGCTATCTGGCCCCCAAACTCTAACGAGTTTGAGACCACTGCTATACGTCGATGAGGCCAGTCGCGCAGAGTCAAAAGAGCACTGTTGCAACGTTTGTGACCATTGCGCCATTCTACCACCGGCTCAACCGATTGAGCAACAGTGAATGTGCCATGACCTTGCGCTTTTAGTATGTGCATTTGTATTTGTCTGTCTTCTAGACCGCCCTCTGACTTGCGTTGAAATGGTGAAATGTGAGCTCGTCCCTCATTCCATTAAAGTGGTACTCCGGCTATCTCTTTACCCTTTCTGGTATGGTATTCGGCATTGCGAAATTCTGAATAGTTATTGTGAAATCGGCAAGTGAAAATGGTTCCAAAACCAACATTCAAATGTACCCGCACTTTTCCTTGCCTTGACTTCGCAGAGGAAGGCAGGTTGCAGGTCGAGCAGTCAGTCTAGAAATGGACTATGCGGAGCTTTTGTTTGGTGCTGCTGCTGTGCTGAGCCAGCTTCCAAGGCATTCATTCGACACCATGAAACTGCTTTTAATCAGTTGGGTACAAAGTCTACAGGCCAAAGAGTGAACCCCTGCTTTCCGCTAACGTCACTTTTTCATTGTTGCCAGTAGACTTTCACTCTGAAAAACACGGCGAAGACTAAAATGTAAATTCAACTTCGCGAAAAAAATTATTTTGGCTTAATATTTGGGTTACTATTTCACCAGTGCTTGTTGGAATGTTTGGCAAATTTTCAGGCAAATCGGGGACTATGAAGAAAACGCCGGAGTACCCCTTTAAGTGGAGACATGAAAGTCGTGGCAGAGCTGGAAGAAACTTCGGCAGTTAACTCCTAAAGAGCATCCACTCATGCTACAGTAACCACCTTATCTGAAGGAAGGTGCCAGGTTCTTAACCCAGAGCTAAGAGAGCAACGCAAGTCAAACAGGACAAAACTTTATCCCGCATTCAATGTGCACAGAGTTTCTGCGAAGTTGTACCATATATTCCTTGCCAATTACAAGGCAAAAGAGCAAAGGAACTAATGATTCCCTATCGCAAATTGTGCACCAACCAGCCACATAGAATAATTTCAATTAGGATTGCTGAAGGATGGCAAAGGCTACTGAGGCCTGGATCTTCATGCTACTAACAGAGTTAGCATGCACAAAAACAAATGCAAATCATATGAAACAAGAACTCGGCATGAAAATGAAACATGTTCAACATACATGCTAACTATTGGGGGTTCTCAATATGCAAAGATATTCGCAACTTTCACGATTTATAGGGGGGGCACTGGTGCCTATCAAAATGGCTGTCATCTGGATGATCATCGTAGAACAGCAGTACGAGGCTGGGTCTGCGACATGCAATTCTAGTTTTGCTATATACGAGCAGTATTAGAGCCTCGCTCTAATTTTTTTACGTCAGGAAAGTGTAGGCAAGCACCTTTATTGTGAAGTCAATCATCAAGGAACTAGGGAGCTCGATTCTCACACCGCGGCAGCACCATCCCTGAAAGTTGCGAATACTGAAAACACTCGACACTCCGTTGACACAGAACTGCGCAAATCACTTAACTAACTTTGTAGATGCACGGGTGTACCCTTCCATGGTGGTCATACATTGTTGGTTTGCCACGCCCAACTAAAGAAGCGAGAAAATGCAGAAATGGTATAACATTAAGCACAGCGCACAACAGTTACGGGTTACAAAAATAAAGTCAATGTTTTTATGCAAAATGTGGAAAGATGCATTCATTCCTTGTTGCATCTTCCATGACATCAATTATTGTTCTTCAGGTCACCACCGCAACCGCTAAAACAAGATGCACAAAAAAAAGCTGGAACATTCTCCATAAAATCAAACTGGGACATTGCATACATTATACTGTCACAATGACAGTCGTCAAAAGCAAGCTCACGTTTGAATGGCTGATGTCAACCAAAGACCAAGCATACATACAAATGTATAAGCCATCGCACGCTGCCCTGTTGCGGGATAAGAGAAGCTGACAAGCTCCTTCCGGAAAGCCCTCTAACCTTCTCACTTAGCACAGCAACACCGGAGAAGCCCTCCTTGCCTTGTCTTGCCTTTTCACCAGTGTTCACTCTGCTAAGTGGAAAGGGTAGAGGGCTTTGTGGGAAAAGCTTCTGCATTTCTTAACCTACAACAGGGTATAACTTACTATAGAAAAAAAAAAAGGTTATTTGGGTCATTAGCCTGAGAGCTGCTTTCCTATGACTCCAGATAAACTATTATAATATGAATGGTTTTTGTAACAATGCAAATTCTCCGTAGCTGTTGCTTAAGTTAGGGAGCAAACACCTTTACTCAGCTTGCTCCAAAACGAAAAAGAGCAACAGAGGAAAGTAAAGAACTGGAGGTTACTTGGGTCAGTGCCCAGACACCCAGCACAGCGGGGTACTGCAACCTCCCCAGACTGTTCAATGAACTACAGACGAGCTCTGTGCCATTACAATGAACCCCTCCTAGTGCCTCGAAAGAGGAAGTACCGACATAACTAGAGGTGGAGCTAAATGCCACGAACAATGTGTCGGAGCACAATGCCCCCACAAAAGAGAGAAAGAAAAAAAAAAAGAAGAAAAACACGGTTGTAGAAAAAAATTTTTTTGGGGGGAATGCCCTTGGCGCAAAGTTTACAACACCAACCATACCGCCATTGCAAGTGACAAAAGCAATAACCATATTCTCAATGTGTTCGGAAGAACTTCTAAACCCCAAGTACTACTCGTACAAAACAAAACATACGCGTCACAAGAGCAACGACTCTGGAAAATGTTGACGGTCGGTTTTAAAAGATACGCTGAGGAATAACGGAAGAAAAACAGACCACTCCCTGCGGGGTGGCTCCATTGTAACACGGCCCTCCTGCCACCAGCTGGCAGGAACAGCACAATCAAAGTCACCTGCCTTCCATTTCTTATCCCCACAAAACTCACACTGTTGCTGCCTGCAGATGACAACAGGGACAGCACCAGTAGGGAAATGCCACGGATAAAAAAGACATTTGAAGTACATGTCTTAAGTTTGAAGAAGGTTACGAACCCCCCCCCCCCCCCCCCCAAAACAATCGACTGGAGTCTGTACGACACTCGTAAGCGGGGGTTCGGTGCGGTGGTGGCATACGCAACGTGGTAAGAGACCCAGGGCCAGAACATCTGCCCGACCGCAATAAACCCGAAAGTCAAAATGGGATGATGCCCACAAACCGAGGGGGTGAACAGTCACACGAGCTAGTGCGAAAACCTTCC